TTTTTGTACAATTACTCAATCAATTGTTGGAGTCGTATAGACCCGGAAGCCCAGAAGTGTAAACAGGAAACAAAGACCATTTAAGGTTAATAATGTTCTCAAAACGTTTGCACAAAAACGTTATTTATCAATTGTCATCATCAAACCTGTTTATTACACCTGTGCTCAAGGCTCTTCACTGGCTTCCAAATAGTTTTCCAAATAGCTCATTATTCGAGCATCCCGATGGGTGGTAGGAGGGGAGCGGTTGAAGAACGGGCTGCGTCTTCCTCCAATCAGGGCGTATATGGACGACATGACGACAATAACAACAACAAAGGCATGCACCAAACGTCTGTTGGATAAACTCCAGGGAAACATCAAATAGGCAAGAATGGAGATTAAACCCAGCAAATCCCACAGTATCTCCATTATCAAGGGCCAGCTTACCAATGAGAGGTTCCAGGTCAACAATGAGCCAATACCAACAGTTCTGGAGAAGCCCATCAAAAGCCCCGGCCGCTGGTATAGCGCAGAACTCAAAGACTCGAAGCAGGTGGAGCAACTCAGGCAGGATACAATCAGCGGCCTCAAGAAGATCAACAACACTGCTCTCCCAGGGAAGCTGAAGCAGTGGTGCTTTCAGTTTGGGCTGCTGCCCCATCTCATGTGGCCAATCTCTATCTACGAGGTCACACTATCCCATGCCAGTCGACTGGAGGGAGTAGTGAACGCAGAAGTGAGGAAGTGGCTTGGACTGTCGAGATGCCTTACCAGCATTGGCCTGTATGGCAACAGAGCCCTCTCCCTGCCAATCTCAAGTCTGGTGGAGGAGTACAAATGTGCCAAAGCAAGACTGGAAATGACTCGGGACAAAATCCCGGGATCCAGTAGTCAGAGGTGCTGCTCCTACCCTAGCAACGGGGAGGAAATGGAAGCCGGCGGTAGTGGTTGCGGCGGCAAAGGCTGCCCTCAGACACCGAGATATAGTGGGTCAGGTCCAACATGGCAGAGGGGGCCTTGGATTGGAAGCAGCAACACCCTCATGGCAAAAGGAGGCACATGGTGGTGGAGGAGGTGCGCCACCAAGAGGAAGCAGCCAGGTGTGCAAAGGCAGTCTCCCAAGCCCAGCAAGGCCGATGGGTGAAGTGGAAGGGTGTGGAGAGGAGAAAAATCACATGGCTAATAGGCTAAGTTTCATCATCAGAGCGACTTACGATGTCCTGCCCTCCCCAACCAACCTACACCTCTGGTATGGAGAGGACCCAGCCTGTTCCCTGTGTGCAGCCCCAGCAAACTTTGAACACATCCTGGTGGGTTGCAAGACCAGCCTAACTCAAGGAAGGTACACCTGGCACCACAACCAAGTGCTGAGGTGCTTGGCTGCCGAACTTGAGAGCAAGAGGGTAACCATTAACGCCATGCCTCTAAATGCCCAGACTACCATCCCACGGAGAACAACCTTCATGCAGGAAGGGGAGAAACAGGGGATTAAGCCATCCCTCCCAAACCCTGGCCCGCTGAACGGAGCCCGGGATTGGGAAATGCGAGTAGACCTTAACCAGAGGCTCAACTTCCCACCCGAAATTGCAGCAACCAACCTGCACCCAGAGCTTGTCCTCTGGTCCAAGGCCTGCCGGCGTGTCTTCATTGTGGAAATGACTGTCCCATGGGAGGATGCCATTGATGAGGCATTCGAATGGAAGAGGCTGCGATATGCAAACCTAGCAGCTGAAGCAGAGGGGCGGGGATGGAATGTGAAGGTGTGGCCAGTGGAGGTGGGATGCAGGGGTTTTGTAGCCAGTTCTACCACAAGGCTCTTAAAGGAAGTAGGGATCAGAGGGCAGCCCCAGCGAAGGGCAATCAAAGAACTTGCCACTGTAGCGGAACGAAGCAGTCACTGGCTGTGGCTGAAACGTAAGGATGCAACATGGGCTGCCAAGTGATCCGATAATGTCACCACTGTGCGACACACACCCGGGTCTGATCAACCCGTGGTGGGCCAACCCCGGCGGCGGGTGTCTTGTGATAAGTGGCCGAAACACCCAATGAGGTCGGGCACACAACTGAGGATGTGTCGCACTGGTGGCACCCTGAGTTCTGTGCCAAAGTTCACCCCACCCAAGATGACATCCCCAATCAATTGCTGTGCTGAAAATTAGGAATCTTTAACAACTAGTCTTATTAAGAATCATAGAGTGCAGTTAAGAAACTGAACCATTACTTACAGAGCCTTGCATAGTCAAGCTCCCTCATACATCCAGAATATATTGCACGCATACACTTCTGGTCGCTCTTTGAGGTCTTCAGGCCAAGACCTTTTAACTGTTCCAGTTTTAAAACAAGAGGTGATCGCGGCTTCTGTGTGGTGGCTCCAAGGTTCTGGAACTCTCTTCCATTAGCCTTGATTTGGACTCTTTTTTCTGGAAACTTTTAGAAAACACCTTAAGACACATCTTTTTAGACAAGCATTTAACTAGCCATATGGTTTTGTATGTTATATGTGTAGTTTTTAATTTTGTGAAGCACTTTGTGACCCTTCTTGTCTGTGAACGGTGCTAAATAAATAAAGTTTACTTACTCTTTTCTCAAGCAGACTCTCCTCTGTTCTCAGACACTCCCACACACACACACACACACACACACACACACACACACACACACACACTCAACTAACTTCTTCACTCCGACACTCTACCACTAAATGTATGCATTAATGATGTATTGACTAATTATTTAAATGTGGAACTTCCTCCTTCATCAATACTGGAACTTCTTCATCAATATTGGAACTCCTTCCCTCATCAATACTGGAACTCCTTCCCTCATCAATACTGGAACTCCTTACCTCATCAATACTGGAACTCCTTACCTCATCAATACTGGAACTCCTTCATCAATACTGGAACTCCTTACCTCATCAATACTGGAACTCCTTCATCAATACTGGAACTCCTTACCTCATCAATACTGGAACTCCTTCATCAATACTGGAACTCCTTCATCAATATTGGAACTCCTTCCCTCATCAATACTGGAACTCCTTCCCTCATCAATACTGGAACTCTTTAATCAATACTGGAACTCCTTCATCAATACTGGAACTCCTCCATCAATACTGGAACTTCTTCATCAATACCGGAACTCCTTCCCTCATCAATACTGGAACTCCTTCCCTCATCAATACTGGAACTCTTTAATCAATACTGGAACTCCTTACCTCATCAATACTGGAACTCCTTACCTCATCAATACTGGAACTCCTTCATCAATACTGGAACTCCTTCATCAATACTGGAACTCCTTCATCAATACTGGAACTCCTTCATCAATATTGGAACTCCTTCCCTCATCAATACTGGAACTCCTTCCCTCATCAATACTGGAACTCTTTAATCAATACTGGAACTCCTTCATCAATACTGGAACTCCTCCATCAATACTGGAACTTCTTCATCAATACCGGAACTCCTTCCCTCATCAATACTGGAACTCCTTCCCTCATCAATACTGGAACTCTTTAATCAATACTGGAACTCCTTACCTCATCAATACTGGAACTCCTTACCTCATCAATACTGGAACTCCTTCATCAATACTGGAACTCCTTACCTCATCAATACTGGAACTCCTTCATCAATACTGGAACTCCTTACCTCATCAATACTGGAACTCCTTCATCAATACTGGAACTCCTTACCTCATCAATACTGGAACTCCTTCATCAATACTGGAACTCCTTCATCAATATTGGAACTCCTTCCCTCATCAATATTGGAACTCCTTCCCTCATCAATACTGGAACTCCTTCCCTCATCAATACTGGAACTCCTTCATCAATACTGGAACTCCTTCATCAATACTGGAACTCCTCCATCAATACTGGAACTTCTTCATCAATACCGGAACTCCTTACCTCATCAATACTGGAACTCCTTCATCAATACTGGAACTCCTTACCTCATCAATACTGGAACTTCTTCATCAATACTGGAACTCCTTCATCAATACTGGAACTCCTTCATCAATACTGGAACTCCTTCATCAATACTGGAACTCCTTACCTCATCAATACTGGAACTTCTTCATCAATACTGGCACTCCTTCATCAATACTGGAACTCCTTCATCAATACTGGAACTCCTTCATCAATACTGGAACTCCTCCATCAATACTGGAACTCCTTACCTCATCAATACTGGAACTTCTTCATCAATACTGGAACTCCTTCATCAATACTGGAACTCCTTCATCAATACTGGAACTCCTTCATCAATACTGGAACTCCTTACCTCATCAATACTGGAACTCCTTCATCAATACTGGAACTCCTCCATCAATACTGGAACTTCTTCATCAATACCGGAACTCCTTCATCAATACTGGAACTCCTTCATCAATACTGGAACTCCTTACCTCATCAATACTGGAACTTCTTCATCAATACTGGCACTCCTTCATCAATACTGGAACTCCTTCATCAATACTGGAACTCCTTCATCAATACTGGAACTCCTTCATCAATACTGGAACTCCTTACCTCATCAATACTGGAACTCCTTACCTCATCAATACTGGAACTCCTTACCTCATCAATACTGGAACTCCTTCATCAATACTGGAACTCCTTCATCAATACTGGAACTCCTCCATCAATACTGGAACTTCTTCATCAATACTGGAACTCCTTCATCAATACTGGAACTCCTTCATCAATACTGGAACTTCTTCATCAATACTGGAACTCCTTCATCAATACTGGAACTTCTTCATCAATACTGGAACTTCTTCATCAATACTGGAACTCCTTCATCAATACTGGAACTCCTTCATCAATACTGGAACTGGCTTTTCTTCCGCCATGTTTTCTCTAACTGTAAACTGTCCTGATTCACTAACAGCTCCTACAGAACAGATTCCTTGTGAAACTCCCTCAATCCTGCAGGGCAAGGCTTCATTACCGCTCCGTTGTTTTTTGCTCTTAAAGTCATAACTGTGATGTGATTAATACAACACGAAACTAATTTAATTGCATTTTTAATAGGGCCAAAATACAAATACAAAGTAATTCCTTATTAACAAGTGTCTTAAAATCCAACACAAAAATAAAAAATTAAAACAAAAAACATGGAATTTACTAGCAGAAACAAAGTCCGATCATACTTTATATTAGGTGTCTTAAAAGGAAAACCTGTTCTAGTAGAGCCTGTAAAGGGGCAGAGCAGGTCCTCTTTACCCACAATGTACTCACGCCAGCAAATGATATCTGTTGGGTACAGTGTGCTTCTACCTGTCTGAATTGACAGGTTTGGGAATGTCAACAGTGTAATTACACCTGAAATTATTTAAAAGTAAACACACTAGTTAAAGACAAGACACCCAATATAAAGTGGGATCCAAAGTGCAGATTCCTTCTTTTGCGAAATAATTTCGTTGACTGGTGAGGAGTAAAACAAAGTAGTCTTCATTGTAAAGTTGATAGCTTGTGCAAAGGCTGTTTCAGTGAATGCAACTTGGATCAAGTGTCACAATTCTATAGTACACAAATTTATCAGAACCTTTTTTTGAGTATGTGTATATAAAGGACTTTAAGAGAGAGTACAGGAGTCATCATTAGTGCGGTTCCTGGCAGGGATGTTCCCGTCGTGTTCCTCATCGGGAATGTCGGGAACGTCGGGAACGTCGGGAGAGTCGGCAGTGGGAGAGAACTCGGACGGGGCGTCCTCGTATCCACTGCTCTCCTCGTTCTCATCCTGAGCTTCAGGAGTCTCAACATCCTCACACACTTCTGGAGTCTGATGATCCTCACACACTTCTGGAGTCTGATGATCCTCACACACCGGGAGACCCAGGGATTGTCTGATGATGTTCTTCAGGTGTAGCACTGGTGTGTTGCGATGCACAGGAGCGCCTCCACTGGCTGGGAGAGGAGTTTCGTCTCGGTCCACTGATGATCCTTCAGGAGCGGGTCTGCACGTCTGCTCCACTGTCCTCTCCTAAACACACGAGCAAACGTCCGTCAGACACAATCTGGAGGCAGATTATAACCCATAAGGGTGGCAGCAATCCACCTAAGCTAAACCGATTATAATGAAAACAAATCTCAAGAACGGTCGTTCTTGGTAACAATGTGTTATTAGACCAAGGGTTCATTTTGCGCCGGAGTTCTCCTGCAGGACAACATTGTCAATTTCTTTTCAAAAACAGTTATTTGTGATGTAAGAACAGCAGTTAAACACAGCTCATTTAGGTTTATAACATCACTTGGTCGTCATTCAGTGTTGAACAAATCTATGAAATGTTTTATTTTTCACTGATGGAGGAGAAGAGTTTTGTACGGAGGCGTATTGCATTCACTTGAAGAAAAAAAATCTACTCTGTTTTTCTGAATTAACGAGTTAATTTTTCATGAGAAAAAAAAATGCTCTGTTTTTCTGAATTAATGAGTTAATTTTTCATGAGAAAAAAAAAATTTGCTCTGTTTTTCTGAATTAATGAGTTAATTTTTCATGAGAAAAAAAAATTGCTCTGTTTTTCTGAATTAATGAGTTAATTTTTCTTGAGAAAAAAAGTTTTTGCTCTGTTTTTCTGAATTAATGAGTTAATTTTTCATGAGAAAATTTATTTTTGCTGTTTTTCTGAATTAACTCATTAAAAGCAAAAAAAAAAAAAAAAATCCATTAAAAATTAACTCATTAATTCAGAAAAACAGAGGAAATTTTTTTTCTCATGAAAAATTAACTCGTTAATTCAGAAAAACAGAGTAGATTTTTTTTCTTCAAATGAATGCAATACGCCTCCGTAGTTTTGTGACAACAATTACGGTCAATTCTTTATTAAATAGATTTAATTGATTGTTTTTATTTTTAGTATTTATAGTCATTTAGCAATTTATATGAATTATATTTAACTTTTTGCAAGACCGGTAATGATAGTTGTGTAAAAGTTTATGATGAGATGATCCTCTGAAACACGTCACCTGACAACACATTTCTAATAATATTTGAGTAAAGTGTAAAGATGTCCTAAAGATGTCCAAATGAAGAGTTCAGATGCAAAAGCCTCTAAATGCCATTTGAAATTTTCTTCTTTAATGATGATTTTTATCAAACTTGTATATTTAAGTTCAGTAATTTCACTTAAATAACAAGTGAAATTACTGCTTCATGGGAGTGGGCGGAGCTAAAGAGATATCTTGGTGTGATTTGCTTGTCGAGGCTCTCTGATTGGTGGAACGTTCTGACTGTAGCATCATGGGTAATGTAGTTGATGAATTCCATGATTATTTGAAGGATAAGTTGAAATAATGTTAGAACGGTGGACGAGTGAACGTCACTGCTCACCCTCAGGAAATGATGTGTGGTGTTTGATGAAACTAAAGGATTCTCAGGGACTTCCTACAGTAACACACATCGGGCACAGTTTGCTCTCATAGTGAATGATAAAAGAATAAAATAAGAGAGAAGTGAACACTCTCACAGTTCCCCAAACATGGTTATGCAAGCGTGCAGTGTCTCTCTCTCTCTCTCTGTCTAGATCATGTGATTGTGTAAGCGTAGTGTCTCCTCACCTCTCGTAACCTCTCCATCTCCTGTGTGACTGAGGCGAGCTTGTCCTCCATCTTCCTCCTCATCGCTCTCTCTCTCTCCAGCTCCTGCTCAGACAGAAACACATATCCTCAGCTCAGTCTCTCTGTGTGTGTGTGTGAGTGTGTGTGTGTGTGTCAGTACCAGTGTGAGCTGATGAGTCTCCCGCTGTGTTTCGGCCAGCATCTCCTCCGCCCCCTCGAGCGCGTCCTGAAGAACTTCAACCTGGAAGAGCAGCGCCTCCTGCTGGAGCGAGAGAGTCCTCACACACTCCTCCTGCACACACACACACTCTTCAGAGTCCAGCTCCTGCACACACACACACACACACACACACACACACACACTCATAGTTCAGCTCCATCTGCACTGCAAACACTACTCAACATGCATTCTCTAGATTGGACGCCAAAGCACACTAACTAAAATACATACATAGAGATAAAAAAATTAACTTTTTATAAATACTTTTATTTTTCTTAAGTATTTTTGTCCACTTTAAAGGTGCAGTGTGTGATATATAACGGCATCTAGTGGTGAGATTGTGAATAACACCCAACAGGAAGCGCTGTCATCTTCTGGGATCATTCACTTAATTATTCAGAAACATGTGGGTGTAAGCGGACCCGCGGTGTGTGTAGAGAGAAACGCCTCATTCTAAGATAATAAACACAACACTTCATTATGTAAACTCTTTATACACCACTGAACACACGGTTATGTTTATGATATTTCATTTTTGTCAACAGATCCTCCTAAATATCACACACTGCACCTTTAAATGTCAACAAATGTATAGATAAATAGATTAATTAATAATTGTGGAGAAAATATAATAAACCCTTTTTCCTTTTTTTCTCCATTTTTTTGTATTTTCTATTGAATTATTTCTTATTTTATCAGCTTTGGCGTTTTCTAGTTTGCACATATTGCCTGTAGTGTGTGATAGAGCTCAGTGTGACATGTAGAAGGGTTTTTCGGTAACACAGTCCAGTTGCCCATGTAAATACTATGTACTTATTTTAGTAACTACAATTACTGGGTAATAACTAGTACTAACCCTGAACCTACCCCTGTTCCATGTACTTACCTTATTAGCCAGTACTTTCTAGGTAAGTACACTGTTCTGTAAAAGGAAGCGTTACCGGTTTTTCTCCTTAAAGAAAGAAGTGATTCTGAACTGAAACGAGTCGTCAGTAATTGAGTCTCAGCTTTGTAACTAATTTAGATAATGCCCGCCTGTGGTCCTGATTGGCTGAGACTCTTAGCTCCGCCCTCAAACACTGTAGTGTATCTGAGATTGAGTTTGTGTTGTTCGTGTCGAGGAGACGCTGTTTTCTGAGATTGAGACGGTGAAACCCACGCCATCATCACTGTTCGTATCACTGTGATCAAGAGCTGAGATTCAGATATGATAATGAGCGTTTGCTTTCCGACCAATCACAGCAGAGCAGCTCTCAGAGAGGCGGAGCTTAGAGAGATATGTTAATGAGCCCCTGAGTGGTGTGATTCACAGAGGAGCGTCTCACGAGTGAACACTGACTCGAGACACACACACACCTGTTGATGATTCACCACACCTGCGTGTCCCAGCATGCATCAGGGTCACTTTAGCTCTACTCATATTTTGAATTTGCTTGCGTCATCTATCCTGGAAACTGAATCTTTCATGAAATAGCAGCTTTTATAATTCACAACAGTAAAACTATTACACATATTATTTGGGTTAAAAAAAACATGTAAATCTATCTTACCATTTCTACGTTCTCAGAAAGCAGATCATCTTCACTCTAAAAAACAAAACATACAATTGTTCATTGGTACATTAACAAAGATACAACATGATTGTAACAAAACTGATCTGATTGGATGAGCGAGTCCTGTTCAGCAAGTATAGATCTGGGAGAGAGTTAACACACGGTTCTGCTTGAACACACACACACACACACACACACACACACACTCAAACCCCAGTACTCGCCTGGCTCTCCTCCCTCGCTCCTCTCTTCAGGCTCCCGTACCGGCTGTCGCTGCGGGACAGGTGTCTGCTCGACTCTTCTGCCTGCACACACACAGCAGATTATTGATTACGAATATAAAACAGTAAAGAAACAAACTCCATCTAATGATTCTGAAAGGAAATCTGGCTGAATTTGGAGTTTTACACACTCGTGATGTGTTTCAGGCTCTACTAGAACAAGTTTTCCTGCTTCAATGTTGATTATTCTCCTCATATTCTCCATTGTTGCGGCTCCTCTCTTCCCAGTCTGTCAGTATCGCTCTGTTCACTTCCTGTCTCTATGAAGCCCCTCCTCCTGAAAAGCACACTGTGCTCTGATTGGTCGAGGGCTTCGAGCGTGTTTGGGAAATGTCCCGCCTATTTCCATAACCGCCAGTTTAACACACTACTAAGTAACTCAAGCAGGCCCCGCCCCTTTATTCTGCGTATGAATTATTATAATGAGGAATATTGAGCTTCACCTGATTTTGGTTGCCCATAGTGCTATAGCTGTGTTATCATCCAACGTTCTGTGCACAAAACTGGAATATCGGGTGCAAAACGTTAACGACAAACACTATTAACTTCAGCGAATGAAAGGTAATAATAATTATTATAATGCTTCAGTGTGACACATTAAATCTGTTAGAAATATCTTCTAGTGACACCATTACACAATAGAGTAAAATAACCGCTGATTCGGTTAAACCAGTTTGTTGAAACTAACCGCTCGAAAGAATCTGTTCATGGAAATTAATTGTATTTCTGAAAACTATTAATGAACCAGAGGCAATTAATGATCAGCTGTTAATTTGAAAAAGGCTTTTAAAGAGGATTCAATTCCTCTTGATGGAACTGACTCTTGATTCCCAACCCAACACCTCAGAATCGATTCACTTTGGAGTCGGTTTCATGCCCTACAAAAATGTTGCCAAAAATTGGACCAAAACCACTCGATTCATATGGATTAACGTTAGTTTTACGATCTATTTATGAACTTTTTGAAGCGTCACAGTCACATTGGTAGTTGCGTCGACTGTCAATGGAGGAACAGTAATCTCTCAGATTTCATTAAAAAAGATCTTCATTTGTGTTCCGAAGATGAACGAAAGTTTTACGGGTTTGGAACGACATGAGGGAGGGTGATGAATTCTCATTTTTGGGTGAACTGTCCCTTTAAGACTGAAGTTTCAGAATAAAACTTCATATGATTGCGAGCACTGACTGATGTCACAATCGTAGAGGGGGATTGTAACATATTTCAGTTGTGCAGTAAAGTAAATAATGAACAGCTTTGATCGTTCGTCACGTCTAATTCGTTTTTATCGCGAGATTCGGCATCATCGCGCACATCATCACCATCGGAGGGTGTGTGTTGTGTTAAAATGACAGGTCGTATTTATTTAAGAAAAAATAGAATGGCATTTTCTATATTTATAATCAAATAAATCACCAGGTAAAGAGAATATGCTCATCTACAGTTAGAGAGCAGTCCCAAATCAGCCCATTATCATCTTATCGAGGCTTTGGCGTTTATAATAGGATGGCTAATGTAATCCAGGAGACACAACCGTCAAAGATCAGGAGACAATTACAGCAGAAACCCAGTCACGAGTCACACAAAGAAGATCCGGACTCTGAGACTCCTAACGTTAGCTACCTCTCTGATGATGTGCCGAAGAGACTCTTCTTCGCTCATCCCTCGAGAGAGAGTCCGTTTCCTCAGAGATCCCGCTTTCTCCAGCTGGCCCGAATGCATGTTCCCGCGGACAACAGGTCCGAGAAATGTGTGTTTCTGAGGAGTTTCTCTGCCGGAGGGACAGTGTGTGTTGTGTTGTGTTGTCGGGTGGCTTCTGTGGGCGAGGCTTCGACTCATGAGGGGGCGTTCTTCATTTGTTATGTAATACCACCGTGCTTTGAAATATAAGACGGGGTAAGATGAACCACACTTCTTAAAGGGTCAAGATATGGATTATTATTTTTTTTTTAATATATATAAATGTTCCGTGAGGTTCACTATGTTAAGGTATTTTTGCTCAAAAATAACTTGTAAATATGTGGAAAAACAGTTATTTTCAACCATCACTCTGAGCCTCTGTCTGAAATGATCAGTTTTTAAGGCGCGGCTCCTTTAAGGCTGGCCAGTAAACGACCACTGTTATGATTGGCTAACGTCACTGCATAGGAAACAGCGTCAACGCCTACTTGATGTTGCTTGTGTTTTGAAAACATTGATCCATATAAAGCAATTATGAACAATTACAATGGTGTTTGATGCAGCTGTTGTCAGACGCTTTATCTGTCAACAAAAGTTTATTTGTAAACTCTTTTACAAAAAAAAAGGCCTGTGGTGTGATGATGTGTGACTATCACTTGCTCTGGAGGCGGGCATATGCAAATCTATTTCCCCAAACATCCAGATTGAATCTTGATTAAATAAATGCAAGTATGAATAGCATTTGTGGCATCTCTGTGTATTGCTGTATTTTGCACTTTTTCCCCTACTTTATTGCTCTATATTGTAAAGTGTGGTTGAAAGGCACTATATAAAATAAACATATTATTAATGTTATAGAGACCTCTTATGTCAAAATCACGAATCCTTTTCTCTTGACCACAGATGACACGAAATCTCACGTGAAATCAATTGATAAATACTCCTATTAATTTCGTCATTTCATCTGAATATTAACATTAAAGTGATTTGAGCTGAATAATGACACTGTCTTCTGTAGAATTTGTCTCATATTTGAAGAATTTTGCATCATTGATCGTTATTTTCCTCTGACTGAAGCTGCGTTGAAAAAAATCTGCTGACTTGAAAATCACATTTGTGAGAATCAGCAAAAACAGCATTGAGGTTAATTCTGTGTCTGGGAAATAGTGAAACGTGACATTGTTTTTAGTTGAATATAAAAAAAAAATGTGTTAATGAGAGATGTTTTTAGATTTGTGGGGTAAAAATCTTTACACACATTAGCCTATAAAGGAAGATTTATTTGTTTAAATTCCTAAAATAAAGATGTGTCAATTTAATTCACTTTTGTAAACCCAGCCAGTCACAATGAAACCATCTGATCTGCATTAAAAATCTGAATTTTAATTTAATAATGTGTTGAAACAATAGACTGGTTTACACACTAAATCCGGCAGAGATTCCAGTACGTATCGCTCGTTACTGACGTCACTGCCTGTCTCCACACCGATTGGCTGCCGCGTGGCTTTTTTCCGTTTAAATTAGCATAAAGTTGAGTATTTTGGGAGTTTTGGACACTAGTCAAACTCCAGCCTGATCTTTTCTCCACACCACTGTCGACAGACATGCTCCTTCAGCTCATAAACAGTGTATAATATTAGAAGTGTACTATTATAAACTTTTAAATAGCCTTCTTCTGTACTACGAGCTATTGTACATTACTACTATCATCGTCTCTCTCTCTCTCTCTCTCACTCACACACACACACACACACACACACACACGCGACAAAACCCTGTCGTTGGATCGGATCGGCCACAGACAAGCATTTACCTATGACTCCCATATGGTCTAGCGGTTAGGATTCCTGGTTTTCACCCAGGCGGCCCGGGTTCGACTCCCGGTATGGGAAGGAGTGATTCTTTTCTTTGAGCTGCAGAATAGAGTTGAATAGAACAGAATCAAGAGGGAATGAACAGCAGAATAGAACAGAATACAAAACTTGCTAACATGAATGAACACAACAGGAGGGTTACGATGGCAGTTAGTGTAATGACATATGGCATATGTGCTGTATTGTTTCAGGGAACGACGACAAGGCTTCAACTAAGTCACACAAAGGGATGAGCGATGCTTGCGCGTCTGGAGAGTTTAGGAGGGGAATAGACCTTCTCCCTGATGAAAAAAGCTGGCATGAGTTGAATCAAAAGTAAATAATGTTGCTAGATTCATGGGTGAACTAATAAACTTCATATGATAATGCATTGTACTATTTTTATTTACGTGTAAGGGCAAATCATTAATTACAATGTAAATCCAATGTAATATTGATATAATTAAGATGACTTATGGCTGTTTGTATGTTCACCCTCTGCATATGAGGGGGCGAGGGTGACCACCCTTCTGAAGGAGCTCAGACTGTATTTCTGGACAAGGTAACCTTAATTAGCCCAGTTCAAGTTGCATAACTAGCTAGATGTGTTTGCAATATTAATGTGTCTTTACATCTAAAATTAGGCATTATGAGGAGTGTATAATATTATGTGTCTGGTATATCTTCATGCATGTATCACAGGTTCATCCAGCAGTCACAGTGCACCCCTGCCCAAAGCACACCCTCCATCAGTGATGTCACATCCTGCAAAGAAAGCCAAACTGATATTGTCAATGTTAAGCTCTGTGACTCTAAAGTCTGTGCACTGCAGAGTGTGAGTTTGTTTTGCATTGTAATTCTGTCAGAGTGTACTGTGTATGTGTACAATTTCTGTGTACTGTATTAAGCATAACTATTATACACACTATTATGTAAAACCACATTTCCTCATCAATCCATTTAAAATAATAACAATAAAACTAACTTTGCATCTGAGTTTAATCACTGGCAACTGCTATGCATTGTTCAGAAAGTATTTTAAGGTGAAATGGTGAACATGTCAAAGATGTTACTAAATCTCGGAGGATAACTGCTTGAATATGATATTGAAGTAATTGACATTTTGTTTTTCCCCAAGCACGATTACAGTTTACCTGGTAACATGGGTTTGTGTTGAGCAACCTTCAGCTTCTTCAGATCAACAAATAGTAGAGTATTTTTTTAAATTAATACCAATTAACATAAATCATAAAAAAAGAAAGGAAAAAAGTTGAATAATTTCAAATCATTCTCCGATACATTTAAATTCATTATGTTCACTTCAGAAAGTAAGTCATCCAGGATTGGATCAAAAGTGAGTAAATGATTAGATTTGTTTTTGCGGTGAAACTAGAGACAGGCATTGGTGTTCTTTCACTAAGTCTTTAAACCTCATTTGTTAATTAATGTTTTACATCGACATGAATACAGGAAGCCAAGCTTAAACAGAACTTTTTTTTAATTTTCATTATTAAGTCCACATAATTTGCATTCAATTCATGAAATAATTACACAATACGATCTCAGTTAAAAGCTTAATATCATTTTAACAGGTAATTGCAACAGACAAAAACTAAATAAAGTGAAGTGCTCTATGGTGTGTTGAACTCAAATACTGGCACAAAAATATAAAAATAAAATAATAAAAAGCCAACTCTTCATGGCAAAGGTTTCAACACATCTGCTTTTTAGGTGACTGAAAGTCATGTAAAAGTCCACATTCATGAAGGTTAATGCCTGGCATACACACACACACACACACACACACACACACTTTGGTAATAAACACCAATGCAAGAACTGCTCAAGTGTCTCAGGACCCTTGATGATATAAAACATCAAAATATTTCCCCTGTATGTAAACCATAACAACCTTGATGTAAAGCTTAATATATTGGAAAATATACGCTAAACTGACACATATGGTACACAGGTAAGGCATAGCTGTTAAGTGCATGTTGGCAGATCCTCAACAGTGACAACAGAAGTGTGTGACACCTGATATCAGCAGATGAACAAACAAGACAAGGACGCTTTCACTCAAAATTCAAGTTTTCGAATGCTGGATATAAAAATACAGGCAGGACCGGCTGAAGTAAACTAGCAGAATTACGAGTCTGCACAAATCTAAAACGCATGTCGACTGTAAAATGTTGTGCAGAGACACACACACAATAACTGCATAACCATCAGGACATTTGTGCTGATTTTGTAAGAGCCTGAGTTTCAGATGTTTTTGACTATATGTGGCTTTTCATGTAAAGATCATGATAAACAAAAATCATATTCTGCCTCGAGTTCATACACACTTATGTTTGTACTTGCCATGACAGTGTTTTCTGTCCAGAACATGGAAAAAGCATCAGATCATGAAACAACATCTACCGACACGTGCTCTAGAGCATCAGAAAGAGGAAATGAAAGAGGTTCGGTGATCACTCGAGTGAGCGCAGCTTCTCCTGAAGGGCCAGGACACACACACACACACACACACACCGTTCACGGCTCGTGGACAGCACTCACGCTCAGCTGAACTGCTCCAGGTAGGCCGAGAGCAGAGACTGAGGAGGCAGGAACTCGTCCTGTTTGTTTACGACCTGCGTCTGTCGAGCGCCATCACAGTCAGAGCCTGCGGGAGATCACACACTTCAGCTTTCCTGAGGTCGTGTGCGAGAGATGCTGATAAAACTGAGTTTAGATGTGAAAATACATTAAAATATCAACATTTTTGAGGGTCAATTTCATATCGCCAGTGGAGTTAACCTGCTATCCCAGTTAAACACCAAACTACAGTTTACAGAACACACTAGGGCCTGAACAGATCAGTCAACATGAACGAATCTTTTTTTTTGTGTTATTTGGTTCATTCAAGAAACGAAATGAATGAATTGACTCGGGAAAAGATTTGTTCATTTTGATGAACAGGAGAGTCACGAACGTGCATCACAGAACAGAGCAAGGCGAGCGTTTGAGCTTATAAAACTTTAACTTTGTTATTTATTTATTAAATGAGCGATCGTTTCGCTTGATAAGACCCTTATTCATCGTCTGGTGTCGTTTAAAGCCTTTTGAACAGTTTGCACTGAAACTCTCATTTGGACCTTGAACCGTTTGGTCCCCATTGAAGTCCATTATATGGAGAAAATCCTGGAATGTTTTCATCAAAAACCTTCATTTCTTTTCCACTGAAGAAAGAAAGACATGGACATCTTGGATGACACGGGGGTGAGGAGATTATCAGCAAGTTTTTTGAAAATTGAACGACTCCTTTAAATAGTTGTTCTAAAATACAGGATGTGCTCTTCCTCAGTTGAGAGAACATCAAAACTAATACTGAGAAATAAAGCCAGAGATATTATTATAAAAATGTATTGTCACATCTGTGTCCTCTAATGCTAGATTCTTCAATTCAATGAATAAATTAAATCTGAATAAAAAATACAGTGTATGGCTCCAATCAAATGAAATCACTATCAACAAAATACAAAATACAATTATATAAAGAGATTAATTTTAAATATCATTTTTTTTATGTAGAAATATTAAATGATTGGAAAAATGAAATAATGGTTATAGGCTACTCTGAAATGACCCCCGCCAGTAGGGGGCGGCACCTGAGTGAGTTGAATCCTTGATATTAATAGAAATTGTCAACCTCTGAAAAGCAATGAGGCGTGAATATATGAAAATAAATCGATATCTTTCTCAATGCCAGCTCTTTTGGGCTGAAGTTGAAGTTATCCTGAAGTGTCTTGGATCGCGCAGTTTTGTCTGTAATTTCCACTGAAACAGGAAGCTAAGGCGGGACATATTGAATGGCTCCTCCCCTTTTTAAAACAGCCAATAGCGTTTAGTTTACGTCAGACTGCAAGTCCTGCTTGACAGCGCCATGGAAGCGAATCCGAGCGCTGATGATACGTTGGATTCAATAGTAGAGGAGTGAATAAATTCTAGCCATTTCATTCCTAACCAACGTACAGCCGAACACACAATAGCGAAGAACAGTAGCAATTTTGTTTTAAAAAAAATGGGTGGTAGAGGAGAGTGCAAAGATAAATGTACAATGTGTGTACAACAACAATTTTTGGAAAAAAACTTTTCACTTTTGGGTGAACTATCCCTTTAAGAAACTAGAGTTCACACTAGCCTCATTAGAAAACAGCCATAAATCACTCACTAGCAGAGGTCAGATCCATGTACTGGCAGACGGCATGAAGGAGCAGACGCTCATAACTGGAGAAACACAGACACATCTGAATCAGAACATACACTAACATTACAGCGTCTGATCTCTCAAGCAACATGTGTTTAACAGTTGGTGTTGTTCAGGAGGAGAGACGCACCTGCTGCTGAGTTTGGTAGTGTATATCGAGTGTGGTTCTGTCATGAAGAAGTCCAGCAGATCGGACTCCAGACCCTCCAACACTCCCTTAAACAGAAGAACAGTGGATGCACGGATAGTGTTATGGGGGAACATTTGTTAAAAGTCCAAACACAAAGGTCAAGTAAATAGCAAAGAGCGTCACCATGGGAATCTGTTTGCGTTTCAGCGTCACACGCAGCCTTCGATCAATCCTCTGGAAGCAGTCCCGGGCCCGCACCGCAGGGTCTACTGCTCAGGGGACAGGACAACCAGCTTCATTAATACAGCAATCACTCAATTAATAACGATTAACATTTTTCAAATCCCTAGATTAATGGCAGAGACACCCATGAGTAAATCTTGCATAAGTTCACCTATACAGAGGTCAAATACTGTGGCACTGTCGGAACATTGCTCTGTTTGCTTCGACTGTTTGTTCTGACACGTCACAACTCAACCAGTGCCTGAATCTGGGGCAGAGTGTGTGTGTGTGTGTGTGTGTGTGTGAACAAAAGTGATGTTTTCCCAAATATCCACACAATTGCAAATGTAAGAGTCACTTTAATATAACAATTTAAAAGGATACTCCACTTTTTTTGGAAATAGGCTCATTTTACCACTCCCCCAGAGTTAAACGGTTGAGTTTTACCGTTTTCAAATGTGTTCAGCCAATTTTTAAAGAATATTTAGAAGAATATCAGTACCCAGACAGTTTCTGGTCTCATTGACTTCCATAGTATATTTTTTTTCCGACTATGGAAGTTAACAGTGGTGGAATGTAACGAAGTACAAATACTTTGTTACTTTACTTAAGTAAATTTTTCACGTATCTTTACTTTACTTAGGTAGAATAAATAGTGCATACTTTTTACTTTTACTTTGTTACATTTTGCAGCAATTATTCTACTTTCTACTCCACTACATTTCTACAACTTCTGTTACATTTTCTGATCAGTTTTTCCCCGGCCAAAACATAATCTGACCGTCCGTCCGTTGCACGTTTGTCTCACCAGTGACGTTTGGTTGCCATAGATACATCAACTAAATGCGTCTCGCACGCAGTGTGTTTATCGTGCGATTTATACGCGGAAATTTGTTTTAACATGCATAGGAAACACACCGTGTTTAAAATACGTTTGGGATTATGGCAAGCCCAGAGGTTCAGAATTACACCATAAATAAATCGCATTTACAGCAAAACATAGTTATTAACATATAGTAAGGATATGGCTTATATTGCCTAATTGCAAGCTTGTTTCAGAAATGGTGACATTTTTTTCCATCATTATTGAACATCATTATAGGAGTATTAGGTTGAATGAGTTAGAATTAAATGTTTTATTAATCATTAGAAAATAGTCATTAAGAGAATCAATTATTATGCAAGTACTTTTACATTTAATACTTAAAGTACATTTAAAATCAGGTACTTTTTACTTTTTACTTAAGTATGGTTGTCATTGTGTTACTTCTACTTTTACTAAAGTAAATATTTATCTGGTTATTTGTACTTTTACTTCAGTACTTCCTCCACCACTGGAAGTCAATGAGACCAGAAACTGTCTGGTTACTGATATTCTTCTAAATATAAAAAAATCGGCTGTATGGATTCGAAAACGGTAAAACTCAACTGTTCAACTCTGGGGGAGTGGTAAAATGAGCCTATTTCCAAAAAAAGTGGAGTATCCCTTTAAATGAAGTTTAAACCCAGTTTTGTCCATTGTTCTCTATTTCACACACAAAAATAGTTGCAAACAAAGGAGAACGGCTGAAACACACAGAGAGCCGTTCTGTTCATGAATGAATCCGCCAGTTTGAACGAATCAGTGTATATATACGATTATTCTTTGACTAGACTCGCTGCCACCTACTGGCGGTTTCAGTTTCATATTAAAGTATACAGAAAAGTATCATTTCATTTTACACTTCAGTACGTAATTAACTTTTTAATGTAATTGTTATAGTAGGCTAATTATCTAAACAAGTCTTAAGATGTGTGTAGATGTGAATCCTTCTCTCTTATTGGATGCAAAGAGAGTTTGTGTGATGTCATGATGTCAGACCGTCTCTTTGGTCTTTCTGGCTCTTGGAGTGTGTCCTCTGAGCCTCCTCCTCCAGCAGAGCCAGGAGCCGCTCTTGCTCCTCCCCAGATCGATTCATAAAATCACTCCAGTACTGAGAGACACGAGAGAAACATTTACAGGATTCAAACTATCCCTTAACCGAGACCAGTTCAAGAAACATGCGTTACCTCCACATAGTTCCCATTGGAGCAGGCTTCAGTGAAGATGGTGGCCGAGGCCGTTTCATGCCCTTCGCCGTCCTCTGTAGAGCAGTCGTCCCGGTCCAATAGATTGACCAGAAAACGAGCTATGCAGAAGCAGAATTTGCTAAATATTACAAAATCATGACTAAACTTTTTACTCTCCATTAACTGTAAAAATCCAGGTTCAACAGCCTGTATGCTCCACACGGAGATCTGATCTCTCCATCCTCGACTCGTCGTGATTACATGAAGACTCAACATCTCCGAGACACTGGAAGAAACCCACCTGCAGCTTCCTAAAGAACTATGTGCAGGGTTTCTACGGGTTTAAACGCAAAGGATTTAAACAGCATTATTTATTACTATATATATATTTAAGTGCCTAAACTTTTCGCAGTATTGCAGCTTTGCAGGTTGGTTTCTTCACGTGTCCTCTTGGAGACATTGCCACAGTTCTTCTGGATTTAGTCTGTCTCAGTTTTTTGTTTCTTGTATTCCCAGATGGACTCGATGATGGTGAGATCAGATCTCTGTCAATTAAATATATTATAATTATGAAAATACCTGGGATGGCTTTAAGAACAGATAAACCATAATACTGTCGCTGTTGTGTTAATTCTCCATGTTTAATCAGTCAGAATCTATCTGCGTTTTATTCGGCTACAGTGATCGCTGGAAGTCTTTGTCCACAGGGATTTCCTGGAACTCATCGAGACTTTCTGTGCGAGGGCGCCCTCCGGCGTCGAGGATAAATGAAACATAAATTACATGCGAGTTTAGCGCTCAATAATGCTCACATCGTCCTATTTTGTGTAAAAATAGAAAATATTTGACGTATAGTTTTTATCTAAATGAGCACACTTTTGGGCGTAAACAATAACAAAACACAGAAAGGCATCAGCAGTTAACAGGTTACTGTAATATTTCCCGTTTCAGGATTAGCAAAATAATGGCAACTTAATCTCTGTCCAGTGGCCAAATCTGCAAGATTACCCAGGCGGTGGTGAGTACAGAGGTTGGTGGGTTGGCCCCATTTTGCACTCAATGGTGATCGCCAAGTCCTGCAGACTGGGATGATCAACGATTCATTTTTGTGTAAAAAAACTTCTACACTGGCGAGCGAACTGGGAGTGTGGGGAACTCTCTGTCATATCAGCCACATCTTCTGGCCATCTTCAGCCCATCAACTGCAGAAGATAGGCTGAAGATGGGAAGATGGGCTGATGGACTGAAGATGTGTAGAAGATGGGCTGAAGATAGGAAGATGGGCTGAAGATGGGCTGAAGATGGGCTGAAGATGGGCTGAAGATAGGAAGATGGGCTGAAGATGGGCTGAAGATAGGCTGAAGATGGGCTGAAGATGGGCTGAAGATGGGCTGAAGATGGGCTGAAGATAGGCTGATGAGCTGAAGATGGGCAGAAGATGGGCTGATGGGCAGAAGATGGGCTGAAGATAGGAAGATGGGCAGAAGATGGGATTAAGATGGGCTGAAGATGGGATTAAGATGGGCTGAAGATGGGCAGACGATGGGCAGATGGGCTGAAGATAGGAAGATGGGCTGAAGATAGGAAGATGGGCTGAAGATAGGAAGATGGGCAGAAGATGGGATTAAGATGGGCTGAAGATGGGATTAAGATGGGCTGAAGATGGGCAGACGATGGGCAGATGGGCTGAAGATAGGAAGATGGGCTGAAGATAGGAAGATGGGCAGAAGATGAGCAGAAGATAGGCTAATGAGCTGAAGATGGGCAGAAGATGGGATTAAGATGGGCTGAAGATAGGATTAAGATGGGCAGATGGGCTGCAGATAGGCTGAAGATGGGGGTGATGGGCTGAAGATAGGCTGAAGGTGGTTCAGGCTGGTGGTGTAATGGTGTGGGGGATATTTTCTTAGCAGAATGTGGGCCCCTTAGTACCAACTGAGCACTATTTAAACGCCACAGCCTACATAAGTAATACCTTACTGATCATGCGGTCACCTTTATTATGACCAGTGTACCAGTCTTTTGATGGCTGCTTCTAGCACAATAACGCACCATGTCACAAAGCTCAAATAATTTCAAACTGTTTTCTTGATCACAACAATGATGTCACACTTTACTCAAATGGCCTCAACAGTCACCAGATCTCAATCCAATAAAGCACTTTTCGGATGTGGTGGAATATGGTCAATATGGACCAATATCCCTGAGGAATGTTTCCAGCACCTAATCTATGCCACCAAGAACTAAGGCAAAAGGGGGTCCAACCCAGTACTAGCAAGGCGTACCTAATAAAGTGGCTGCTGAGTGTTTATATCAGTTCATGCTTTTGGAGCTGCTCTACTGATTGAGCTACAGTAAAAGCAAATATTTCACAGGCAAATTTCAGTTCGTTTAATAGGAATGCATGCATTGTGGACTTTCGTGTGAGGGCGAATTTTCATTTCAAAGCATATTATTCGCAGCACTGACCAACAGACAGCTACATGGTTTGAACAGTGATTCATACATTGAAATATCACTAATGTGACCACACCTTAAGTCTAAAAAATGTTTGAACTATGAGAGCCATCATGTTACAGTCATAAACCATCATAGACTTTTGTATTTTTTTCACTAATGAAAAAGAGTAGCGTGAACATTCTGCAAAACTTCTACTGCGTTCCACAGAAAAAAAGTGTGTTTGAAATGACATTAGGGTGAGTAAATGATGACAGATTTCATGTATTAAAAGTAAATAAAATAAACATAAATAATGAAGAATCCAAACATTACAGCATGACTCACTGTTTTCCTGTCGTTGCAGACTCTTCCTGCCCTTGGCTCTGGGAGTGAGGTCAGAGTTTCGGACGGCCTGGTTAATAAAGAACTGCTTCTTTTTGGCTGGAGAAACTCGTTTTGCAGGAGAGTTGGGTAGAGATGAGCAGCGCCGCTCATTTACGCTGAAAGACAAACAGGAATCAGATTTGTCTGGATTCACTAAACTATTCTCACAAAGGGTTTACTCCATAGTCACAAACAAGACGGTCACAAAATTTACTCCTATATGAAGTAACGGAATAAAATTTTCTTAAAAAATTTTCACAATGTTTTAGTGGATTTTATGGTAGGTTTCCACACTGCACTACTGTAGTGAATCTACAGACCCTATGGAGACCCACTGTTGTGATTTTATTTATAGCTCTCTCCACAGGCCAGATGCTTTACCATGGAAGTAGGTCACAGCTTATCTCTGCAAAAACATATGCAAACTTGTCTATTGAGTTGTCCAATTTACTATTATTATTTATTGTGAAGAACCTGCCCAGGATAACTTACAGAGAACCCAGTTAATAATATACATTTATACTAAATAACCTAATTAGATCAGATGCGAAAAACAGCCGTTTATTCGGAAATGTCGGTTATTTCCAAATTGGTTTCCTTTCCTTATAACTTTACTTTTTTTGTCTGTGTGTATATAGGCTAATGACTTTCATTTAGCTGAGGAGCTCAACATTCAATTAAATGACATTGACAATCATTACAACGCTACCACAGTTTTAAACAAGTACATCACTTATTATTAGTTTATTCATGTAAAACATTACATGCAACGAAGACTTGAGAGACGTATCTGACGTTTGTTTTTAATGAGCTTGACCGGCTAACAAAAACATTTGACGTGTATGTGTGTAAGACAAAAAATAGGAGCATTAGCTACCGGCTACAAGCTAAAAATACACTTACATTACATCCTGTTCCTCATTGTTATTGCTATTTAACACAACCATGTCAAAGTCTTCTCACAAAGAAACACGACAGAGACAAACAAAGAATTTTATAAGGAGAAAAGGTCCAGAACAGCTGGCGTTAGCCGCGATAGCTAAAAGCTACTGATAGATACTAGAGAGATTGGGCGGGGCTTGGGAAACCCTGCAGCCATGACAACACTTACAGCCAATCCTCATAACGCTCCCTTCGACATGACAGAAATTTCAATATAATATAATATAATATAATATATAAAAAAGTGTGTATGTGATTGGTAACCAAGTTTTTCACCATTTTTACAGAAATAGACAACTATTGAATATGCTTCAAAGAGGTCGAAATGCTGCATGTATAGGCCTAATTATGAAAGAATAATCAATTTATACTAATATAGGTATTTAATGTTACGGTACTGTCAAGGTATTACGATTATATATAACTTTATATCAAGATCTGACTGGAAATGATTTTATTAATCTGACAATTTTATTTAAAACGAATATTTAGCAGTAGTCTAAACAATTAATGAGTAACCTACTAAATATCTATACAAAATTAAATGTATTATTATTCAGATTTAAATAAATAATATGTCCAACAAAGAAAACAATCGACTTTGCTTTAACAGTGAGTTGTAAAGTCTCCCGTCATTTCCCAGAACCACTTTCATCCAGACAGTTATCATCCATGAAACTAAAAATATCTTTCACAAACATAATTTCCCCTGACGTGTAGCTTTTAAGAAACAAGACAAGGTCACTCAGTGCAACAGAAAGCAAACTTCAGTTACCAGATTTATATAATTGCATATAAATATCCCAATATTTTAACATTTTATCCAGCGTCATACCCATAAGATTGCAAACATAACAATTTCATTCATAATATCTCAGGTATGTACATACAATAAATATTACATACAAAAGCTACATATCCAGCATTATGACAATCTTTGCAGTGAAGAGATACAGTGATAATCCAGACCACAATATTACAATTGTTTTAGCCTAAAGTGCATCACAGAAAAACCATAAATAAAACTAAAATAGTTAAAAAAAACAATCTGCAAATAAATAACTATATTGAGCACATGAAGGCAGTGTGAGTTTGATACCATACACTGAACATTTGACCTGTACGTACATGTAAAAAAAAAGAGGTCTGTTATGATGTAACATATTCATCATATCCATAGTGGGTTGCACAGAGCAAATCCTACACAGAGATGCAACTCACATCATGACAATAATAGGCATAATTTATGCGTTAACGAGGTCTGGAAGAGAATTCCTGCCAACGATGTCATGCGTCATTTTCAAGTTTAAGAATAAGGACTAGACATTCAATCCAAGATGTCCATGTCTTTCTTTCTTCAGTCGAAAAGAAACGAAGGTTTTTAAAGAGCTTATAAAACTTAAACTTTGTTATTTATTTATTAAATGTTCGATCGTTTCGCTTGATAAGACCCTTATTCATCATCTGGAATCGTTTAAAGCCCTTTGAACAGTTTGCACTGAAACTCTCATTTGGACCTTGAACCGTTGAAGTCCATTATATGGAGAAAATCCAGGAATGTTTTCATCAAAAACCTTAATTTCTTTTCCACTGAAGAAAGAAAGACATGGACATCTCGGATGACACGGAGGCGAGTAAATTATCAGCTAAAGTTTTTTAAAAGTGAACTACTCCTTTAAAGCAACTAAATAAAACTGTTTGAACATGATCCGTGAGGAAGGCACCAGAGATCGGCGTCAGGACTGTTTGCTTTTGTTCACACAGTGCTGTCCTGTGTTTTGGTACTGACGATGAACAGCGTGGATGGGTGTTTCCTGGCAGGGGTCGGGTCTTCAGGAGGGGTCGGGCCATCAGCTGCCTCTCCCACCGGCTCCATGCGGATCTCCTGCGGCGGCCCTGAGCCGGACACACGGCTGGACTGATGACCTTTGGTCTTTGAGGCAGCGGATGGCGACTCAGGGCTGTGTTCTGGGCGAGCAGCGGCTGAAGGGGAGTGTGGGCCGGAAGACCGGCTGCATCGCTCCAGTTTGAGTTCTGTGGGCCGCTGAAGCCTGGTGGTTTGAGTCGAACCGGGTCCACCGTTCACTGTGACGTCCCTGAGCTGATCATCATCCGTCTGCTCTTTAGCAAAGTTCACAAACACCTGCGGGAGGAAAACACTCTTAGTGGTGAGACACAATCCTGGGTCCGAAACCCAGTGCGATGCCTCCTGACTCAAGGCTGTTCTGAAGTGGTCACATTAGCAGAACGTCACATTAGCAGCACGTCACATTAGCCGAACGTCACATTAGCAGAACGTCACATTAGCAGCACGTCACATTAGCCGAACGTCACATTAGCAGAACGTCACATTAGCAGCACGTCACATTAGCCGAACGTCACATTAGCTGAACGTCAAATTAGCCAAACGTCACATTAGCAGAACGTCACATTAGCTGAACGTCACATTAGCTGAACGTCAAATTAGCCGAACGTCACATTAGCAGAACGTCACATTAGCAGCACGTCACATTAGCCGAACGTCACATTAGCAGAACGTCACATTAGCAGCACGTCACATTAGCCGAACGTCACATTAGCAGAACGTCACATTAGCTGAACGTCACATTAGCAGAACGTCAAATTAGCCAAACGTCACATTAGCAGAACGTCACATTAGCCGAACGTCACATTAGCAGAACGTCATATTAGCAGAACGTCACATTAGCCGAACGTCACATTAGCAGAACGTCACATTAACAGAACGTCACATTAGCAGAACGTCACATTAGCAGAACGTCACATTAGCCGAACGTCACATTAGCAGAACGTCACATTAGCAGAACGTCACATTAGCCGAACGTCACATTAGCAGCACGTCACATTAGCAGAACGTCACATTAGCCGAACGTCACATTAGCAGAACGTCACATTAGCAGAACGTCACATTAGCAGCACGTCACATTAGCAGCACGTCACATTAGCAGAACGTCACATTAGCAGAACGTCACATTAGCAGCACGTCACATTAGCAGAACGTCACATTAGCAGCACGTCACATTAGCAGCACGTCACATTAGCCGAACGTCACATTAGCAGAACGTCACATTAGCAGCACGTCACATTAGCAGAACGTCACAGGTACAGGGTCCACTGTCGATAGTGTAAGGATGTATGAAGCACAGCTCACACACAGAAGTCTTTCAAAACCAAGCAATGCGGCTTATCTATGTGGGCGACTTGAAAAAATGTGTGTGATATTCATTCATCCTCACGCGAAATTCCCGAGTGTGTGCCTATGTCTGATGTGTACAGCACTCTCACCTGATCCAGTGTGGTCTGGGACACGGAGTAGTCGGATATCCCCAGCTCCTCACTGTTATTGGACAGCACCTCGAAGACGCGAGCGAGCGAACAGGTTTGCGATGGCAGCTGGTAATGCAGAACGTTCTGATGTCTCTCCTTCAGCTGGATCCCTGGGAAAGAGCTCTTGATGTAGGCGTCCACTGGGCACGGCTCTGCGGACGGGGCGGACAGGCGGAGGACCACGGTGTAGCCGTCGCCAAACCTAGTAGGGGCGGACATGAAAACATGTTCAGAGACACTATTATTGATTTGACTGCACTGACATTATGCGACGAGAACAAAACGTCCACTGAATTGAGCTGAATGACAACACTTAGTGAGCTGCAGGTGTTACGCGAATGTTTCATCCGAAGCGGTACCTGTTCTTCAGGTGCTGGACCGAGCCCAGACACTGGAAGCGGCCGTTCACCATGATGGCCATGCGGGTGCACAGAGCCTCACACTCCTCCATGCTGCAGGAACACAACCATCAGGGAAAGTTCATCTCTAATCACAATATCTATCAGACAGTTCATTTCTCCAAGATGGCAGACTTAAAGGAGTAGTTCACTTTTTAAAAAACTTTAGCTGATAATTTACTCACCCCCGTGTCATCCAAGATGTCCATGTCTTTCTTTCTTCAGTCGAAAAGAAATTAAGGTTTTTGATGAAAACATTCCAGGATTTTCTCCATATAATGGACTTCAATGGGAACCAAACGGTTCAAGGTCCAAAAGACAGTTTCAGTGCAAACTGTTCAAAGGGCTTTAAACGATTCCAGACGATGAATAAGGGTCTTATCAAGCGTAACGATCGCTCATTTAATAAATAAATAACAAAGTTTAAGTTTTATAAGCTCAAATGCTCGCCTTGCTCTGTTCTGTGATGCGCGTTCGTGACTCTCCTGTTCATCAAAATGAACAAATCTTTTTCTGAGTCATTTGGTTCATTTCAACGAACAAAACGAACAAATTGACTCGGAAAAAGATTCATTCATTTTGATCAATGATCAAACCTTGAACCGTTTGGTCCCCATTGAAGTCCATTATATGGAGAAAATCCTGGAATGTTTTCATCAAAAACCTTTATTTCTTTTCAACTGAAGAAAGAAAGACATGGACATCTTGGATGACACGGGGGTGAGTGAATTATCAGCAAAAGTTTTTTTCAAAAGTGAACTACTCCTTTAAAGTGAAAATATAAAGTATAAAGTACAGACATAGAGGCATCTTTATACTTTATATTTGGACTTTAAGTTTCACATAAAAACAAAAACTGTCGTTGGATGTACTACATATCAATCAGATGCTGCTTCTGGTCCTCGTGGGCACTTCTGCGTTTGTGTACATAAATATGGAAATGGAAATTTGAAAATGTACAGTTTCTCAGGACTTGGTTTTGTTTATAGGGTATAGACTGGATTATGGGATGTAGCCATTGCACTCAAAACCTGAGGCAGATAAATGTGAGTTTGCAGGGGTGGAGTTTAATTTGACTAAATGACTGACATAGTTCTCCATACAACACCAGAGCTTTCATTTTTAACTTTCGATTCACTCCAAAAAAAAACAAAAAAAAACATTTAAATAAAAAAAATTAATCGTATTCATAGATGAACCTGTAATGGTGTCTTGTACCTGTGAGAGGTGAGCACGACAGATCTTCCCTCTTTGACCACACTGAGAATGCAGTTCCAGAGGAAGCGCTTGGCCTTCGGGTCCATCCCAGTCGTAGGCTCATCCTGAGGGCCACAGAAGAGGGTGAACACTGGCGTTCACAGCGACATCATTCAACAGTGTGATGCTAACAAACATACCAGGAAGATGACAGGAGCAGCTCCGATCAGGGCGATGGCGGTGGAGAGTTTGCGCTTGTTTCCTCCGCTGTATCTCCCAGCCTCTCGCTCCGCGTACTGACTCAGACCCAGCTTCTGCACGCCCCACTGCGCCACCTACAGCACAGGCATGGAACAGCACTTATGGACCAATCACATCTAACCGGCGTTAGAGACCGTCTCGGTTACGTGTGTGACCCTCGTAGTCGACTGATTGGGATCACGCTTAGAGAGCCTGTCATCTTCGAGTACTGGTAAATCGAGCCAGTGTAATTGGCGTGCGTGAAATGCATCACACACTCCGCCACTGCGTGAATAAGTTTGGACACCCATGCTAAAGTTGCCTAAAAAGAGGAATAAAAAATCATCTTTAGGATATTGATCTTAATGCCTTAATTAGAAAAATGAGGAAAACTCCAACCTTTAAGGACACCAATTTTCTTTGTGAATGAATAATGTATCATAAATAAATCAATGTTTTTCCTTAAAATACAGGGTGCATAAGTCAGGACACCCCTATGTTAAATTCCCATAGAGTCAGGCAGATTTTTATTTTTAAAAGCCAGTTATTTCATGGATCCAGGATAATATGCATCCTGATAAAGTTCCCTTAAAATATCCCCACATCATCACACACCTTCACCACACCTAGAGATTGGCACGGTTTTACTTCAGTTAGCCTAATAGCTGGTTTGATTTGCATTGAAAGATGATCTTATGGAAAGTACCCCATGCCAATCTCTAGGTGTGGTGAAGGTGTGTGATGATGATGTGGGGATATTTTAATCCCAAAGGCCAAGGGAACTTTATCAGGATGCATATTATCCTGGATCCATGAAATAACTGGCTTTTAAAAATAAAAATCTGCCTGACTCTATGGGAATTTAACATAGGGGTGTCCTGACTTATGCACCCTGTATTTTAAGGAAAAACATTGATTTATTTATGATACATTATTCATTCACAAAGAAAATTGGTGTCCTTAAAGGTTGGAGTTTTCCTCATTTTTCTAATTAAGGCATTAAGATCAATATCCTAAAGATGATTTTTTATTCCTCTTTTTAGGCAACTTTAGCATGGGTGTCCAAACTCATTCACATCACTGTATACAGAAGTGGATGCACACACTAGTTGATTTTAGCGGAGCGTAATTCAGAGTCAGCGGTGGTGACGGGACTATATCTCTGTTCCCTCCTTCAGGGTCACATGCGTAAACGAGACGTTCCCTTTCAGTCGCTCACGTTCGACTAGTTGATGTGTCGACTGATTGGGATCCTAATTAAAATGCCATCTAGTGCGGCCACCGAGATCCCCCCGCAATTAAGGAGGGGAAGGGGCAGGGCTGTTCCTACAGGACCTCTGGGAAACCATTCCCTGAACAAAGAAGGAAGGGACGCTGCGGAAGTCACATCCTGCCCCGAAGGGAGGTAACATGGACAATACACATTTCACACACATGACGGCCCGATGTCGGCCAATGACCATCAGCTTGGCGTGTCACAGCCTTTAGAAAAGTGGTCTCAAACCCCTACCAGACAGAAGATGTGAAGCCAAACATACACACATATATCATGACTATAGAGTGCCGAAGTGATGACGTCACTTTGTAGGACAACTGGGAAGCTAGCGGCGCACGGGTTCCCTCGGTCGAAAAGCAATGCATTTCCCCATAGACTCTTGGAAAATTGCAAAAAATAAGATCTGTGTTTAACAAAGAGTTGTGACTCTTACACGTTTTGTCTAGCAAGATAATCTTTACAAGTTAATCCAAAATTTATACATTTTGAAGCCTATATAAAGATTTTAAAAACACAATCAGACACAATAAAGTTTAAAAAACCACAAGCAGGTTATAACTGTGTGTTCTATGTCATAGATCAAAACGTGAAAATATTTAGAGGCTTTGTTCACCACAGACCTTATTTCAGGCGATTTAGCAAAACCCCATTCAAAAATCCCATAGGCTTTAGAGCGAGGGAACCGTAACGCTAAAATGCTAACTCACTTCCGCGTTTTGGCCTACAGAGTGACGTCGTAACTTTGGCACTCAATAGGGTCCATTTGAAACAAGTATGAAATCAGTGAGACCCTTCGCTCCATTAAGGCGAGACAACTCTCCCAGTTGATTATCTACATTAAGATGAGGAAAAAAATATATTACAAGTTTTCTGTAATTTCATTTTTAAATATGCAAATGAGGCATTATCTAATTAAATATGGCACTAATTTGCATATATTTTAAAAACTGAAATCTTTTGGATAAGGCCAGGTTCAAAATTATTTTTTCAATGTATTCACATATTAGATGAGATTTATGGATATCTACTTTTGTAATCCTGTTAAATCAGAATATACTGCCAATTGCCTAAAAAAAAAAAGATGTTCGCCATGTTTTTTTTGGAATAAAATGTTATATAAATCAGGCTAGGAATATTATATTTACAAATCCCTCTGTAAACGTCTTCATAATATAACTAGGTATGAGACTGGAACGTTTAATGTATATAGGTGCAACTGAAGTGGAGATTTCGGACTTGGAGAATGAGAGAAAAGTTATTTTGAGAAAACTGGCTTTGAAGATTTAGCAGCAGCCAATGAGATCGCGCATTTCGAGTTAAATCCCCCCTTTTACTTTCACGATTGGTTGCTGATAAAAAGGAAATGACCATATTTGGATCAGACAGGAGAAAGAGAGCTTTCTAACGGTGTGTGTGACCGGATGATTTAAAACGACAACTTTTGAAGAATTTATGAGGAATCTACAGACTCGAGTGTAGTAAAACAAAGAACTAAATGTGTATTTCAGACTTTTTTTCAGCACAAGTCTGTTATTGAAGACGAATATCCCAAAATTGACCAGTGAAAACCCCCCGATGTTTTTGCCTGCCGTGTCTCACCTTAATCCTGATAACTAGTTTGCACTTTTATAATAATGATGATTTTGCTGCACCTTTGCAACGTGGGCTTCCGGCACTCCTCTGAGGCGGGCGTAGAACTGCAGGTGCTCGCGTCCCGTCAGCAGGTCACTGATGGCGTCGAACTGAGGACAGTATCCCATCAGCTGATGGACTTTCTCCATTTCTGTGAGAACACTACAGAAAACAGATGCGTGATGACGTTAGGGGGTGTGTGGGTAGCTGCCAGGTTAAAGTAATACTGAATAAAGGGCAAAACCCTAATAACAGATCTACTGTGGGGGAATAATGATCATGTGCAGTTTAATTATTGAGAAAATATGTCACATGTCGATGGTCTAACCTGTGGTTGCTGAGAAACGCTTCTCCGTAAGTAATGTGTGTGTCTCCTGTCAGCATGCGGAAGGTGGAGGTTTTCCCAGCGCCGTTCACACCAAGAAGCCCAAAACACTGCCACGGGACAACAAGACACTTGCAGCAGGTCAAACATCACAACAGAGAAGCACATGTTCACAGAAGAGAAACATACCTCTCCCCGAGGAATGCCCAAGCAGAGCCGGTTCACCGCTGGCTTCCTGCCGGCCGCATAAACCTGCAGACACAACGAGGCCGTGCTTTACCCCTGAATAGAGCAAACGACATCCTCTACAGCCGTTTGTGTGGGTCTGTACCTTACTGAGGTCTGTGAGGGTGAGGATATCTCCCACAGCTCCACCGCTCTTCACTCGCTCTCTCTCTCTCGCCACGTCCTCATCCTCCAGGCCCAGGGGGGGCAGCACAAACCCCGACCAGCGGCTGAGGGACACAGTCATGTATCAGGAACCACGACACTGATTCATTTAATATCACCAGATTTGAACATACAAACGTACCTAAAATTAACAAAGAATTTATACTGCAGGAGAACAGTGAAGATGAAGAACACGAGTCCTTCCACCGCCATGGCAAACAGATTCTTCCCCACGAAATCCCAGGATAAAGGGTCCAGATTCTGTTTGGTTCCTGTTGACATCAACAAAATGAAGTCATCTTCAAAACGTACAGCTGTTCGTGCCTATTGCAGAAACATGTGTGTATGGGTGTGGAAATACCCAGCCGCTGGAAGGCGTCTGCCATGGCCTGGTTCTTGGCCATGTCGATGAGACCCCGACCCAGACAGAAGTGAGGGAAGATCAGGAAGACCTTCTTCAGGATCCGGTTGACCTCGTTCAGATGCTGAGCACAACAAAGAAGAGATTCAACTTTTATTTTTTGCTTCCATTTCATTTTTTTAAAATCTATTCATGATTTTTAATGAAATGTTGTTTTGATTTTAAGAAGAAATAAATAGAGTAGCATTAGTAGAAGTATATATATTACCATAATACTTTTTATTTTCAGCAAGGATGCAGTCATTATATTGATCAAAAGTGACAGTAAAAAGACTTTTAAAATGTTACAAAAGATTTTTTATTTTAAATAAACACTGTTTTTTTGATCAAACAACCTGGAATAAAATGTGTCATGGTTTCCACAATAATATTAAATATTATATTTAAAGGAGTAGTTCACTTTTAAAAAAACACTTTTGCTGATAATTTACTCACCCCCGTGTCATCCGAGATGTCCATGTCTTTCTTTCTTCAGTGGAAAAGAAATTAAGGTTTTTGATGAAAACATTCCAGGATTTTCTCCATAAAACTTCAACGGGGTCCAAACGATCGCTCATTTACTAGATAAATAACAGTTTTATAAAAAAACAACTAAAACTAAAGTTTTATAAGCTCAAATGCTCGCCTTGCTCTGTTCTGTGATGTGCGTTCGTGACTCTCCTGTTCATCAAAGTAAATGAATCTTTTTTCATGTCAATTGGTTCATTCAATGAATGAAATGAACAAGTTGACTCTGGAAAAGATTTGTTCATTTTGATGAACAGGAGAGTCACGAACGCGCATCACAGAACAGAGCAAGGCGAGCATTTGAGCTTATAAAACTTAAACTTTGTTATTTATTTATTAAATGAGCGATCGCTTCGCTTGATAAGACCCTTATTCATCGTCTGAAATCGTTTAAAGCCCTTTGAACAGTTTGCACTGAAACTCTCTTTTGGACCTTGAACCGTTTGGACCCCATTGAAGTCCATTATATGGAGAAAATGCTGGAATGTTTTCATCAAAAACCTTAATTTCTTTTCGACTGAAGAAAGAAAGACATGGACATCTTGGATGACACGGGGGTGAGTAAATTATCAGCTAAAGTTTTTTAAAAAGTGAACTACTCCTCTAACCAGTCGGTGTCTGTTCGGTTTCTGTCGCTCACCTCATCGACGAATAGCTCCAAGACGAAGGTGGCGACACTGCCGTTGATGCCAATGAAGAGGTTGATGGAGGTGAGGACCACATAGGCAGTGCTGGGGACGGAGAAGATGAAGGAGGCTGGGTACATGAGTGGAGTGATGGACCAACTGCAGAAACACACACACACACACACACACACACACACTACTGAGTTACGCTGGACCAGTATGGTGGACCAAGGAAGTTAAACTGCTGAAACAGGCTATGGGGAGACCAGCACTCCAGATCCCACCAACACATGATATATTAGTCAGCAGTGTTAGTGAGTGTACTAATGACCAGACTGAACCAGTAATGCCCCCAGACTGGACCAGTAATGCCCCCAGACTGGACCAGTAATGCCCCCAGACTGAACCAGTAATGCCCAGACTGGACCAGTAATGCCCAGACTGAACCAGTAATGCCCAGGCTGGACCAGTAATGCCCCCAGACTGGACCAGTAATGCCCAGACTGGACCAGTAATGCCCAGACTGAACCAGTAATGCCCAGACTGAACCAGTAATGCCCAGACTGAACCAGTAATGCCCAGACTGAACCAGTAATGCCCCCAGACTGGACCAGTAATGCCCAGACTGGACCAGTAATGCCCAGACTGGACCAGTAATGCCCAGACTGGACCAGTAATGCCCCCAGACTGGACCAGTAATGCCCAGACTGGACCAGTAATGCCCCCAGACTGGACCAGTAATGCCCAGACTGAACCAGTAATGCCCAGACTGGACCAGTAATGCCCCCAGACTGGACCAGTAATGCCCCCAGACTGGACCAGTAATGCCCAGACTGGACCAGTAATGCCCAGACTGGACCAGTAATGCCCCCAGACTGGACCAGTAATGCCCAGACTGAACCAGTAATGCCCAGACTGGACCAGTAATGCCCCCAGACTGGACCAGTAATGCCCAGACTGGACCAGTAATGCCCAGACTGAACCAGTAATGCCCAGACTGGACCAGTAATGCCCCCAGACTGGACCAGTAATGCCCAGACTGGACCAGTAATGCCCAGACTGGACCAGTAATGCCCCCAGACTGGACCAGTAATGCCCCCAGACTGAACCAGTAATGCCCAGACTGAACCAGTAATGCCCAGACTGGACCAGTAATGCCCCCAGACTGAACCAGTAATGCCCCCAGACTGAACCAGTAATGCCCAGACTGAACCAGTAATGCCCAGACTGGACCAGTAATGCCCCCAGACTGGACCAGTAATGCCCCCAGACTGGACCAGTAATGCCAGTGTTTTCCTCATTCCTCACCCATAGAGCAAAAGCAGGAGCACCAGTGCCGGCAGATTCTTCTCAGAGACGTATGATTCCTGCTGGAAGCTGATGAAGATGAACACCACCATAGCGGCTGGCACTGCATAGTTCAGCTGAAACACAACAACACAACTGTCAATCACTCTGGATCACCATTTAAAGACATCTCACAGACACACCAAACTCGCAGAACCGACCATGTCCCAAACGTAATTGGTCGTCCAGTACAGGATGGGCTTCACTCCACTGACAAACTGGAGATGTTTGGCTTTACTGACTCGTTCCTCAATCAGGAACAGCACGAAACTGGCAGGAACAAACGACATGGCGAAGATAACGCAGATGGACACCAGAACGTCCACTGAGGTCGTCATTCTGCAGAGATCAGGAAGAAAAAAGCACATGTTTAGCTTTACAAGAGTTGAAACAGAGTCTATGATTTCACTAAACTGTTGCGCTGGTTCAATTAATTCACAGTATTTCTATTGTTGTAGCTGTGTGTACCATTACCTCATTTGAGTAGTTTATGCAAGCAAGGCTATAAGAGGCTGGGATAATTAGCAATCCAAATGTGTGTATTTGCGACTGTCCTCCGGCATTAAAAGAAATAGTGTTTAAAGAATTCCAGTATTGGTAATTCTCAATAGTTTTGATTAGATTACATCACATCCGGTCTAGTGCAGAAGTTAAAATATTGAATGATCGTTTGTCGGAGAGAATGAAAGGTCAAAGGTCACGTACAGGGCCATCTCCGTCAGCTGCTCCTTGGTGAGGTTGAGTGGGTGATTGTAGGCTGTAATTCCATATTTGCGTCTTTCCACGTCAGGCGGCAGGTTGGCACGAAGGAGACCATTGTTCATAATATTCACGAATGAAGCCATGGCATGCCATCCTTTATTATTAAACCAGACCTGAGGGAGAACACATGACAGCTGGATGAGGAGAGCCGGAGACGCCGAGGAGTCTCTCGCAGGAGTCTCACTCACCTTCACACTGCTGCGGCTGGACAGTCCCATGAGGACGTGCGGCAGTCTGAGGAGGAGCCGATCTAAAGAGCCGTTCTGGACAAGAACGAAAGGGCAAAACTCTGGTTAGACGTTCTGAATGTCAAATATCAAATAAAAACAAAATCTCATACTATTTCCATATGTATAGATGTGTAACTGCAGTGTAAATGTGTTCATGCCACCTCTAGCTGCAATAAACACTAGGGCTGGGTATTGACACAAATTTCACAATTCGATTCGATTTCGATTCACAAGCTTGCAATTCGATTTCGATTCGATTCAATATTGATTATTTTGGATATCAGTTACAATAAATGGCAAAAATGGCAAATTTTCTCAAGGAAATCAAATCTCTGAACTAATGCTGTAAACTACGGGAGTCAGTTGTAGCCTATAGGCTTCATTAGCCTAATATGAAGGTAATAATGAACTGTTTTGTAGCTATACAAATTGAATTGAAATTACACTTTTATTTATTTTTATAATAAGATTATATGAAATATAAACATTTAAATGGTGGCTGCCATAAAAACTTGCCAGATTTATTCAAATATGCATTAAATATTGCAGAACATTAAGATTATAATGCATATGTAATATGGTGTATATATTTAGCAAAATGCTCCTCTCTTGAGTTATTTTTTCTAGCTGACTAACAAGTTTATGTGGGTTTTCTGAGGTAAATATGACGATACATAAGTAAGACGACGTCTTTTCACGGTTGAAACGCTGATTGAGCGAATCAATGTGACATGATACGGATTTGGATAAGTTGTCCTCTATCTTTAACACACTTTCAGATGCTCGTTCATGTTTATTTGGCGCTGTAACTGGTATTATTAAGCCGGAAGAGAGATCAGCGCTGCTGCTTCTCCAGAGCGATCTCACGCCACAGCGACAAAACGCTATTTATGTTTTTGAATTCCTAAAGAAAATGGACGTAATTTGAAAATTGAGACTTTGTTTCATATCAATAGTAACAAAGGACAAAGATTATTGCGATTTTTTGGATGCGCGCAGCCGCGATACAATGTCCCATTCATTCAAATGAAACAGGATTACTAATCGATTCTTGAGATTTAAGAATCGATATCGGTTCGTAAAAATGAGAATCGATTAATATTGAAAAATCAATATTTATTACCCAGCCCTAGTAAACACACCTAAAGCAGCTTCTGCACCCAACCGTCCTGTAGGGTCTCATTTGAACTGAATCTATTGTTTAAATGTAAAAATTTGCCAATAATACACCTATAAAGGTAAAAATGCTCCTGAAAATTAAATTAATGGACCAAATATTGTAATTTAGTAAAAAAAATAAAAATAATTTTCTCACTGCTGTGAACTAATCAGCACTCAGACACACTTCAGGAGTCGGCTCTCCATGACGGGTTTAAAGCAGCCGAGGTCCCAGCACATAAACACTCAACACAATATTGTTGTTTAATCACCCAAACGGCCCTATTTTAACGATCTGAAGCGCAACGCAAGTAAGTTTGTGGGTAGATCTTGGGCACTGTTGCTATTTGACCAGCGGGATAAACGACTCTTGCACCCGACGCAAGTATAAAAGTTTCATTATTCATAGGTGTTTGGGCGTAACGTGAAATAAACCAATCAGAGCGTCATCCAACCTACCCTTTAAGAGCAGGTGCGCATGTTGCATGACGGATTGTTATTATAACGGCGAGTTTACCAGGAGCGTTTGCACTTGAGGAGATGGACGTACATGTCAGGGCAGAAGTGACGTTGTATGGGGACGGGAGATTCTTATTTTCCTGGTTCTTGACGGACAAACTAATTTGTCAGATGTCCTTGTATACATATGTGTCTTCCCACTATTGGGCAAGCTCAGTACTACAATTAGCCTGAAAAATGTGGGTAAATGTGTAAGCTAGATTTAGGCCTACATTTTTTTCCATCTTCATGCACACCACAATGATGTCCCTCATGTGTTCATATTTTTCACATAATGTTATAATGTATGATTTGCAAGAATAAAAACTGCTGCACCTGTGTTGATGAGAGAATCAAAGTGTATGCGCTGGCCAAGCATTATGCACGCTCACAATAGCATAATGAACAACTCGCAACGCGCGACTGACTTTAGACCAGGTGTTTTCTGGTCAGTGGCGGGATTGTTTTCTGGAAGTGTAAAATAGCACCAGGGAATGTTTGCGCCGAAACACGCCTCCTTTTTGAGCAGGGAGCGCAAGTTCATTCCCTAGTTTACCGACGTGCGTCTGTGGAGGGAAAAGTCCAAAAATAGGTGCAAAATAGGAATGAGACATGTGTGAGTGTGTAAAGTCATTTGCGCCGGGTGTAAGATAGGGCCTAAACACTCAGACGGCGCACCTCTGCAACGCTGTAGCGTCCTCTAATCGCCCGAACCGAGTCCTCGAGGTGACGCGGCTCATCCGCGGCCGGAGACAGGAGAGCGCCCAGAGAGAAACCTCCGTACCTGTGACACGAACACACAACGTTAACAACAACACCAACACAACATACACAACATTAACAACAACACCACATACACAACATTACATCAAACTGAAATTAAAAGTTGAGTGTTTGGATCTTGGATGGTAATCAACTCACCTAAACTCATTTACCCATTTTTTGGTCTTCAAACTGTGTGTGAGAGACAACAATTACACACATGTGCTGTACACAAAACAATATTATAGAGTATTTTAAAAAACAATAAATAAAAATCAAACCTTTTCTTCAGGATTTGGGGATATGTTTTGATGAGGTAGTCAGAGATGTTGCGACCCGTCAAGTTCTGCAGGATATCTCCGGTCATCTGCCGGATCTACAGCAGGAGACGGGGCAGGTGATGATAGAGAAAAGCGGTCTATTGCATCTAAATCTGTGTTCTAATTTCTTAATTATTGATTATTTATGTTAAAATATTACGCTTATTGCTTTTTGCTTGTTTATATTAAACACCTTTATTAGCAATGCCAGATTACTTCTGGGAACATGCTAACGGTTTACAATATATAAATGCTAGCATACATATCTTGATCTATTTTCATGTAATAATATAGTAATATAATAATATGAAAGAATTTCACAATATTACTGTTTTACGGTATTGTTCATCAAACGGTGAGCATTAGAGGAGGAGCGTGTGTGCCCTGACCTGCGGCGGGGGGATCCCTCCGGCTCCCGGCGGGCAGTCCGGCAGCATGCGGCGTGTGTGTTCGGTACTGCACTCGCAGTCGGGGGACGGGTGCTCCTCGGTCCAGTTGCCTTCGTGGAAGAGCTGCCACATGCTGTACGGGATCTGCGGCCGGACAAACTTGGTTTCGGCTTCCTCTAAACACTCCACGTCACTGAGAAAGCATGAAATAAAGCATCAGGTTACATTAATCCAGCAGTGTAGCCTACACTCCTCATCACAGGGATCGTACCTGCGCGGATCCATGCATTTAGTCCCAAACCCGGGCGGATCCAGCAGGGCGTCCTGGAGCTTCTGCATGGCGGGGTCCTGTGGCGCATCATTGCTTTATGGGAGAGAGACGACAGGTGAGTGATCTGCAGGTGACCGCAGGCTTTCGCTCTCAGAAAGAGTACCTGAAGAAGGTGAACTGCTCCCCGTAGAGCCAAGGCTGGAGCTCCAGCGACGGGTACTTGCCGAAGGGCGGCACGACGAGACTGAAGAGCAGAGCGATGAGGACGAACACTGCAGGGAGAACAATCTGCAACACATCATGTGATGGCTTCAGAAATCAACTGTTCAACACGGAAACTGTCAAATATTACAATTTTCTATTTTATTAAAATGCAATTTATTCTTGAGATAATGTTCAGCATCAGAGTCACATTTTCCCTTAGAAATCACTCTAATCTGAGGATCTGATTTTTTATTTTTATTTTTTTAAGTTTATTGAAAGGATTTCTGGTACAGGATTACACAATCCTCTATTCCAGACTCTAAAAAATACAAACTAGATGTATATACAAATTTACTTTTTTTTTATTTATTTTTTTAAAAACACATTAATTTCAAAAATTGAGGTTTCCTAACATCCTAAATAAATTACATAAAATTAATTACTTAATACAAACAAACTTTATAATTATACATAACATCTTTTGACATGCAAAATTCATCCAGCCTATTCTTAAAGGAATTAATAGAAGGAATTAATTAATCAGTAATGAGCATCATTACTGATGCTCAAGAAATATTTATGATTATTATCAGTGTTGCTCAATAACTTTGTGGAAACCATAAAAATAAAAAACAGGATTCTTTGATGAAAAGAAAGAACCGTTGTTCTGTCAATTTTTGCTGCCTTGACGAAAAATGCAACCGTAGCGCGAATTGATCACAGAATGCTGATTAAAGTCGTATGAAATACAATTATAATACAATTCTAAGTTATGAGTAGCTAATGTATACTCTAGACTACTGTTTTTATTTTTAAAATGGTGTGAAAAGTAAAAATTATCATAAAATATTTTTTCAGTTATTTTTTTCAGATGGCTCACCGTACAAATATTCATATGGTAGTAAGCATTTTTTAAAGGGAAATTATACATTGCAACAGGAAAATATACCTTAAATAAAAAAATAAAAAAATAAATAAATAAAAAAACTGTGAGTCTGCACATGCGCATAACCAGTAAGTAGCAAATCTCGATGGGTAGCATGAATCGCCAGAACACTGTGTACAAATAACAGCATATTATAAAATATAAAGAACAGATTTTATTCTAAAATATATAAATATTTCTTAATGTTTTGTCACTTTTGATTTTACTGCCTCCTTCCTAAATAAAATAATTAATTTTTCTTTTTTTAAAATCTCACTCACCACAAAAGTTAGTTTCATAAATGAATATAGACATATTAATTACTCACGTTTTTAAAGATAAACTTTAAGTGAGTGTTGGATTAGAATATCCCCCTGATCTGAGACTGATGTCCCTGAACACCTCAACATGTGCTGAACTACTGACTGACCCGACCAATGAGGACTGACCCTCACTGACGCACTAGAACACCAACGACTGGTTAAACAGAGTAAATAGGCTCACAATTAACTCAACATTTATTTAGACAAATCTTTACCCATTGATAAGGCTGTTGGTAGACTTTTGGTCAAAAGTGAATAATTATTAGTGGATAATTTGGCAATGATTGTTCAGGAGTGTGTACCTGTGCGAACAGGCCTCTGCGGCTGCGGAGCGCGTACTTCAGGCGTTTGGTGAAGAGCGCCCGGAGCTGCTGACCCGTGAGGAGGAGTCCGGTGAGGGGAGCGCCGGCCTGGCCGTCCCCGCTCAGCGGCTCGCGCTCCTGGGCTTCTGTGGGCGGAGAACGGCCTTCTGGTTAATGACTCTCACCACAGCTCTCGGACAACACTATTACATTTGATTTTGTACCTTTCCTGATTGGCTGTTTCCGTTCTGCCAGCGAAGCAGAGGGAAGAACAGAACAACACAAACAAACATATCTGTAAAATACATCACAACCACACCTAATCCTCACATGGACACTTACATGTGTATAATACACCCATTAGACGCACGCCGTCATCTTACTGTGTTTTATCTGCCGCCAAAACTTTCACTGGTCCCACCAAAAAAACATTGTATATTCCCTAAATACTCATTTAAAAAGACACTTCATTTATTATTTATTTATAATTTAATGCCACACCAGAATCAAAGGCTATAATCATGGCAAACTCAAAAAAAATATTATTTTTAGTTAATTGTATACAATCATTTAGCAATTTTATCTCAAGAAACAAATAAAACAAAAGTTAAAAATAAAAACCACAATAGCGTATTGTGTAGATACTATTATAACATTCATATTTTGAATTACTTTTGATATCAGTTTTAGTGTTTTTGTTATTACATTTGTCCAGTTTTAATTTCAGGAACATTAACTCTTGACCTTAAACCTTTTTTGACTTTTTTTTCTGTTGGTTCTGACGTAACTTACGTAAATTTTTAAATGTAATATTTTTCATCTAATATTTTTATTTTATTTCAATTAATGATATTTACTCACCCCGTGTCATCCGAGATGTCCATGTCTTTCTTTCTTCAGTGGAAAAGAAATTAAGGTTTTTGATGAAAACATTCCAGGATTTTCTCCATATAATGGACTTCAATGGGGTCCAAACGGTTCAAGATCCAAAAGAGAGTTTCAGTGCAAACTGTTTAAAGGGCTTTAAACGACACCAGACGATGAATAAGGGTCTTATCAAGCGAAACGATCGCTCATTTAATAAATAAAAAAAAAAGTTTAAGTTTTATAAGCACAAATGCTCGCCTTGCTCTGTTCTGTGATGCGCGTTCGTGACTCTCCTGTTCGAACTCGTTCATCAAAATGTACAAATCTTTTTTCGAGTCATTTCATTTGTTAAATTAACCAAATGACTCGAAAAAAGATTTGTTATTCAGCTTATAAAACAAACTTTTGTATTTATTTATTAAATGAGCGATGCTTTCGCTTGACAAGACCCTTATTCATCGTCTGGAATCGTTTAAAGCCCTTTGAACAGTTTGCACTGAAACTGTCATTTGGACCTTGAACCGTTTGGTCCCCATTGAAGTCCATTATATGGAGAAAATCCTGGAATGTTTTCATCAAAAACCTTCATTTCTTTTCCACTGAAGAAAGAAAGACATGGACAGCTTAAGTTTTTTAAAAAGTGAACTACTCCTTTAAGATGAACCGCACGCTAGCATACACCGCTACGAGGTCCTGAATTCAGCAAACGTCTGAAGAACTCGTCTGACCGGCTTAGTTAAGGGGGATCAGTCTTACTTTTGGATTCAAATCTACTTTTTTCTGTAACGGACATTAGAAAGTTATGACCAGTCCAAAATAAAAAATTAGATGACTAACTTGTAAGATTAGTGTAAAGCGTTTATGCAACCGGCCACAGATTGGATGCGTTGGGCTCACATGTATGGATGTGTTTCTCCTGTACCTGTGTCTCGGTCCTCAGACGGCGCCCCCTGCTGGCCTGCAGACACGGGCGGCTCCTCCTCGGGGTCCGCATCCACACCGGTCTCCTCTGCCACACGCAGAAAGATCTGAAATATACAGCATTTAACCTTAAAATGTACAACATTAGCCCCCCGAACCCCTCATAGAGGGACACAACATAGTTTAACAAAATACGGAACGATCATTTATAAATTGCACACCACAGTTCCTTCTCAGCTGTTCAGTCATTAATAGCTGTTGTAATTGTAACATGTAATTGTCGAACTGTTGGAGAGCTCCGCCCCCGTAACACGCGTTCGATCACGAAAGCAGCCATGATGATCACCGCTCTCTATTTTGAACTCATGTTAGGACCCAGCAGGCTTAAGAGGGATTTGCTCTATTGGCGTCTGATGGATAATGACTGACGGACCTCCACTGAGGGGTAAAGCCTTTTACAGAGAGAATGGGCAAACTGGTGCTTGAGAAGCGGCTCACCTCTTCTAGCGTGGTGTCCGACAGCCCGTAACTGACCACGCCGAACTCGGCCTGCCGTCGCTCCAGCTCGCTCAGGAAGAGGGCCAGACTGCCGTCCTCAGAGGCGGCGTGGGGCAAGTTGATGACCGCCTCTCGGCCGATGTCCTCCACCAGCTGAGCGTCGGGCACGTACTGCAGCGCCAGAGCCATCACGGCGGCCACGTCTAACACAGGGAGGATCAGACAGATAATGCTCAGGCCTTAGACAGAACAGGGCAGCTTAGACGACATGTTCAGACGTCCTGTAGGGCAGAGCCGTACCCACCGAATCCATTCTCTTCACTGCCCAGTCCCGTGTCGTCGCTCAGGGAGGACTCGCTGTCCTGAAACACAGAGAACGGGTGAGAACACGCACGAGAACGCAGATTATTCAGAGTGGGGCTTCCTGAGGACACTGTGAGCAAAGCTAGTGTGTATCGCTCACACACACACACCATTCACACACACACCGCTCACACATCTGTAAGATTTTTTATGTTTTTAAAAGAAGTCTCTTCTGCTCACCAAGGCTGCATTTATTTGATTAAAAATACAAAAAAAAAAAACAGTAATATTGTGAAATATTATTACAATTTAAATCATCTGTTTTCTATGTGAATATACAGTAAAGTGTAATTTATTCCTGTGATCAAAGCTGAATTTACAGCATCATTACTCCAGTCTTCAGAGTCACATGATCCTCCAGAAATCATGATCTGATGCTCAAGAAACAATTATGATTATTATCAGTGTTGAAAACAGTTTATTACATTTTTATCAGGATTCGTTGATGAATAGAAAGCTCAAAAGAACAGCATTTATCTGAAATAAAAATTATTTTATTTTTGGAGGGAAAGAAATAAAAGACATCAATACTTTTTCAATAAAATTGATCAAAAGAGAATTGTTACAAAAGATTCTATTTTAAATAAATATTTTTCTTTTGAACTTTACATTCATAGAAGAATCGTGATTTTTATTTATTTATATATAACTGTTTTCAACATTGATACATTGTCATAATATTCAAGAATATTACTGTGTTTTTTTTGTTTTGTTTTTACCGTGGTTTTCTCATCCCTGTCATGTCTGTTGTGTATGGAGTGGAAAGCATGCAGCACATGAGTATTAAATATTCATCTAAATGGCACTCTCAGCAGTGTAAGTGGTGTCAGGATGTTTACTAACAGTGTAGCGGTGCGATGGTATTGCAAACCTCCTTTGACCCCTAAGCAAAGAACGAAAAAGATTATCACCTAATGAATCTTTGCTAACTCAGTTTCTCCACATTCCCTTTCAATTTATTCTCTTTCTTAAAGGAGAAGTGCACTTTAAAAAAAAAAACAAAAAAAAACTTTTGCTGATAATTTACTCGCCTCCGTGTCATCCAAGATGTCCATGTCTTTCTTTCTTCAGTCGAAAAGAAATGAAGGTTTTTGATGAAAACATTCCAGGATTTTCTCCATATAATGGACTTCAATGGGAACCAAACGGTTCAAGGTCCAAATGAGAGTTTCAGTGCAAACTGTTCAAAGGGCTTTAAACGAATGAAATGAACGAATAGACTCAAAAAAAGATTCGTTCATTTTGATGAACAGGAGAGTCACGAATGCGACCCTTGTTCATTGTCTGGAATCGTTTAAAGCCCTTTGAACAGTTTGCATTGAAACTCTCATTTGGACCTTGAACCATTTGGTTCCCATTGAAGTCCATTATATGGAGAAAATCCTGGAATGTTTTCATCAAAAACCTTAATTTCTTTTCGACTGAAGAAAGAAAGACATGGACATCTCGGATGACACGGGGGTGAGTAAATTATCAGCTAAAGTTTTATTCAAAAGTGAACTACTCCCTTAACTTAAATGTTTACTGTGCGTTTACGTATAAGGCTTGCAACTTTAAACTACACAACCTTAGACGCATTGTCTAAAGGCCCTGACATACTCCATGCAAAATCAAAGAATAAACTGCTGCGATGTCATTTCGTAAAAAATCAGGCCAAAACCAAGTGTGGAGGGTGTTTTCGGGAGATTACATCATAGATAGGTAGATGGAAACCTCTGAACATGAACACACTGGAGAGAAACTGAAGGGGTTCAGCTGATAATAAAGCCTGGGAAGCCTTGATATAGCTGATGTGCTAAAGTCACGGTGCTGGATGGGAGCTGGAGCTGCGGTGGGCGTCTCACCTTGCCGGCGGCGGCTGACGGGAGTTTGGCGGTGCCGGCGCTGCTCGGCGTCCTCTGCATCTCTCTCTTCACCAGCGTCAGGTAATATCCCGTCCCGAGACGGGCCTTGAGGAAGAGGGGCGATCCGCAGCAGCACAGCTTTCCCTGCGAGATGATGGCGATGCGGTCCCCGAGGAGATCCGCCTCGTCCATGTAGTGTGTGGACAGGATGATGGTGCGGCCTGGAAGTCAAAGGACGGTCAGTCTGGTATCGGACACACACACCAGTGTTATATTCGGCAAAGCGTTAAACACCTTCGCGGTATTTGAGCAGAAGGTCCCAGATCCCGCGGCGGGAGTAGGGGTCCACACCAGCTGTGGGTTCGTCCAACACCACGACCTTTGACCCACCGATGAAAGCGATCGCAACAGACAATTTCCTTTGCATGCCACCTAAACGGTAGAGGTCACAGTTTAGAGAACACAACATTGAACACGTGAACGGCTTTGGATATATTTGTTCACCGACCCGAAAGGTTTTTAGCCTGCTCGTGTCGCTTGTGTTGCAAGCCCACATCCTCCAGAAGTGAAGTGATCTCCTTCTGCACCTCCTCCATGCTGATGCCCTTCATTCGCCCGTAGAACCACACGTGCTCCTCCACCGTCAGGCTTCAGACAACAACACAACAACAATAATGTTAAACATATTCAGTGAAGAAACTTTGTGGAAACACAAATGTTTAGAATTATGACAACAAATAGAGTCCCATGTTAATAATGTTGATATTATATTGTATATAAAATAGTCAGTTAAAAATAATCAATTATATATATATATAAAAACAGGTATCAAGTAGCTATAAAACAACTATTTTTTGTTGGCTCTGCCGTACATGTCGAAGAGGACGTTGTGCTGCGGACAGACTCCCAGAGTGCTGCGGATCACGTCCATATCCGTGCGGATGTCCATTCCCTTCACGTATATGGTGCCGGCCGTGGGAGGAAACAGGCCCGTGAGAATGGACCTGTGAGCGAAACCTCATGAGCTGCAGTAATAAGCTAATCAATTAGTAAAGTAATCTTAGTAAGATTTAAAGGTCCCGTTCCTCGTGATCCCATGTTTCAGACTTTAGTTAGTGTGTATTGTTGTTGTTAGAGTATAAATAATATCTGTAAAATTATAAAGCTCAAAGTTCAATGCCAAGCGAGATATTTGTAGCCTACATCGATCGAGCGGCCCGTTTGGACTACATCCCCCTACTTCCTTCTTTAATGACGTCAGTAGGACAGTTTCTTGAACGTCCGCCCACAGGAACGCTTCCTCAACTCCCTCAACATAACTTACTGTGTTTACTCAGCTCTTTTGGTGATTTTCTGAAGTAAAACTGACGCTTCATCTTTTGTGTGATGTACAATAAACTTTATTAAACTCATCAGTATATGTTTGATCATCATTCGGACCGAAACAGCAGACTTGTAGGCTATAAATAATGGATATTATTTAATGGATAATGGACAAGCAAATGACAAATACGCTATAATAACTGTAATTAAACTAGTAAACTATACCTGTTCCATCTCTATACAGCACTCTGACTCTGTAGGCATTATTGTCCGACTGGAAGTGAACACCGTTACTGAGAGTTTCTGATATTATCGTCATTCCGTCCTGAGAGACTGAGCGCGAGCTCATGAAGCCCCGCCCCCTGTGCCGGCAGCAGCAGCTCATTTGCATTTAAAGGGCACACACTCACACAGCGCGTTTTTCTGAGCCCCAAAAAATGACAATTTAAACATGCTGTAAAAAATTATCATGTTGGGTATTTTGAGCTGAAACTTCACAAACACATTCTGGGGACATCAGAGACTTATTTTATATCTTGTTAAAAGGGGCATAATACGGGACCTTTAAAGAACATGTTAAATGTTATTTGTACATATTCCTTTTTAAGTGCTCACATAGTGGTTGTCTTGCCGGCTCCATTGTGACCCAGAAAAGAGGTTATTTGACCCTCGTAGAACTTCATGTTCAGGTGATTGACCGCAAGCTTGGACCCTTTCTTATAAATCTTCACTAAGTTCCTTATGGAAACTCCTAGAATCAGACTTGACGGCTCAGCTTCGATCCGATCTGTAATAAACATAATGTTGGTAACACTTTATTTTAGAGTGTCACGTGACATGCAGTTACTATAGCAATAACTCTTAATTGTGCATAATTACATGCAACCAAACCTAGAGTATTAATCAATTATGTTGTAAAACAAATACTGTATTGCAAACGCAGTGCCAGTGGCGCGCTCACCGTCGGTGTCGTCTCTGGGCGCGGCGGGGATGGGCAAGCCCACCTCGAGGGGAACGCCCCCCCAGTAATTCAGCTGGAAGATAAAATACCACGGCCTAGGGATCCCGTACTGCCCTGCCAAACAGACAACCAATCACATTCAATCACTAATTCAACACAATATAACAACACAATCATATCCTTGACATATAATACATCATATATATGTTTAATCAGCCGAGAACTCGTACAGTCCCGTTTTTCCCAGTCCCATTGTTCTGTCAGGTCACTCAAAATCTGGCTGTGAAACACAATCATTTAAATCTCTTTTTCTTGCATTGTCTGTTAATTTAATTTTATGGGGTTTTTTTTAATAATGAGCTTTTTTTTTTTGATAAATATGAGACTTGATGTACAATAATGTTCAGATTTTATTCTGCAGGGATGCATTAAAAAGACTTTAATAATCTTAAAAAAAATTTCAAATAATAATTGAAAATTCAATAATTACCTTTTTAATCTCACTAATATTATAATTTCAAAATAAATGTGATTCATTTTGTACTTTGTATTCATTAAAGAATTCTGGCGGGGGAAATATAACACTATCCACAGAAATGGATCATGTGACACTGAGAGAGGCGTAATGGCCGCTACAAACTCAGCTTTGCCAAATTACACTTATAGGAGTCGTTCACTTTTAAAAACACTTAAGCTGATAATTTACTCACCCCCGTGTCATCCAAGATGTCCATGTCTTTCTTTCTTCAGTCGAAAAGAAATTAAGGTTTTTGATGAAAACATTCCAGGATTTTCTCCATATAATGGACTTCAATGGGGACCAAATGGTTCAAATGAGAGTTTCAGTGCAAACTGTTTAAAGGGCTTTAAACGACTCCAGACGATGAATAAGGGTCTTATCAAGCGAAACGATCACTCATTTAATAAATAAATAACAAAGTTTAAGTTTTATAAGCTCAAATGCTCGCCTTGCTCTGTTCTGTGATGCGCATTCGTGACTCTCCTGACTCTCTAAAACGTAAATTTTCTTATTTATTTATTAAATGAGCGATCGTTTCGCTTGATAAGACCCTTATTCATCGTCTGGAGTCGTTTAAAGCCCTTTGAACAGTTTGCACTGAAACTGTCTTTTTGGAACCGTTTGGTCCCCATTGAAGTCCATTATATGGAGAAAATCCTGGAATGTTTTCATCCAAAACCTTAATTTCTTTTCGACAGAAGAAAGAAAGACATGGACATCTCGGATGACACGGGGGCGAGTAAATTATCAGCTAAAGTTTTTTGAAAAGTGAACTACTCCTTTAATGTATCATCACAAGATTGTGGTTTTATTGTATTTTTTGATAGTGAATCCACAAACTCAGGTTAATTATCACAGGTAGAAGGGCGTGTATATGATTTTGCGTTTACCTGGAAAAACAGCTTCAATGTACCACGTGGCCAGTGCATAGATGGCAGCGTCCACATACAGCATGACGATGGCGGTGGTGAAGCTGTAGCTGTCTCCCTCCACCGGGCTGGATCTTAAGTTGAACCACTGGATCCCCACACCCTGCTCTTCATACTGGGAGAAGTACTCACAGCCGAAGCCAAAGGCCACTGGAGACAGGAAGCTCTGCAGGGACACAGGTCAGAGTTCAGACGTCTCAATGGAACAGACAGATAATCTAATCATCTTTCAAATCTCATTGGAGTACATATAATTATGTCGCCTCACCGCTAAGATCCTGTGTGTGCTGCTCAGGTACTCTCTCCAGGCCACACACAGCACATAGGGCAGGTAAAGGGTGAAGTACACGAGTCCTCCACACGCGGCTGCCAGGTTCGCACGCGAGAAGAAAGTGCTGATGAGGAAGCAGAGCATGATGGTGGCCGTCGCAAACGCAGTCAGGAAGAAGAAAACCACAGCCGGGTCGCTGTAGGGTAAGATATCGCCCCACTGCAGGAGACAGCACAGAGATCAGCTAAAGGGCCGTCACCGAAGAGCATTCTGGGCTCAGGACAGCCGTCAGACGGTTCACCTTAAGGGCGGCGATGAGGAGTCCAGCGCTGAAGAGGAAGGGCAGGAAACTGCTGATGAACCAGCTGAGCCACAGCATGCCGGAGCTCAGGCCCATGATCCGCATCGTCTCCTTCAGGCGGGCTTCTTTCTCATACACCACACCCTTTATGATCATAGCCACAGAATAGATCCACGCCAGGGTCATGAACAGAGGCAACGAACGATTCAGGACACGTATGAAACTAAAAGAAGAGAACAACTTTCAAAAACGGAATGATTAGGACACATTTTTCCTTACACCTTGAATACAAATAGTAGCATAGAGAGCCTAAGTCCCGCCCCTTCCGGTCGACCACCATGGGACCTTATTTCGGAAAAATGTTGAATGATAGTCAATGGCGAGAGACAACAAATATTTTGATCTGGTTTGAATTGTGCCCTGAATTACACATATGATGTTTGTCGATTTAAAAGATGCATTTTAAAGTAAAGAAAGTCGCAGTTTGATGTGAAACCGTTGAGCTATAAGACTGTGAAAATACGGAATTACAAAGACTACAAACCCCAAAGGCGCACATTTTCTCTCAATGAATAAAGCGAACTTTACTGAGGCTGTCCGTCATTGTTTCTACAGTCTTACGTTATAATCGTAACGTTACGAGTGTGCACACACACGAGCAGCGGATCTCGTTTCTCTTCTGGGAGATGTAGTTCATAGAGCGATTTTCACATAAAACTAAATGTTACTCTTCTGTTGTATGACAAACTGCGACGTTTTTGACTTTCAGAATTATCTTTTTAATTGACAAACATCATATGTGTAATTGAGGGCACAGTTCAGACGGAATAAAAAGATAAGTTGTCTCTCGCCATTGACTACCATTCATATTTTTTCCGAAATTAGGTCCCATGAGCTGGAAGCGGAGGGGCGGGACTTAGGCTCTCTATACCGTTGGGGCCAGCATGAGTTTATACACTCACCTCGAGGATTATTAGGAAGACTAAACTATATACTCTTAGAACTGCCTTAACTCTACGTGGCATTGATTCAACAAGCATTCTTCAGAAATGTTGGCCCATATTGATAGGATAGCATCTTGCAGTGGATGGAGATTTGTGGGATGAAGCTCCCGTTCCACCACATCCCAAAGATGCTCTATTGGGTTGAGATCTGGTGACTGTGGCGGCCATATTGGTACAGTCAACTCATTGACATGTTCAAGAAACCACTTTGAAACCAATTCAGAGGATGGGGACATGGTGGCCATAAAGGGATGGACATGGTCAGAAACAATGCTCAGGTAGGCCGTGGCGTTTAAACGATGCCCAATTGGCACTAAGGGGCCTAAAGTGTGCCAAGAAAACCATTACACCACCACCACCAGCCTGCACAGTGGGAACAAGGCATGATGATCCATGATCTCATTCTGTTTACGCCAAATTCTGAAATCGAGACTCATCAGACCAGGCAACATTTCTCCAGTCTTCAACTGTCCAGTTTTGGTGAGCTCTTGCAAATTGTGGCCTCTTTGTCCTATTTGTAGTGGAGATGAGTGGTACCCGGTGGGGTCTTCTGCTGTTCAAGGTTGTGTGTGTTGTGTCTTTGCTGCATACCTCGGTTGTAACGAGTGGTTATTTCAGTCAAAGTCGCTCTTCTATCAGCTTGAATCAGTCGACCTCTGACCTCTCGCATCAACAAGGCGTTTTGGCCCACAGGACTGACCCATACTGGATGTTTTTCCCTTTTCACTCCATTCTTTGTAAACCCTAGAAATGGTTGTGTGTGAAAATCCCAGTAACTGAGCAGATTGGGAAATACTCAGACACCAACAACCATTCCTTAAATCCCCTTTCTTTCCCATTCTGACATTCAGTTTGGAGTTCAGGAGATTGTCTTGAGCAGGACCACACCCCGAAATGAGGCAACTACCATGTGATTGGTTGATTAGATAATTGCATTAATGAGAAATTGAACAGGTGTTCCTAATAATCCTCTAGGTGAGTGTATATTCTCTTCAATATTACATTTTACAGCCTCAACCAATCTTGCTTTATACATCATAATAATTGCTCTAAAATAATATTTATTAGCGTAGAGTTCAAACTCACACGTCGTCCACAAAGCAGGGGTACGGCATCTGCTGCACGTATATGCCCGTGTCCGGCTCTTTACCGGTGAGCACATGTGTCAGCGCTCGCTCAACTAAATCCTGGACGTAGATGAAACCGCCCCAGACGTAGCGAAGGTCACTGAAGGGTTCAGCAGCCGGGCCTGGGTCCCAAAATCTGTCAAATGATCAAACATGATTAAACAGTTGAACTGCATCTCTCTGAAGGAAACTGAAGTGTGTGTGTGTGTGTGACACTTCAATATACTTGTCTTTGATCTTGTTTGTGCGGGTCACATCATCTATATCCATGCGGATCTTGTACTTGACATGAGGAGGCAGAGAGGATGATGAAGGGTCAGGCAGGAGGAAGACTATTCCGGCCCAAAACTGGCGATCCTCCAGCAGTTCCAGCGCCCGCTCGACGAGCTCGCCCTCCGTCGGCACACCCTCGATCTTATTCAACGAGAAGCACTGGAACAACACAGCGTATAGATACATGACGATCAATGTTAATGCTGCGGACGGTCTCAAACGCGAGTTATCGGCAATATATGACAATAACAGCTATGAGTATGAATGATCTGACCCAGCCTGGCTCTGAAGAATCTCAGATCCATTTATAAAGGGTCATGGGTAAAGGAGTGGTCTTTATACATAGCACATTTAATATTTTTCAACCTCAAGTCTATGTGCCATTTGTGACATCATTTTGTTGATACACCTATATTAAATATTCATTATTGCTTTTTCGAAGTGGAGTAACATCTGGTTATTTATTACAGGACAATTATTGAAGTCAGCATTCAGTCATGATTCGTTATAGACCAAAACTCAAAGCAAATTGTCTCCACAAGCCGTCAGACTCCTGAACAACACACACACTAACTGTTATCCTCACTGATTGTTGCACAATGTACATTCGCAATTTGTTTTCTATATTATTTGCGTATATATATACACTACCGGTCAAAAGTTTTAGATCAGTGAGATTTTTCATGTTTCTCTTCTGCTCACCAAGGCTGCTTTATTTGATGAAAAAAAATGACAAACAGTAATATTGTGAAATATTATGACAATTTAAAATGACTGTTTTCTATTTTAATATATTTTAAAATGTAATTTGAAAGTTGAATTTTCAGTTGCTGATTACACATCAGTTTTCAGTGTCACATGATCCTTCAGAAATCATTCTAATATACGCTGATTTTATGCTCAAAAAACATCAACGTCGTGTACCATTTTTTTACCCAAAATTCTGATGAATAGAAAGTTCAAAAGAACAGCATTTATTTAAAATATAATCTTTTCTAACATTATAAATGTCTTTACTGTAACTTTTGATCAATTTAACTCATCCTTGTTGAATAAAAGTATTTTCTAATTTCTTTCCTCCAAAAATAAGAAATAAATTCTTACTGACCCCAAACTTTTGAAAGGTAGTGATTAATGTTACAAAAGCAGATCAATTCTGTTCTTTTGAACTTTCTATTCATCAAAGAATCCTGAAATAAAAATGTAAAAAACTGTTTTCAACATGGATAATAATCATAAATGTTTCTTGAGCATCATATTATAATAATTTCTGTAGGATCATGTGACACTGAAGACTGGAGTAATGATGCTGTAAATTCAGCTTTGATCACAAGAATAAATTACACTTCACTATATATTCACATAGAAAACTGCTGTTTTAAATTGTAATAATATTTCACAATATTACTGTTTTTTTTTGTTGTATTTTTTATCAAATAATTGCAGCCTTGGAGAGCAGAAGAGACTTCTTTTAAAAACATAAAAAACCCTACCAATCTAAAACTTTTGACTGGTAGAGTATATATGTATATTTAGCTTGTGTATATACTATATTGTATATTTTTTTATAAGGGAGACACAGATAGTATAGATGGTGTAGGCAACTATCTGTAGAGGATTGTTTGTGACGTTTATCTGTTCTAATGTTTAGTTTCTGAGAATGTGAATTAGTGTGCAAAGATAAATATCTATTAAACCTAAAAAATGATTGTGTTTCACATGGATGGACTCTAAAAAAGTCTCTCATAGACTTAACCTAATAGTAATTCTTTACTTTAATCAAAATTAAATGTCTTCTCGGATGACGTGTTTGAAAACACACCACTCAACCATTCAATCAATTCCTAAATGGACAAAATCCCTCCCTACATCTTTTCTTGTTCAAAAAGGCGTTTCACTCGATGTACGTCACAATAGGGAAGAAAAGGTTAACATGCGTTTGATGGACACGTACAGCACGCCCTTTGCACATCCATGACAGGTGTCCTTGAACACAGATCAAGCAGAGCCAGCTTTACTGGTTTAACTGGTCATGCCATACGCTGCAGATTTCCTGTACCTCAGTGAGTTCTGCCAGAGTGCTGAAGGTGTTGTCCACATCCTGGTACAGGTCCCACCAGGAGGGCGGCGCTCCGTCCTTACGGGGCGTGTCGGGGTCAGGGGTCGAGAGGAACCGGGAAATGCGGGAGGCCGTCCAAGATGTGCTTTCCAGACGTAGGTTCACCACCACCGCCACCTCGGGCCTCCTCAGGAGATCCTGCAGGAGCCGCACTTCCACACTGCTCTCCATGAAGCTTTTGATTCTGGGACCGACTTCCTGCCACGCCTCCTGCACATCCCTCAGAATCAGGAAGTCCTGGAACGTCCTGTTGACCTGGAGGAACAAGAGTTTCAGGATAGCTCATACACACTGTATTTCTGAAGCTCACACACACTGCACACAGCACCTGTGCCATGACGGTGCGGGTCGCCGGTGTGTCGGGTGTGTACAGCAGCTTTCCAATGAACAGCGGTTTGATTCCTCGCCACACAATCCGGGAGAGAGGGTTCGACTCCAGACTTCTAATCAGGTTTTCACAGAACGGAGCTGGAAGTAGAAAGAAAATCGGACAGGATTTGTTACTCTACAAAGCTTGATACGGTTTTAATGTCAAAATATAGATTTTTGAGTTTCCCCTAATGCCCAAACTTTGGGTAGATTCGATCCATAAGTTTCAAAATTCAATTAAAATTATTTCCAGGATTGTTTCCATTTCATTTACTGACCCTGAATCAGTAGACCAATCCAAATATTTCAATATTATCTGATAAATTCAGTTTCTTCAAGGTCTCAATGCAAATAAATCAAATACAAATCAGCTACATCATAAGACCCCGAGTAGTTCACTTCATCACGGATCATGTTCAAACAGTTTTATTTAGTTGCTTTAAAGGAGTAGTTCACTTTTAAAAACACTTTAGCTGATAATTTACTCGAAAAAGAAATTAAGGTTTTTGATGAAAACATTCCAGGATTTTCTCCATATAATGGACTTCAATGGGGACCAAACGGCTCAAGGTCCAAATGAGAGTTTCAGTGCAAACTGTTCAAAGGGCTTTAAACGACACCAGACGATGAATAAGGGTCTTATCAAGCGAAACGATCGCTCATTTAATAAATAAATAAATAACAAAGTTTAAGTTTTATAAGCTCAAATGCTCGCTTTGCTCTGTTCTGTGATGCGACTCTCCTGTTCGTCAAAATTAACAAATCTTTTTCCGAGTCAATTAGTTCGTTTCGTTCGTTGGATGAAGAAAATGACTCGGGAAAAAGATTTGTTCATTCATCGTCTGGTGTCGTTTAAAGCCCTTTGAACAGTTTGCACTGAAACTGTCTTTTGAACCTTGAACTGTTTGGTTCCCATTGAAGTCCATTATATGGAGAAAATCCTGGAATGTTTTCATCAAAAACCTTCATTTCTTTTCGACTGAAGAAAGAAAGACATGGACATCTTGGATGACACGGGGGTGAGTAAATTATCAGCAAAAGAGTTTTTAAAAGTTAAGTGATTTCTGCGTGCTCAAAACAAGTAACTCATGAGTTGCTGCTCCTGCAAGTAACTCATTTAATGTTTCTATACTTTAAAATATGGAATCCTACTTTACCGAATCACGTTTAATTCCATTTTTAAAAAACGTAACAAATGATTCCCGATTGAGGATGGATGCGCATCACCGTCACGCCCCATAAACTATAAACGTGTCCAACATCTCACTGGTGCTGTTGCTGTTCTCCAGGTCCGCCTCCTCCGACACGTTTCTGCCCAGGAACGACTTGATGTCCTGATCCTCGTACCAGTTGAAGGACGGGATCCTCTCTCCGCCGGCCTCGGGGTGTCCACACATGATCCTGGAGACGGCCCGGAAGCTGTCGCGCGGCCGAGCGGAGCGGAGTTCAGGGGTCAGGAGCCTCATCTCGGAGTTCAGCTCCGAGAAACTGGACAGGGAAGAGATCTGAGGGAGAACACACACACACACACACACAAGTGAAAATAAACATCTAGCATGTTTGCATTAAAAAAAATGTATTTAACAGGTCAAAGGCTTTTTGATAATTAAATCATTTTAAATAATTAAGTCTCTTATACTTTATTTGATCAAAATTACAGCACTTTAACCATAAACATTTTCTAATTGAATATATTTAAAAATGTAATTTATTCCTGTGATGCAAAGTTGTATTTTCAGCATCTTACTCAAATCTACAATGTCACATGATCCTTGCTTGGGGCTCAGTTATTGCTGAATTATTAATAATGGATATTATTATTATCAGTACTGAAAATTTTTAAAAACTTTTTCAATTAGTAATGCCAACTATTCCCACTTTTGATCTGTAGTGACTGTCATGCAGTTTCATGGAGAAAGGAAAAGGTATAATACATCTGACAGCGACTCACATCATCCATAACGGATGCTAGTTCCTGCGTTACAGAGGAGACAGCGCGACTGATGAGCCGGAGGTCAGCCGCGTTCGCCAGCAGTCGGTCTCTCTGAAGGAGTTCATATTTAAAAACACAAAAAACAGTTCAAATATGAAACAGAGATTTCAGAAATAAGCACATCAACATTTAGCATATAGACAAATATCTTCCGTGGAAATGCATCTCTACTCTGACCGCATACCCAGCATCTCCAGAGATTCAAGTCATGATAATTCACTCGCCCCCGTGTCATCCAAGATGTCCATGTCTTTCTTTCTTCAGTCGAAAAGAAATGAAGGTTTTTGATGAAAACATTCCAGGATTTTCAACGAACGAAATGAATGAATTGACTCGAAAAAAGATTCGTTCATTTTGATGAACAGGAGAGTCGCATCACAGAACAGAGCAAGGCGAGCATTTGAGCTTATAAAACTTAAACTTTGTTATTTATTTATTAAATGAGCGATCGTTTCGCTTGATAAGACCCATATTCATCGTCTGGAATCGTTTAAAGCCCTTTGAACAGTTTGCACTGAAACTCTCATTTGGACCTTGAGCCGTTTGGTTCCCATTGAAGTCCATTATATGGAGAAAATCCTGGAATGTTTTCATCAAAAACCTTCATTTCTTTTCGACTGAAGAAAGAAAGACATGGACATCTCGGATGACACGGGGGTGAGGAAATTATCAGCTAAAGTTTTTTAAAAAGTGAACTACTCCTTTAAGGAGTAAAATGTAATTTTGCCAAAGAAAGCAAAGCAGCCTCCTCCGTGTAAGATGTTATCTTAAGAAGTAGACTGATTGTAATGTGATGGTCGGTGTGGATATTATATGTTTAGGTGGATGGCATCTCTCAGTGGATGTAAAGAAACAACACACTGCGGTGTGTGTTGAGCACTTCGAAGGACTGAATCATTTTGCTGAATAATTGATTTGAAGTAGTTCTGAAAAGTGTAGTTTCTCCCATCGCTAAAGAGAGTAAATGCAGAAAGCATCAGCCCACACTCACCGTGAGGATCTTGCTGAAGTCCAGCTGGGACAGGAAGACCTGCTCTGCCTTCTGCAGTACACCCGCGGGCACAGAACACAGCGCCCCCTGCAGGTCGGGGAAGGAGTCTCCGTCCGCAGGCGAGAGGTGGAGGCCCAGGAGCGAAGCGTTGCAGACGATATCCGACAGACGCACTCCTGCGCCGGCTAATGTGGCCTGGTGGACAGAAGAGGAATCACAACAGCTTACTGTAAACATTTATTAAACGTCTTGAAACTGTATTGTGGCATATATATAGTCATCGGGTGTGTTGATTATGGAGAAAACATTTAGGGGAGGGACCTGATTCTGTTCACTGGCTGCTGATTGGGAAAGTCCTGCATACATCAACAGTTTGTAAGAAAGGGGTGGAGTTTAAGCAGACTATGACATCATCAGAGAGTCAGTCAGAGTGAGCTATGAATATCTAATAATAATTTTAGAAAAAATAAACCATAGAAACGGATGAATTGAGATCCATAACATGCATTTAGAAAACAGATGGGTGAATCATAATTTCATGCAGACCTTTAAACAAGTCCTGAAAAATCTGTTAATCTGAAGAAAATGTAGAAATCTATCTTACGTAATTAAATGATTGGCTAGCTCTAATCATCAACTAATGATGTAATTGGGCAGGGGGTTGCCAATATAAGTGCTAGTTTTATTTCTAAGATTTTCTCTTGGTATATCTGAATAAAATAGAGGTTACCCAATCAATACAAAACCAAATAAAAACAAAGCCTGCACTGTCCAGCTCAGAGGATTACAGCGGCTCGTTCTCACCACGCGCAGGTTCAGTCGGGCCCTCAGTAAGCGGTCCACGGACGCGGACGACAGGCTGGTGTTCGCCCGCAGGAAGGAGGAGAAGCTCTCATTGGCTCGCAGATACTCGCCCACAGGAAGATCTACACAGAGCAAACGGCTTGAGTTAAAAGCTGACTTTTGTTCATAATATGGTTTAACCTACTGGCCACATTTCATCAGGATTTGCATTGTTGCTGTTCTCATTTAAAAAAAAGAGGATTATGGGAGTTTTTTACTTTAAATAACAGGCTGAACGTTCTGAGTCTCCATTTCATGCGTCTTTGAGAACATCTTCTACCATGTCGTACTTGGCCAGGCGTCAGGTCTCTCCCCGAGTCTCTGGATGGCGAGCGACAGGTCCCGCAGGCCGGAGAGCCCCGTCCGGTTCCCGCTGATCGCCAGGACACTCCTGATATCCACCAACAGTCGAGAGAGTCTGAAAACCAGAGAATATACCGCATTAATGAGCGACTCATGAGTGTCTGATGAGATCCTGTCCGGAAAAGCCGCTCACATGGAGTTGTCGAAGTTGCTGACTCGTCCGGGCGTCTCTCCTGGAGTGGGCTGATGGAAACAGGGGTTGTTGACGTTGCAGACGATGCCCTGAACCCATGCCAGCGTGCCCGCCGAGGGAAGGGCCTTGTTGGGGAAGTGACCTGAAATGGGTGAGAAACAAAAAGAACTGAAACAAGCAATAACTTTTCTTACATCAAAAATGAAGTATATTTTCTTTTTTGTTTTTTTTTTCTTTTCTTTTATAGTTTGATTGTAAAACGCTTTGTTAAATTTATTTGTGAAATGTAAAATGTATATCATTGTTAATTGTAAAAACTCAATAAATACATGTTTATAAAAAAAAATGAAGTATATTTTCTAATGATGTACATTTAGGCACTACTGGATTTTAAATCGGCAGGGGAATAGAAATATGCAGATTCGAAACCGGGTTAGAAAGCATGTCATGCACACACGGCGCAGAAAAGACGTCCATCTGACACACAGAAAAACAACGGAGAAGCAGAACAACAGAATACAAAAATATGTTCTTAACCCTAACCCTAAATGTGTGCTGTATACTCAGATTTTATCATTAATACACTCAGTATATCGTTTAATAAAGTCATTATAAAGTTTAAAGTTGGTAATTGTGATCCTATTAGGAATGCTAATTGCTACGATGGTTTCCAGGTTGCTGAGGGAAAGATATGTTGTGTGACTTTGTTTGATTAAAGAGTAACTAAACACTAAACCAACTTTTGGTCAATGATCTGTAAGAATGGATCTTTATTAATACCAGTCATTGATTCGAGTAACTTTTTTGACATTTGTGTATAAAGTGTTTTATTTCTACAATATATGGTGTAAAAACGTCTTAGTGCTGCCCTCTTATTAAAACCAGCCATTGATTCGTACGGAGGCGTATTGCATTCACTTGAAGAAAAAAAATCTACTCTGTTTTTCTGAATTAACGAGTTAATATTTCATGAGAAAAAATTTTTTGCTCTGTTTTTCTGAATTAATGAGTTAATTTATCATGAGAAAAAAAATTTTGCTCTGTTTTTCTGAATTAATGAGTTAATTTATCATGAGAAAAAAATTTTGCTCTGTTTTTCTGAATTAATGAGTTAATTTTTCGTGAGAAAAAAAGTTTTTGCTCTGTTTTTCTGAATTAACGAGTTAATTCAGAAAAACAGAGCAAAAAAAAAAAAATCCATGAAAAATTAACTCGTTAATACAGAAAAACAGAGCAAAATATTTTTTTTTCTCATGAAAAATTAACTCATTAATTCAGAAAAACACAGCAAAAAAAAAATTCCCATGAAAAATTAACTATAACTATAATAAATACTCCAATATTCCAAAACAGATTGTGCATTTTGATTGCATGGTGACTTTAACAAGATGGAAGCTAATTTCCACTTCTGATAAAAAAACAACAACAACAATTCCTTATATTGAAATATGTGAAAGTCACAGCGCTAACCAGCCATCGTGTGTATCGGCACCAAAATATTCATCCAGACATAGACCTCTACATACACTGAATTAATAATAAATTGTAAATTGTAAAAGACGATGTATTTAAAGTTGTAATGTTTAAACATCCCCAGCTCTTCAGCGCCCCCACACATTTGCAGTGTAAATCTGTGGTGGAAAATGGAACTGCAGCGCGCTCTAATTGAGAGCCATTGGGCAGATAATGAAAGTACGCAAATTAATGAAAGTATCCTTAGTTTAAACGTGCTCATGTGAACAGCCTTTATATATAGTAGTTGTGTTTGTTTTATGTTTGTTCTGATAATAGACATGACGGTTTTCCTCCACAACTTGCAATATTCATAAACAACATTCGGAGCAATGTTAAATAAATAAATAAATAAATAAATAAGCCCATGACTTGCATCTACCCTTATTAGAGAAATGTGCAACATTAATTTCATTTAATAAAAAATGAATCACGTTATTGGGGCTAATGCTGTTCAGAGGTCATGCTCCTGATCTTCAGAGTAGCTAATCAGCTTTGCTCCGGACGGCCACACACACTCGCTCAGGCACTTACACTGGCTCTGCTTGTACGGCGGGTGCGATTGCCGGACAGCAATGAGGATGAGGAAGAGGAAGAGCGGCCACAGAAGTTCAATAATCAGTTGGACCTGTGAAGATAAAGAGACAAACATCATGTTTAATGGGGTTCCTGTGGAGTGTTTGCAGGAGAGTGTTGGAGGAGCGAAGACACGTCACCCTGTTTCTCCTGCGGTACGTGAAGTTCTTCCACAGCAGCAGATACAGCTGCGTTCCTATGGCCATGGCGGACGCTACACAACTACACGACCATGCTGACAGAGGACACCTGCAACACAAAACGCTTCTATTATTCCTCCAATGACGTATACTGGCTTAACTTTAGGCCTGCGCTCCCAGCCTTCTTCAATGGAAGACAAAAGGAGATGATATGCACGATTTGCACTCCATAGTGTTCATAATGGTGGCTGTCAATCTCAAAAAAACACCATTGTAAAAGTATCTATAACAATATTCCAAGTCTTCTGAATCTAAATGACAGTTTTACTATGACATTTTTTACTTGCAGCTCTCAAATATCATTGTTTGATTTGAATATGCACATTATTCAAATTGGAGCTTCTTGGTTACAACAAAATGTAAACAAACCCCTTTAAATGAATGGATGGGTTGTTGAAAGTTAGAAAGACATGATCTCTTCAGCTTTGACTGTACATTCCTTTTCTTGAAATCCTCATTATAGCCTACTAATTAGCTTAACAGAGTCAAGAGAAATAAATCTCCTCTAAAACGGGAACGGGAAAACACAGCTTGTGTAAGACAAAGATCATGTCTAATGTAATGCAATTATTATGGGCTGCTTTAGTTTGAACAAATCATTAAAACATGGTCTCACAGCTGATTTAAAACCCCTCAATATCTAACGTTACAGAAATAGCGATTGTTTATTGTAACTGACATCATTATCTTTATGGATACACTAAACAAAATATTTTATTTTAGGCCTATTTAAAAAGTAAGGCCTGATAAGAGCAGTATATTCTACATATTTTCATTAGTTCGTTTTCCCTTCTAGTCTATAATGCAAAATACACTTTAGGATACAATAATTTGTCATTATTATTTATTGAAGCGTCATACAATTTCGAATCATTCACGGTAACTTACCGTAGCTGTAGCTTTCGCTATTGACGTCTATAAACAACACATTATTGACGGGTAGAAAGCTGGTACCTTTGGTTTTATCCAAAACTTCATTCGCCTCATGAATTTATCAGTTCCGCTGCAGTCTTCCTGCGGTCCGTGCGTGCGCGCTGCCGGTGTTACGAGATCACTCTGAGGGAGGACCGGCATGGGCGGGGCTTCCATTCAAAACATTGGAACCACATTGAGCTTGTAACCAATCGAGAGCGCTACATTCAAGATATGTAGCCAATCATTTGCGTGTGTTCATTTAGTACCCGCCCATGTAGACTTACGTAAGCTCTGCGTAATTTCCGGCACCTGTCCAGCGTTATGTATCTTGTGAGGATTATCGATATATTAAATATAACTATCTATAAGATTTTATTTAATAGAAGTTCGCTAGATCAGTTAATATGGACTAAGAATGAACAATTCTACAGCATTTAATAAGCTTAGTTCATTTCAATATTTGCTAAATAGAACATGAACAAACAATGGACAGTTGGATTTTTATTAACCAGTGCTAAAGATTAATAAATACTGAAACAAATGAATCACAGGTTGTTAGCATAATGTTAACAAGTGAGACCTTATTGTAAAGATAATTGAGTGTTACGACGTCACTCTGTAGGCCAAAACGCGGAAGTGAGTTAGCATTTTAGCATTACGGTTCCCTCGCTCTAAAGCCTATGGGATTTTTGAATGGGGTTTTGCTAAATCTCCTGAAATAAGGTCTGTGGTGAACAAAGCCTCTAAATATGTTCACGTTTTGATCTATGACATAGAACACACAGTTATAACCTGCTTGTGGTTTTTTAAACTTTATTGTGTCTGATTGTGTTTTTTAAAATCTTTATATAAGCTTCAAAATGTATAAATTCTGGATTAACTTGTAAAGATTATCTTGCTAGACAAAACGTGTAAGAGTCACAACTCTTTGTTAAACACAGATCTTATTTTTTGCGATTTTCCAAAAGTCTATGGGGAAATGCATTGCTTTTCGTTCGAGGGAACCCGTGCGCCGCTAGCTTCCCAGTTGTCCTACAAAGTGACGTCATCACTTCGGCACTCTATAAGATATACCTTAGAACAGGACTACCCTTTTTTCTCTCTTTAAACAATTAAACACACAAATCAAGAAATAATGTCTTTATGCATGTTTAATAAACATCCAATACAGCAGTTATTAAAATATACCTCTCTCTATATAGCTAAAAACAACCCAAGGAGCGTTCATGATTCCAGGCAGCGAGTCGTGTAAACCCTTAAAAGCACTGAACGTCACATCCGTAACGAGATATTGCCGAAGCGTGAGATGGAAGACTCGAGGTTATTTAACTAATGCATAGTCTGTCAAAAACAAGGCTTGTCTTCAGGCACACTGGCTTAGCAGCAAGAGCAAAACAAATGTACACATGATAACCAGCAGTTAAATAATAATAATAATCAGCTCTAAAACAGCTTAAAACACAGGTCCATGATCTTCGTAACATTCTACACGGTCAGCCTCTGCTAAAGGACAGAGAATAACGTCTCCACACTTCAGTCACGTGCATGTGACCCAAGCGGCGCGCTCCTACAGGAACACCGGCTGATCCAGGCCGGTCAGGAGACGGTACGTCGACGTCGGCATAGTCTTCAGATGAATCTGTTACAGATTAGAAACGAGTTTATTACTAATGAAAATGCAAGTTAAAGGAGTAGTTCACTTTTCAAAGAACTTTTGCTGATAATTTACTCACCCCCGTGTCATCCGAGATGTCCATGTCTTTCTTTCTTCAGTCGAAAAGAAATGAAGGTTTTGGATGAAAACATTCCAGGATTTTCTCCATATAATGGACTTCAATGGGGACCAAACGGTTCAAGGTCCAAATGAGAGTTTCAGTGCAAACTGTTCAAAGGGCTTTAAACGATTCCAGACGATGAATAAGGGTCTTATCAAGCGAAACGATCGCTCATTTAATAAATAAATAACAAAGTTTAAGTTTTATAAGCTCAAATGCTCGCCTTGCTCTGTTCTGTGATGCGCGTTCGTGACTCTCCTGTTCATCAAAATGAACAAATCTTTTCCAGAGTCAACTCGTTCATTTTGTTCGTTGAATGAACAAAGATTTGTTCATTTTGATAAATGGGTTTGAACAGTTTGCACTGAAACTCTCATTTGGACCTTGAACCGTTTGGTCCCCATTGAAGTCCATTATATGGAGAAAATCCTGGAATGTTTTCATCAAAAACCTTAATTTCTTTTCCACTGAAGAAAGAAAGACATGGACATCTTGGATGACACGGGGGCGAGTAAATTATCAGCTAAAGTGTTTTTAAAAGTGAACTACTCCTTTAAGCTCTTATAGTGAGCGATTCACACACGCAATCATAAATCATAGCTGGATCTTCTGGTGTTATCACTCCGTCAGCTAAAGCCGCTCATGCTCATCCGTCCACATCTCAAAATCTAATCAATAACACGTCCATTCAACCAAGCTAAAAAGTAATTTGCAAAAAAATGATTATTAAATGTAATTAGAATTTAATAACCAGAAAAAAGCGTTTTTGACTCAATTAGTGTTTTATGTAGTCTGAACAGCAATAAAACACTCAAACCAGATCTGAAACCCGATTAGAGACAGATGTTTTGGAGTGTGTTTGATTTCCTTCTTCCTCCTACCTCTCCTACAGCGCTGGACAGGATGTGGATGATCTTGTCGTGAGGCGTGGCGACGACACTCTGTCCGTTGATCTCGATGATTCGATGGCCGACTCGAATGCCGCCGCGCTCAGCGATTCCTCCTCGCATTAAACTGCAGATCTGTTGGTTGCAGAAGTCATGTTAGCAGAAGCAGAACGTCACGTCCTCCTCACAGCCTCACACACACAGCTGCTTACAATCCCGTCCTCCACGCTGAAGCCCAGCTGATACTTGGGGTCCGGACGCTTGATGATGGCCATGGTGACCGGGGGGCAGTGAACGATGCTGAGCTTGATCGTCGACAGGTTCTTTAAATCCTGCCGAGAAACAAAACTCAGTATTTTGTGTGTTTTATTGCTGTGGAGCGCTTGATGTGTGCCGGTCTTACCCGTATGGTGCTCTGGCAGGTGGCGATGGGGAGGCCCACCAGACTGGTGCCGTTGACGGACATGATGCGGTCCCCGATGCTCAGCGCGCCGGAGCGCTCCGCGGGGCCGCCGTGAAGCAGGTTAGCCACCACCACCGTCGGCAGGATCGAACCCCAGCCAGACTCCACCACCGCCACGCCTAAGATCTCTCCGGCCTTCTTCGATATGCACACCTGAACATCAAACAGGGGAGAGTGGGGTTTTATTCATGCTATCTAGCTGTTGTGTTGCGGTTCTGTTGTGGATCCGCGTTCAGTGACGCGTCTGATGCGTCCGTGTGTTCAGGTTCAAATAAACATGGCTGCAAGTGCTCCTCTGTGTGGAAATCCTTTTTGTTATTTTTGGAGCAAAATGTATTTTCTGATGTTACATGACTACTTTGATGATGTCTTTATTTCCTTTCTGGACAAGGACAGTATACTGTACACACATTTCCAATGGAGGGACAGAAAACTCTCGGATTAAATCTAAAATATCTTAACCCTCATTTCGGAGTCACACTTGTTATCTTCCTGGTCAAAAGTGACCGGACACCTAAAAATTTAATTTCCTCCATCCCAGTAAAACCAATGCAATTTATTTTTGTTCTATAATATTTATTCTTTGTAATTTAGTATTTTGAGACAATTTGATTGAATTTTTTAATATTTATGCAATATTTATGGTCTATTTTTGCCATGGAAAAAAAAAAATATATATATATATATATATTATTTTTTTTCTTTCAAAAAATTATTAATGCAGTATTTTGGTTTAGTATAGAGTCTAGGCCTTCAGAAAAAATATTTTTTGAAGAAAATTAGCACCATCTGGTTACAGTATAGAGAAAAAGCGTAGAATCATGGTGTAACCACTAGATGGCATGTGCAGCTCTCTATGGAGAGGCATGTGAATTCCCCAGCTGTTTATGAACACATTTTTTTTTGTGGATTTGAATATATAGTTGAAACAATCTCAAAAACGATTTATTATTTTTTAAAAAATGTAAAAAATAAATAAATAAAAATTTGTGAATTTTTGTGTTTTTGTCAATTTCCCATTCATTTCCTATGGGGGTCATTTCTGACTGAAGACCACAAGTGTGACTATTTTTTTTAACACCACTTAGCATGCTCAGATCATGACCTCATTTTTTTGTGTGTTCACATACATAATGCCATAAAAGTCACTAAGTTTCGTAACACTCCGATAAAGCTGTAATTTAAAAAAATTCAAAACATACTTTTTGTAATCAAAATCTATTGGTGTGAATGTGTATAAAAGTGTGTTTGTATGTGTGTGTGTGTCTGTTTTGCACTCTAGATGTTGTAGAGTATCTCCCCTTTCCTGCGGTGTACTTTTTCTTAGAATTGTGGCCAATTTCTAGATTGCACATACAAAAATTCAGAGATTTTTTTTGGTCAATTTCCCATTCATTTCCTATGACCACAAGTGTGACTATTTTTTTAAGACCACTTAGCATGCTCAGATCATGACGTCAGTTTTTTTGTGTATTCACATACATAATGCCTTAAAAGTCAACATAAAAGTCATCAAGTTTTTCATGAGCGACCTTCCGAGATGAGCGGAGGTCTGACGGGCTGACGACATGACGTTTTAGAATAATTTTCAGTTTTGGGTCAAAACCAGAAAATTTTTGCGAGAAAATCTCTACCAGTTTACGGTCCACCCCTAAACATCTCGCCGGATTACAGTAAAGAGAAAAGTGTTCAAAGCAGCAGATCCGCTTCGAAGGCCAGACGTCCTCACCTCTCGGATGTTCTCAGAGCGGGAAAAGTGAACCAGGTCTCCGTTATAAAGTTCCTGAGTGCCGAGGTAATCGCTGTACTCGCCTGGCCTCAGGTCGCTAGCTTTAATTCCGTTAGTGTACAGAAACTGCTGGTATGCGACGCCAAACGCCTGCCCGATGGCCTGTGCGATGGTCTGAGCCTGAAGAACACACACATGAGGAGCAAATTATGAAAGTCTGATCTAATTACAATATCAAAAGATATTTTTACACGTAAATGCATAATGAAAACCCTGGAACATTTTTTTTACCAACTCTTTGTCCAGGTGGACATATTAAGAGTGACTTCCAATCAAACGCTCTAAAACGCAGCTGTATTGTCTTCAATGACCCGCGGTCACCTCTGTTTATCTCCAGAGATTGGCGCACGGGCTCCGACTAAACGCTTGACTCACATCATCTGAAGAAAACACGTGGCAGATCATCCAGCACTTCTTCGGTGGTGCTGCAGAGGTCGCCGAGGAGTCCGCTGATTTGCGATTGGCTGGCTTCCTGCGGGCCATCAAAACTACAATATTCCCAATATCGGCGATGTATGAAATCATCTGCAGCGCGTGGTCCATCATGGCCTCCTGGAGGACAGACAGAAATCAGCCACACATCCCAGAAGACATCACTCAGAACATCAGACGGACGGCGAGCGAGTGTTTGGCCTGACCTGTGTGTCAGCACTCAGGACTTTGATTCTCTGAGTGGAAATGAACAGATCCACCTCCGCCATAGGCTGAGACTCTCCTTCAGGTGCCTGGACATTAGAGACACAGCACAGATGTGTTGTATTAGACATCTTAAAGGGATGGTTCACTTTGAAATTAATTGTTGATATGTTTTATCTTCCCTCAAGGGCATCCAAGATGTAGGTGTCTTTGTTTCCACAGTATTTTCAATTTTGCCATTTTTCAGTCAAACCGTTGTTGTCTATCAGTCATACACTGGAGGCTAAGGGGGTCCACCAAAGAGAAGTCCAGATTAAACATGATTTAATGACTCGTAAATGTAAGTACACACTGATGGCCTAAGACACGAAACGAGCGGTTTGTGTGAGAAAACCAACAGTATTTATATCGTTTTACCTCGTGTAATCACAGTGATCAGAATCAGTTGTTCAATGTCCAACTGAACCGAACTGAATCAGTTCAATGTTACGCCGGAAGTGATCGCTTGCGTGTGACGTCACTCAATATTTACACGGAGATTTCGGAAGTTTTACCTTTTACTAAACATATTTAGATATACCGAAATCATCTTCCATTGCGGTTTCCCGTATATCTAAATATGTTTAGTGAAAGGTAAAACTTCCCAAATCTCTGTATAAACAAAGAGTGACGTCGATCACTTCCAGACCGAAGCGCCCGTGCCGTCAGATCATTTTGTCATGGCTGTGATTACAAGAGTTAAAAACGATATAAATACTGTTGGTTTTCTCACACAAACCGCTCGTTTCGTGTCTTAGGCCATCAATGTGTACTTACATTAACGAGTCATTAAATCATGTTTAATCTGGACTTCTCTGTGCTGCTCTTTGGTGGACCCCCTTAGCCTCCAGTGTATGACTGATAGACAACAACGGTTTGACCGAAAAATGTCAAAATTGAAAATACTGTGGAAACAAAGACACCTACATCTTGGATGCCCTTGAGGGAAGATAAAACATATCAAAAATTAATTTCAAAGTCAACTATCCCTTTAAGAGTGTTTTTAGCACGAGGAGTGGTTGCCTGGGTAAAACCACACTGTTGTAGGCGCTTCCTCACTGATTAAACTGCCACTAATATATTCAATTGGTTGAAAATTAAAAAACAAAAACAAAACCATGTTTTGTAACGTCTTGTATGCCATCGTTTTCCAGCAGAAGTGTTTAAGTTCTTGAAGTTCCTGTTTAATTATAATTACTGTATAATTTTCAGCTATTATTGCAGAATTTCCTTATATAGAAAACTTAGCATTTGATGAAAAAAAGTGTGTAAAATTTAAACATTATTTTAAAATCAATAGATGTCTTTAGTAAATGAACAAATGTTTCATTTCATATGAGTGTCCTGCGGAAATAACGTGTCCCGGTGAATACTTGCTTTAGCAAACAGAACTTGAACATTAAAGTTAACCTTGATGCGATCCATCGCTTCCCGTGCCTGGGCCATGCGGGCGTTAGTGGAGGGGTTTTTCTCAGACTGTAACTGTGTAGATCCGAGATATTTCGCCCCAAAGATCACCCCGTCCAGGAGGTCTTCAGGGTCACATGGTCCAGGCACTGAGAACAACAACACAATGACAGTATTTACCATCGACATCACAAGAGCTCTGACAATAAATGCAACAGGTAAACACTTTACATTGAGTTTCATACCGTTCTTATAAGCCGGCTGTGTGTCAGCTTCCTGTTTAAAGACAAAAGAAAATCAGCTCCGCATCTGAGCTCTGATGAGTCCACTACTGTGGCCCAGTCGACCAGTCAGAACTCACATTTGCATTAAAAATACCAACAAAAGCTCAATTTCCGACTTGTGTGGAAATCCAAAACTCAAACCCGAGATATGGCGATATGATGATGTCATGCATGACGTACAAGTTCTTACATTACAGTGATGTGAATGAGTTTGGACACTCATGCTAAAGTTGCCTAAAAAGAGGAATAAAAAATCATCTTTAGGATATTGATCTTAATGCCTTAATTAGAAAAATGAGGAAAACTCCAACCTTTAATGACACCAATTTTCTTTGTGAATGAATAATGTATCATAAATAAATAGATGTTTTTCCTTAAAATACAGGGTGCATAAGTCAGGACACCCCTATGTTAAATTCCCATAGAGTCAGGCAGATTTTTATTTTTAAAAGCCAGTTATTTCATGGATCCAGGATAATATGCATCCTGATAAAGTTCCCTTGGCCTTTGGGATTAAAATATCCCCACATCATCACACACCTTCACCACACCTAGAGATTGGCATGGTTTTACTTCAGTTAGCCTAATAGCTGGTTTGATTTGCATTGAAAGATGATCTTATGGAAAGTACCCCATGCCAATCTCTCGGTGTGGTGAATGGTGTGTGATGATGTGGGGATATTTTAATCCCAAAGGCCAAGGGAACTTTATCAGGATGCATATTATCCTGAATCCATAAAATAACTGGCTTTTAAAAATAAAAATCTGCCTGACTCTATGGGAATTTAACATAGGGTGCCCTGACTTATGCACCCTGTATTTTAAGGAAAAACATTTATTTATTTATGATACATTATTCATTCACAAAGAAAATTGGTTTCCTTAAAGGTTGGAGTTTTCCTCATTTTTCTAATTAAGGCATTAAGATCAATATCCAAAAGATGATTTTTTATTTCTCTTTTTAGGCAACTTTAGCATGGGTGTCCAAACTTATTCACATCACTGTACAATACATGATTAAATCTGATCAGGTGCTACGCATATGGAGGTAAATGGCCTTTTTATTATACAATTTTGACGATTCCTTGCAATGCTGAGTTTATAATAATATAGAATTGCGAGTTCATACACAAATTACACTGATATATTTTATGCCAGTGCAAGTTGCTTTCAGTTTAAACATCTCAAACGTGCACTTTAGTCTGGGACTACGCTTGCCGTGTGACCGGGGGATCATCTCAGAATTCAGAGGAAAGAAAATCAATTAAGAATTAAGAGATTTAAGTTAAAACTGCAAGAAAAAAAGTGCAATAGACACACAATTCTGAGAAATAAAGTTTGAATTATGAGATGTTCATCTAAAATAGCCAGATAAACACGGAATTGCTATAAATAAAGTCAAAAATATAGAGCTATACGATTACCTTCATTTTTAATTCTATGGCAGAAACTGACTTCTATAGAAACAGCCGTGGGAAATGCTTTAAATGAGCTTTTCTATCAAGCAACGAACACCTTTATGACCAGAAGTCTGAGATTTTAAAGGGACAGGTCCAAACCTGTACGAGTTTCCCCTCCGTTGAACACAAATGAAGATATTTTGAAGAATGTTGGTGAAGTCAATGAGATTTTTTTGTTTTTATTTTTAACTTTCGTGTTCAACAGAAGACAGAACCTCAACAACATGAGGTTTGGGGCAACTGTTCCTTTAAGACTAAAGAGGGCTAAAGGTTACCAGATGGTTGTTTTTGGGGACGGACTGGTCCCACTGGTGCTCCTCTGAGACCCACAGCTCGTCCTGCAGGTGTCTGTGCCAGGCGTCCTCGCTGTGAGGAATGGAGATGGCCTCATCTGCGTCGCTGCTCTGCCTCCTGAGACCAGGCTGGAGGTCAGGGGTCACCAGGCGCGTGTGAAGGAACGGCTCGGGGTCCTCCAGCAGCGGCAGCAGATCTCTCTGATACTCATGGGAGAAGAGCAAAGCTTCAGGGCTGTTGGGGTCTGGCTCCGCTGGAGCGCCGTGATTGGCCGAGGCGTGTGTGGCGCTGGCGGATGGAGATGGCGGATGGAAAAGATGCAGTTGAGTGAGAAGGCTTTGAATGTGTGAGTGTTCAATGTCGTGTCTCACACTTTTTTCTTCGTTTTCCCCTTTCCTCATTTCTCCATCCTCTGCATAATTCTCTTTTCTCTTTTCATTTCTTTCAGGCTCGTTCTCACACATTTCCCGAAACAAAAGCTCTCCGGTTTTGTCCGAAGCTTCGCTGGAGTCTTGAGCTCGGTCGTCACTCGCTGCAGACATCATGTCTTCATTCAACTCTGTGTTGAAGAATCCGGGAGCCTCAAAGTCCCCGATGGAGCAGCTTTCTAGAGCCGAACCGGGCTCGCTGGAGGAGTCGGACCGCCAGTCCAGCGGTGGGGGCTCGAGTGGGTCATAGCGATCCAGATCCTCCAGCTGATTCCCACTGAGCAGATGTGTGGATTCAGGAGGGTTAGTGGAGGGATCAGATCCATCCGGAGATGAAGCTTCGGTTCCAGACTTGGACGGATCAGAAGAAGCAAGGAAACTCTGGTCCGACTCCACATCTCCATCGTAGAGAAACCCATCAGCCATCGCTCAGCCTTAGTAAGGTAATAATAACCCTAATAATAACCGTTCATTTTCCCAGAAGAACCTTCATCCATGGAAAACAACCTAGATTAAAGAGTAAAACTGGTGAGTTTGAAACATAACCTCATATAACTGTACCAGTCAAGGTTTATATCAAACATATTTCCATATTTTATAATAGTTCGCCATCAAACGCATAAAAAAGCAACTGGAAGTATGGAGGTATTCTTAAGTGCCCAAGTATCAGACACTACATCACTACAATCACAGACTTCTGGGTAAGGTAAATCACAGCGATGTCTATGAGATAATGTGCATTGTGTAACTGTAATAACACACACACATCCGCTGGGTTGACTGTGTACGTGGATGGATCAAAGTACATGACACTGTCTATACAAAGCTTGCAAATCTGATTTCTGATGACATAAATACACATATGAGAATTATTAACTCTAGTGTTATTCAATAACGACTTAACTTAACGTTACCTTTCCCCAACCGCTAAACATCCAACCGCTTCAACGCCTGGCGCTCGGAGCCGTCGAGTTTCACAAACACATCCTTACAAACTGACGGGATTTATTTAGTTTAGAAAGGAAAACTTTTATTCGGTTAACACTGTGTGACTGAGCAGCTTCTCAAAAACTTAACCTAAACCTAGTGAAGGAATATAATATCTCCACTGCGCATGCGCATCAGAACAAGACACGACTAATCGATCCATCGTGTCATCAGAATTCTCCATTCAAAACTTTCTAAAATCTAACCGTTGAATGAGGATTCTGTAAAGAGTCATTGAAAAAATACAAATTTTATTTCGCTTGAATCATTTTCACATTATTTGTATAAATTGTTGAATCTACAATTCAATATAACATTGTTTTTTTTAACTATTCACCAGAGTAGAAGTTAACAAAATTTCAAAATACAGACTTATCAGTGAGTCTGCATAAATTGCACATTGTTAAACATAATTATTAATACATTACAAATAGTCCCAGATCATGTGTGTGTATGTAATGGTTTAAGTCATGCTCCTTGATCACTGGAGCTCATCTGTAGGAGACCTATCAGAGACGAGGCCGTTCCCATCAGCCCCACCAGCCATGGAGGAAACCGTCCAGCCCACAGGAACCCCGGCGGCATCCAGTGAACGGCGTTGCTGAGATCGGACAACCCGCCCAGGACACCGAGCACTTCCCCTCGGACCTGCTTCCGGAGCGCAGCTCTCTCCCCGCTGACCGGACACAACCAGACATTCAGTGTTTATGCCATAGGCAGAGGATATGCAGAACACACACACACACACACACACACCTGCTGTCCGCTGAACTTCCACACCTCTGCACTCTTCTCCTCAGAATCTGGATGGATCTAATGGACCTAAACACAAACATTTTTGCTATTTACCAAAGACAAACACATATTAGTCTGTAACCACTAGTGAAAATGCGTGGTTTGCATATATAATATAAATATAATACAACACTTACTCACTAAATAAACTGTTTTAATGTTTTTGAAAGAAGTCTCTGTTACACCTTATTTTAAGGTGTCCTTGCTATCAAAATATAAGTACATAGAGTTACCATAGAGCGTTAGGGTTATAGGCTTTGCTGCTTGAAATTATCCATAATTTACTCTTATTACTCTAAATTTCATATCAGTTTATTCTTATTACTGAAATGAACATGCAATGTGTACCAAGGACACTGCAAAAAGTCTCTTCTGCTCTCTAAGAATGCATTAATTGATCAAAACTGCAGTAAAAACAATATTATACCGTGAAAAATTATTAGTTGTTTTTCATATATTTTTTTTTTATTATTTAAAGTAATGACAAGTATGGTTTTAGTTTCAGTTACCCATTACCATTCGTTAACTAATTCACAAGCTGCCGTTCGCTGCTATTTCAGATTACAGGAGGCAACGGACACAGGGTTAGTAATTCGACAACATTTTCTGCGTTTTTTTTTTTCGTTAGCGGATTTTGCCATAAATTAGGCTATATAAAAAAAAAAAAAATCAACCTAAAACTTTATTTGCAAGTTTAAATTAAGTTTTAAGATCTGAATTCTCATTTGTATCCTTATTTTTTACGAATTATGTTGTAATTAGGGGGTGGCGGTGGCGCAGTGGATCAGACACATACCTTTGGTGTGAGAGACCCGGGTTCGAATCCACTGTGAGACACCAATGTGTCCCTGCGCAAGACACTTAACCCCTATAGTTGACCCAGAGGCGTGCGACCTCTGACATATATAGCAAATGTAAGTCGCTTTGGATAAAAGTGTCAGCTGAATGAGTGAATGTAAATGTTGTACTGATCCTGTAACAGGTTTAAACGAAACACACACTTTACCGGAGGATGCCGAGGACGAGTGACAGGCCCCAGAGGCCCGTGCTCAGCGCCCACCACCGGTCAGATCTGGTGTTGATGAGCTCTGCGTCTGCGGCCCAGGCGATGTGCTCGCAGGGGTAATACATCTGATCAGCTATATTCATCAGAATGGACATCCAGCGCACCAAACCATCCTCCTCCTGAGAAACAAAGGCCATTCATCAGACTTTCCTTCAAAACTGCAGTGTTTAATGAAGTGAGGTGTCCTCACCGAGGCTCCCAGCCCATAGCTGGTGGAGTAGGCCAGCATGGACAGGTCATCGAAGAGCCTCAGTGTGGTTCTGCAGTGACTCAGCTGAGCGGAGAACAGCAGGAGACGCTTCCCCACCGAAGACTGGGACCTCTTCCGGGCCAGAACGCCTCCGACCAGCTGGGAGCCGTAGCACAGCGTCCTGATCTACAGCCAGAGCACATCACGAGCAATCAAACCTGCACGTCACGTCACACCAGCATGCATGGATGATGACTGGGAATGAGGGATGTGCACGGTTACTTCATTCCTTGCATCTAGTGCATTTCTAACAAGACTTACAAAGAGTAAGAATGCACTGTAAATGCGTCCAACACAAACAGACAAGAGTCTTTAACCAGATTTGGCCTTATAAAAATCTCTTAAACATATAAATAATGTTGAGATTTAAAAAAAAAAAGTATATTGTGTTTATCTTTTTTATCAGTTGTTTTATATATATATATATATATATATATATGAAGAGTTCAGATGCAAAAGCCTCTAAATGCCATTTGAAATTTTCTTCTTTAATGATGATTTTTATCAAACTTGTATATTGAAGTTCAGTAATTTCACTTAAATGACAATTAATAGGTAATTATCATTGCCATTTAAATCATCATTGCCACCAAAAATCATCATTAAAGAAGAAAATTTCAAATGGCATTTAGAGGCTTTTGCATCTGAACTCTAATATGTGTGTGCTGAAATGGCTCATATTATAAAATCTATAAAATTTACTATTAAATTATTATTATACATTTAATTTAGCATTTTATGTTGTATTGTTTTTGTTGTTTGTTTGTCGTAATATGGGGTTGTTATGAAGCGTGTAAATACAAACTCACCACTTTATCCCTTCCCCTGTATGACTCCAGCACACTGATGAGGGACTCGACTGAACTCGGCATGACTCGGGTTAATTGATTCTCTTCAGCGGATCACCGTGTAAATTTCTCAGACGAAGGATATGGCGTACGTGGTCCATCCATTAATAACTTTTCAGAATGAAAGACATATAAAGCACATCTAAGGCGGGGTTGCTTTTTGAACAAATATCAAATTCACCCTTTTAGCAGCAGTCTTGCATTAGTGGACTTCGTTCAGGAAATTATTTGTGTTGAGTGTTCACGTCAGACCAAAGCAATCGAGAGCCGATCGAGCTTGTGTCGCGGAATCACCGTAAACAACAAACCTTGGGCCTTTTTTTATACAGTAGAAAACGTGCAAAATATTTGTTTATTTAAGAATATGTGAAATTAACAAAAAGTCAACATTTAGTACAGTTATTCCCTATCTATATATAAATAAATAAATGTTTGGGCCTTTACATATATTTGAAAAATCCTTAGAATTATAACAGTTTTTTATGAGTTTTTTGTTTTGTGTTTTCATATTTGAAAGGGTTTTAAAGTACACTGTGGGATCAGAATTAGAAAATGTAGTATATTTTTAAGGATATATAGCTGTTGTTTTTGTCTTGTGCGTGAAAACTTTTCTCAAAACAATTAAGATTAACAATATAATTTTGTTCTTCAGAAAAATATGGGTTTTGTAGAAAAAAACCTCAACATTTAATTCAAAACAATTCAAAAATGTGTAACAAAAACGAGTTGGCAAAGAAGTAAGACTAGCATCATTATTGTAATAGTTACATAGTGACAAAGTACATGTACAAGTGAATAATGAACCACCGATAAGTAAGTCAATAAATATATAAAATGAAATATAAAACTTTATTTCTTTTAAAAGTGCTGGAATGTCAATAGCACAAAAGAGAAAGATGCAACAGTATCAAATCTAACAAATATTAAATCATCCCTATGATAATTACAAGTAAAAATCTTTACAAAATATTTTTTTCACAATTCTTATGATTATAATGTTCCATAATAATTATTTCTACAATATACAAAGCTTTGAGCTTCAGTTTCCTGAAGCAAGTGTGTTCAAAGCACTTCAGTCTCTCAGGGAAAACACTGTGGATGATCCCGTCGTCTCCACACAGGTCAGCTGTCGTCATTATCATATATATCTGCCATTAAACAAACAAATACACTATTAATAAATCAAATCATGATCATTCTTTTACAATCAGTTGCTATAATAATGACAAATAAAATATATTTTATTATATACTACAATAATGTACCTGAAGCAGTGTCAATGTCATCATAAACATCATTCTCCCTGAAAACAATACCAGAGGATAACATTATTCACAAGAGAACACGTAAATTCACAGACAAGGCTTAGATTAAGCCAGGATTAGTTTAATTTAAAGGCACACTATGCAGGATTTATCCCTTAAAATAACAGCTTCAGATGGGCATCAGGCTCTGCGCGGGTGCTGTTTACGACAGTGACGTTAAACACAGGTCCTCCAGGGGGCGCTGTTTGACAGATGGGATTCCTGCATAGTGTGCCTTTAAACAGCTTTTCTAAATGTTTGAAGATATGCCAGAGCTCTAACAGCTTATGCCTTGTGTATGAATGAAACCACGGATTGTGTATTACTGTGAATAAATAAATGAATGCGTACTCATGCAGGAGGTGAATCAAGGGCACATATCCATCTGTGCAAAGAGAAAGAGTATACGATAAATGAATCACGGTAAATTACTGTATTCAAAATAAAAGCTGATCTTTATAGCACTGTGCTCTTGGTTTTGACAGAACTGAAGAAAGAAGGCAAAGCATATATATTTCCCAGCAGGCCGTGCCTGACTTACATTTGCCCTCGCTGTTCCGGCACAGCACGCGCTTCTTGCTGGTCTCCTGGATCACCTCCAGGATCTCTCCACGGACCAGCGGAAGCTCTTTGCTCCCGGCCTTCTTCAGACTGGCATTCGGGTCCACCATCATGCTGTACAGAACTCGGATGGGCCCTTCAAACTGTTCAATAGTTTGATATCTTTTACTATTTAAGACACCTTACAGCTTCTCATGGCAACGATCAACTAGAATCGAAGCTAAACCGGGAAAAAATGGACAAAAGTAAGACAGATTTACCTTGAATTTCTTTCTAAACTCTTTCTCCCGCAGCTTGGCCATTTTCGGATCATGGCTAAAGAAAAACACATGCTATTAATATTAACTCTCTTATGCATGATGTTCACAAAAGTCAAAAGAAACATTAAGCATTTTAGAAAATAATTCATGCATATAAACTGATAATTCATGCATTTAAACTGTGAGTCTTGACTTCAGCCCCGGGCTCAGGTTAAACAAAAGCTCTCTTTATCCTCTGTGGTAGTTTACTCTTTAGTTATCCATTAACACACAATTCAAATGGGCTTTAGAAAGTTTTGTTTAAAGCGCATCGAGCTGAAGTGAGACACTTCAGCAGCTTTCATACATACAATATGACACAAACATAGCGAATAAAAGGAAAACAAGTGGTGTGATTGCTTGTTTTGTAATGGAACGCAACACAGACATATAGTCAAGTCACCTTTATTTACATATGCCTTAAGGTGAGGTCACATCACTGACATTTGGGCACATTTTGCAGGCAAAAGCAGATCCACTGTCTGGCCAGAATCAGCACACGTCACACAGAACTCACTATCAGACCCAGAAGAACCTCACTGCACGACACAAGATCCAGGGGGCGGAGCTGTGTAGGATTAGGGGTGGGGTTAGGGATCAGGGGGCGGAGATGGGCAGGTTTAGGGGTGGGGTTAGGGATCAGGGGGCGGAGAGGGGTGGGGTTAGGGATCAGGGGGCGGAGATGGGCAGGTTTAGGGGTGGGGTTAGGGATCAGGGGGCGGAGATGGGCAGGTTTAGGGGTGGGGTTAGGGATCAGGGGGCGGAGATGGGCAGGTTTAGGGGTGGGGTTAGGGATCAGGGGGCGGAGATGGGCAGGTTTAGGGGTGGGGTTAGGGATCAGGGGGTGGAGAGGGCAGGATTAGGGGTGGGGTTAGGGATCAGGGGGTGGAGATGGGCAGGATTAGGGGTGGGGTTAGGGGGCAGAGAGGGGTGGGGTTAGGGATCAGAGTGCGGAGAGAGGTGGGGTTAGGGGGCAGAGAGGGGTGGGGTTAGGGATCAGAGGGCGGAGAGGGGTGTGGTTAGGGATCAGGAGGCAGAGAGGGGTGGGGTTAGGGATCAGGGGGCAGATAGGGGTGTGGTTAGGGATCAGGGGGCGGAGATGGGTGGGGTTAGGGGTCAGAGGGCGGAGATGGGCAAGTTTAGGTATATGTGAAGTGGATTTCGTGTTCTGCAGTGAGGACCATCTCATCAGACCCAGCGACATGACACCAGCTTGAACTCGCTGGGAAATCTTTCACCCTCAATTGAAATGACTGGATTTCATCTGCGAAAATTTCCCAAACAACTTGTGGCCGCACATTTAGTAAATGAAAATGAGTCTGTGATGTTCTACGTCTAAGTCGCGTCAAATATCGGCAATCTAGTTTTTTTTTATTATTATTATTATTTTCAGTCGCATTTTGTAGTTCCATCAGCCGAGTGATCGACGCTAATGGAAAACAACAAAAGGGGCTCTATATGAAACACTGGCGTTCTGGACTCGATTAAAAAAAAACCTTTATGCAAAAAAGATTCTATATAAGGAGAAAGGTCTTAAATGATTGCATAATGTTTAATGTTGGGTTATTGTTTTTTTTCTGGCAATTAAGTATGTTGATTCTCCAACTTTATTCAAAATAAACTATGATTAAATAATTTAAATTCATAAAATGATCTCATGATAGATTCCCATAAATGAAGCCCCTGACAGAACCCTTAAAGCCCCACGGAAGTGCGCAGCATTATGTAGAGTTGACTTCATTTCCTCTGAAACAGGAACACAGGTAATGGCATATCAATCAGCGCCTCCCCTTTTATGAAATAGCCAATAGCGTTTAGCTCATATCAAAGCTCTAATGTGAAGCCAGACTTCATTCGCCCCAATGGAGAGCACATTTACACTGACTGAAGCCACAGCTTCAGCGTCTATTTTTAATGTATAGGGCGGGACACAAATAGTCATAGTTTTGGAGCACACTAGCTTATAGATAACATATTCAAACGAAAAGACAAAAAACTTCCAGTCTGATTTCACGGGGACTTTAAAGCTTCCATCTATAGAAACGCTTCTTCTGATTGAAGAATCTCACAGCCTCATTTTCATTTGTGTAAAATTAAGTATTGGTGACTACGCTTCATTTGATAAAACAAGAGAAAGAAAGACAACAGGCACCTGATCTCTGGGGGAGGAGGAGGAAACTCTTGGTCCACATCATCATACACATCTGAGGACAGCAGAACCCAAACACATCAGTGCACGAAGACTCTCAAAGCAATGCATGAACCCGTCTGAAAGACTAGCCTGTGTGCGCTAACTCACCGTCGCTGTGGAAACTGCTGCAAAGAGAAGAAAACACACACCATGAGCTCACGCGTTTGAGTGGTCAGGCGCATGTGTGTGTGTTCGCGGGGTCTCACCTGTCGTGCGCGCCGCTGGAGCCGATGTCGTCGTAGCATTCTGGGTCCGCAGACGGGGCGGCTTGGCCACGGATCTTACGCTTCACTTCCTCATAATCCACATCCACACACGAGTTACTGATGTAGCCCACTGCAATGGTAAACACATAATCAGAACTTTATGAATATTCAGAAATGAATGATTACTAAATGATTATTAATAATGCTGTGCTGTAAACATGATCTTCGTGTGACTCACCGCTGCCCCTCAGGTTTCGCGCCAGCCATTTCCCCTCGGGGTTGTTGTTGACGCGGATGATCTCCACGCTCTCGCCCTGCCGCACCATCAGGTCACTCTTCCCGCCCTGCCAGTCCTCGCGCACACGGGCCGTGTGTATCGCCTCGATGGGTCCGTCCAGCTACGTGAGCAAACGCCACTATATGAACATGCTAATGCTAAACTCACATAAACACGCTTGCTTCAACACAGACCAAACACTTACCTTAAACTTTTTTCTATACTCGTTTTCCCGCTTCTGCTTTTCCTTCAGTTCTTTCTTGTCCAGCTCCACCTTTTTAATCTCTTTAAAGACTCTCCTCTCGGCAGGAACAGGTCTGAAACATTAGAAATGTGGTCGAAATGAAATCAGATTGACTTCAGTCTTCAGAGGAACACAAAAGCAGACGCTCATTCATGCTAATCTTTAACAGCTCTGTTTGCTTCATGAGGGGGAGTGAGTTACGAATCATGTGAACATTTCTTTTAAAGGTTATAATTGAAGTGATTGTTCAGCCGTCTGAGGCTGTAAGAGCATATGGATGTAATATAACAAGTAGATTTCTTGAACTAAAAGTTTTGCATGCCCATCTTATACCCTTACAATTAAATAGGCTCCTGTACCATTTCGATGTCTAAACAGGGATGCACTAATATTAAAATTGAGGCCGATACCAATAAGCTAGTAGTTATTTTCAATAACACTACAGTTAAAAAAACAACTCTCATGTTTACCAAGGCTGCATTTATTTGATTAAAAATGCAGTTAAATAGTAAGTAAAATAACTTTCTATTTTGATATATTTTAAATTCTAATTTATTCCTGTGATGCATTACAGAGTCACATGATCCTTCAGAAATCACTCAAATGCTGATTTCTTGTTATTATAAAACATTTCTTGTTATTATCAATTTTGCAAAAAATAAATTCTGCTTATTCAATGATTTATTGGTTGAAAGTGATAAAAATAAAATAAAAATCAGGATTCTTTGAAGAATATACGTAAGCATTCGTTTGGAACAGTTTAGTGTCACTTTGAATTATTGAATGCATCATTGCATATTTACGGACCGCCAAACATAAACTTAAACACTAGCAAAAGCATAACAAATAATACAACACTACAAATAAATTTAGCACCACATTATCATGTACAGTATTAATTTAGACTAGTTAAAGATTAGGTTGAACATTTTTAATAGATTATAAAGAGTTTAACAGTTAGGTTGTTTAACATTTAAATGTTGTTTAAATAGAGGAAACTAGCATGCAATTAAATATTAAATATCCAAAACTTTTCTAATATTGACCAATATATCATGAATTCAAGAGGTGCAATTTTACTTTTATATTTTAATCATTTAGCGGACGCTTTTATTATATTATTATAAACTTACGAATGATGAGAGCAATAGAAGCAGTGAAACTAACAGTAGGTCAACTTTAAATAAAAAACAAACAGATATACAGATTAGAATAGTAAGTGTTAGTATTAATGGATCCATTAGTTGAGCGTGCTGAGCCGCTCGGGTCGAGTCAGGGTCAGTTTCGGGACGATGAGGACACGAGCGTCTGTAGTAAGTTTAGATAGGGCTGCATTTTAATGTGTTCATGTGACATCATCATCATAGTGTGTGAACAAGCTGTTTTCGCAGTCAGCTTCAGTAGCGGTCTGGACGGAGTGCGGAGGGATCTTTGGATCGTAAGTGTTTTGGAAATGCATGACTCACAAGTCTGGGTCTTCATAGATGTCTTGATCGCTGTCCTACAATACAAAAAATAGCATATTAGAGCACATGCTAGACTGCACACGGGGAGCCTTACGCTTTCACTCGTTCACACACACCTCGTGCTGAGAAGGGTAGCCGTCAGTCCACGAGTCTGCAACATGAAAACACACACACACACACACATGCTGGATTGGTGAATGTATTTTAAAATAGAAATAATATCTGCTTCACATAGTAAAGAAAACAAACCTCACACACACACACAACACATTTGAGACACATGCAAGATTATATGTTGCCCGCCACAGTGTTAGTGTGCTGTGAAGGTCACCAAGGCACTGCTTTGTGGTTTTTAAGCCCATTGCTGAGCCATGATCTGGCGATCTGACCTCCAGATCCGGCTGGGTCACTCTGTGTCAATCTATTTATGTAATAATATGTAAATCTATGAGATAAGAGTGTATTGACGTTTACCTCTTGGCTTGGGGGGTGGGGGAGGGGGAGGGGGAGGGGGGAGTGCGCTGATGTCATCATACGTCTCCTGCACATCTCTGATCCAGACAACACACACACACACACACACAAAGAGGAGTTAGATCACACACTTTACAGTGGGACACAAACACAACGCAACACAATACGTGCTTCTCTGAGCTGGTTTCATACGAGTCAGGAAACGCCAGCGAGTGCACTTTACACCCACATACTTCCAGGATGAAGAGATGCATGCACACAGCGACACAATACAACTGAAGCTGTGGCGTCTCGTTCTACTTCAGAGACACAATACTGATGTAGATATATACTAGTGTGCTTTCTCTCGTCTCCCAAACGGGCGATCACAGACATTACTCACTCTTCTGCCAACGACGGAGTCCACGGTTTATTCGGCGGTCTTGCTGGTCCTGATCAAACACAAATATATCAAGTAAAACTGCTTTTCTGTTAAAACTTGTGTCTATTAACAATAGCTAACATTATAAATTGCTTTTTATTCATGAGTGATGTATGTTTATTACTGATTTGTGTGCAATAAAAGTTTGTTTTCCATTCAAAAAACCTCCTACCTTTCAGACATTGTGGCTCCGTTGGTCTTTTGGGAAGAACGAGAGGGGCTTTTTTCCGGAAGTGCTCCAGGTTTACGGACGGAGGCCGCTTGGGTTTGGCGGGTCGAGGCCCGACGTGGGGAAGCGGCTTCCTCAGCGGCACCACCTCGGAGACGCTGCGCTGGCCCGGCAGAGGCGGTCTGACAGCGGAGGGAGAACACACTTTCATGTCGCTCTGCTGTCTCAGGATCTTGCTCTGAAGAAGCTCTCCTGTCAGCCGGACTCGGCTCGGCGAGCTGCCCTCCACGGGGCCCGGTCTGGGGCCGTCCTGGGCTCCGGAGCGATGAGCCGGAGGAGGTCTTGGAAACACACCCTGAGGGCCCGAGTGAAGCATCTTTGGTTCACTCGAAGAGTTCAGAGGCACGATCGCTCGGGGAGGCACAGCTGAAGGCTTGTTTCGGAGCACTCCATTGGTTAAAGGCTCGTGAGGTCTGACGCCGGAAACTCCTCCTCCGGATCCGGACGCCTCCAACTGAGCATGAAACTTGGCCCGGAGGGCTTTGACATCCACATTTTCTTCCTGTTAAGAAAATGTAATTATAAAACAATTCAAGTTCCCTTTTGACTTACAGACGAGATCTAATGAGATGTAAAATAGAGTCCTATATTTACACTGAAAAAAACATACATTTTCCTGAATATTCTGTGTGCTCAAATTTGATGATTTGTCATTAAATGTACATTAGGGTTAGATGCATGTTTATTGCATTATTTCTAAAACCGTATTCTGGACAAATGTGGGCAAAATAGTTTTGATTTATTTTTAAAAAATGCTTCCCTTGATCTGAGCGGTACAAGACTTGGCTACTTTTCCTAAGTTTGCCTCCTGAACACACCATTTTTTGACTCAATTCTACAATGTTAAGTGGGTGAAAAAAACTCCTTAATCTTGTATTTGGGTCAAAAATGGGCACCCATAGGAAAAACTGTTATTTACAGTATTGTAAAATAAGCCAAAATAAGACACCAGGTGACAGCAAAGTCACTTCATCTTTAGGTTTTTAGCTCTAAGAACTTATTGGAATGATATTTTAATGTAGTTCAAAAAATAAAACATAGAAAATATGGTACTTTTGAAGTAAATAAATTCAAAAAGAACCCCAAAATAAAAAAAAAAAACACACACCATAAATGGATAGACAAAAATAAAAAATAAAAATGAGGATCACACCTGCGTCCTCTGTGCCCACATTTGTCCACAATTACAGGATTAAGGGCTATGAAGTGAATACGGTTTGGGCAACAAGTGTCGTATCGCCTGTTATGATGGTGTTTTGCATTGACTGTGCAACTTAACTCTGTATGTGGATCATTGTCGGATTTCTCTTGTGTTTGTAAGATGGTTGTCAGTGTATTATAAAGGTGAGAGTGTTACTTTATGAAAAAAGTTTTAAAAATGCACTTATGAAAATCAAAATAAATATATCCTGTTCAGTCTGTTATTAAATAAGCAGCAGATCAACCCTACGAGTAAAACGGCCATACTGAGTTAATCATTTGCAGTCCGATTTTGTGACGCTAGACTGAAATGTTGAGAGGAACTAGGACAAACGTGCACGACACACTGATGGCTTCTGTCACACACACACACACACACACACATACACACACACACACACATCCATATAAACAGCATCTGACCTTGTGGGCGCTTCACCACACAGTATTAATTAACACGAGCGAGATGAAGAGCTGTTTGCATCAGAGCTGGCGTAAGCGCTCATTAAACTGTACAATAGTTGAAGGAATCTTATAGGTTTGGTTTTGGACTAGAGGAAATTAAATTCACTGTAATAAGTCATCAACTGAGGCATGAGTTTATTGCCAAAATCTATTTTTAAAGGTCCCGTTCTTTGTAATCCCATGTTTCAAGCTTTAGTTAGTGTGTAATGTTGTTGTTAGAGCATAAATAATATCTGTAAAATTATAAAGCTCAAAGTTCAATGCCAAGCGAGATATTTGTAGCCTACATCGATGGAGCGGCCCGTTTGGACTACATCCCCCTACTTCCTTCTTTAATGACGTCAGTAGGACAGTTTTTAACTAACGTCCGCCCACAGGAACGCTCCCTCAACTCCCTCAACATAACTTACTGTGTTTACTCAGCTCTTACGGTGATTTTCTGAAGTAAAACTGACGCTTCATCTTTTGTGTGATGAACAATAAACTTTATTAAACTCATCAGTATATGTTTGATCATCATTCGGACCGAAACGGCAGACTTGTAGGCTATAAATAATGGATACATCCAAGCAGATGACAAATACGCTATAATAACTGTAATTAAACTAGTAAACTATACCTGTTCCATCTCTATACAGCACTCTGACTCTGTAGGCATTATTGTCCGACTGGAAGTGAACACCGTTACTGAGAGTTTCTGATATTATCGTCATTCCGTCCTGAGAGACTGAGCGCGAGCTCATGAAGCTCCGCCCCCTGTGCCGGCAGCAGCAGCAGCTCATTTGCATTTAAAGGGCACACACTCACACAGCGCGTTTTTCCGAGCCCCGAAATATAACAATCTAAACATGCTGTAAAAAAATTATCTGTAGGGTATTTTGAGCTGAAACTTCACAAACACATTCTGGGGACATCAGAGACTTATTTCATATCTTGTGAAAAGGGGCATAATAGAGTGCCGAAGTTACGACGTCACTCTGTAGGCCAAAACGCGGAAGTGAGTTAGCATTTTAGCATTACGGTTCCCTCGCTCTAAAGCCTATGGGATTTTTGAATGGGTTTTTGCTAAATCGCCTGAAATAAGGTCTGTGGTGAACAAAGCCTCTAAATATTTCACGTTTTGATCTATGACATAGAACACACAGTTATAACCTGCTTGTGTTTTTTTTAACTTTATTGTGTCTGCTTGTGTTTTAAAAAACTTTATATAGGTTTAAAAATGTATAAATGTTGGGATTGAAGATTATCTTGATAGACAAAACGTCTAAGTGTCACAACTCTTTGTTAGAAACAGATCTTATTTTTTGCAATTTTACAAAAGTCTATGGGGAAATGCATTGCTTTTCGTTCGAGGGAACCCGTGCGCCGCTAGCTTCCCAGTTGTCCTACAAAGTGACGTCATCACTTCGGCAATCTATACAGGACCTTTAGGAATCAGTCATTGAAAAGTCTGATGCATTTACAACTAAATTTTCTTTTCTTTTATTTTTTAAATATATATTCTTGGTCTTGTTTATCTTCAAAATATAAAAAATGACATTTATTCACATATTCCTTTTACGTTTCAGTGTCCCCAATCCATCATCAGTCTCCGTTCTAGTGTACGTAAACCCACTTCGTCAGTTCCCGACTGATGAACTCAATTCTCAACGTTGCTCAGCGAAATCCAGTAAAGCTAAAAATTTAATTAAAAAGATTTAGCATTAGATTTTAAAAGCGAATTTTCTGAATGCTACTTGTTCTGAAATGTGAGCCGTACTTCACCCTTCACTACATGACTGATATAGTGGACAACTGGAAATGTTGCTAATGTGATCACGCCTCGATTTGAATACTTGAACAGTCAGAATATTACTTTTTACCAAATTAAAATGTGGTCGTTACATAAAAAAAAAAAAAAGATGTTACTGTTTTTGTTAATGAACATAAATTTAAAGAGTAGTTTAAAAAAACAATTAACACTCTGGTTTATACAACTTTCACTTAGGAGCAAAAATCTGCCTCTAAACTTGAAAGAAATAAAGATTTGACATATATTGTGAATGTGATAATTACCGATTTCAACTGATATAAAAAAAAAAATTATCGTGATTATCGTGATCATTTTTTTGGGCCATATCGCCCAGTCCTACTTGAAGTCTCAGATTCACTCAGTTTACTGAAGAAAATACATGTTCCAAACAGATTTCAGGCTTATCAAAAATAAGAAGACTTCCATTGTAAGCGCATTAATGCAATCACATTCTTTGATTTGCATCTGTGTTGTTCTAATAAACTGAGGGACAAGTCGAAATCATGTTCTGTGGTAACGGACAATAGGCCACAGATGCTATCGATCGCTTGAACCCCAAACCTTCAGCTTTATTTCAATAGAAGGCATTGTTGTTTGTTTGGTGAACGCCAGTAGAGGAAGGCAAAGCTTTCACAGAAGTGAGCCGTCGTGTGGTGTGAGCAGAACGGACGGGCCTAAACCTCAGACCACAGACAGACTGGGCAGAGGCTGTGTCTATTGTCCTTATGCAATCTTTAATGACGAGTACACACAATTGATGCTTCTGTCAACTGTATGCAGCAACTACACGGCGAAGATAATGAACCGTCATGAAGCGAACAGCAGATTCAGAACAAAAGTGAGGCACAGGAAGTGTCTTCAACCACACACCTTTGCAGAGCACTTCACTCCACACCGGTTGCTATAGAAACCGCAGCCAATAATGAGCCTTCAGCTGCTAAACACACCTCGAGTCAATGACAAAAGACAAACGAAAGCTTTGTCTGATCTGATCTAGACACACTCAATATCAGTCACTCGCCCTTTAAAATCACACCGTCATATTCTTAATATTCACACTATTATATTAGAAGTCAGGCACAAGTTTTTTATCAAAATCTAGTTTTACCAATCAGTCAGAAAACCCCATAGGAACTGACCACTACTCAGAATATCTCTAGTTTCATTAACAATCACATATTTCACTCCAAAATTCAATAATGCAATATATATGTTTTTTCTGTCCCGGTTTGGACTTAAACCTGAATACACACTGGTTCAGCGGGACTCGTGTCAGGGCCTGAATTGAGAAAACATGCTTATAAATCATACAGAATTTGTTTTGTTTTTTTAGTCGAGTCGAGTAGATAAATATACGAAGAGTTCAGATGCAAAAGCCTCTAAATGCCATTTGAAATTTTCTTCTTTAATGATGATTTTTATCAAACTTGTATATTTATGTTCAGTAATTTCACTTAAATAACAATTAATAGGTAATTATCATTGCCATTTAAGTGAAATTACTGAACTTAAATATACAAGTTTGATAAAAATCATCATTAAAGAAGAAAATTTCAAATGGCATTTAGAGGCTTTTGCATCTGAACTCTTCATACAGTACAGACCATTACGTCTGTGGAGAGTCCTCACATAGATGTGTGTGTGTGTTTATCTATTATAATAGGCAGAAATATAATAATCATATAAAAGGGATTTGAGAGTGAAATTTAAGGATATGGAGGTATATTTTCCAGGTATATTTAAACAATCTTCACTGTCTGCTAAAGTTGCCAAAGATACACAGAGATACACAGTGTGAAAGAGCATATAACGAGACTTACACTCCCTCAGGGTTAGGAAGAAACATTACAGTATCCTCACTCTAATAACTCACACATCATCTCAGTATTAAGAGTTTATTTAAAAAAAAAAAATAATAATAGCATAATAATAATAGAAATAATAACTTATAATCCAACATGAGCAGTGACTGTTAGATTTTAGGTTTGTCAGTTTTATGATAGTCTGTCAGTATCCGAATCAACTACACATTTCATCCGTAATGATTATATGGAGCATATAGAAAATCATCTCATTTATGTTATTTTTACTAGAAAGAAGATCAAGGTGTCCTTACCATGTGTTTTATATCCAAAGTTTCATGTCCTGTGAGTTCGGCTGAACTGAGGCTGCAGTTTCCTGAAGCGCAGATGACAGATCACACACACACACACACACACACACACACACACACACACACACACACACACACACACACTTGGTACAGCAGGAAGTCAAAGAGAAATGAATGAAGACAAATCCACTGGGCCACTCTATTTACATGTAGCCTACATACGGGTTAAAAGAGGCTGAAAAAACAAACAAACATGTCTTTGCATTTACATATCAGTGATTCTGGGGAATTTGGATAAAACAGGTTTTAATTTTGAAAATAAAAAGTTAGTTAAATTATAAAATCGGAAGGTATATCATTATAAACCAAGGTCTTGGCTGTTCAGCAATGTACCGGTGCAACCTCCTCATTTTGTATTTTTTTCATGCTTTTCTCCAGTTATCACATTGTTTTTGTCAACACCGTCAGACAAAATAAATAGCAAATTATTTTTATATTTATTTGGTCTAATATGTATTTAGAGTTTTTAAATCATTATCTGGCATTCTTAGTACACATACTGTATATGCTGTTAAATGTTGAATATTCACTTTTGTTCATTTTTTATACTGTTTCGCGTGTACTCCTTTAAAAGATATAACATCATACAACATTTACTTTAAGCCTAAATAGAAAAAGTAAAGTTGTTTTATTTAACAAACATATTTTTGTATTAAAAGAGACTATTACTTTAATAACTCAACAGCACTGAAGAATCATACAGTGGTATGAATAAGTTTGGACACCCATGCTAAAGTTGCCTAAAAAGAGGAATAAAAAATCATCTTTTGGATATTGATCTTAATGCCTTAATTAGAAAAATGAGGAAAACTCCAACCTTTAAGGACACCAATTTTCTTTGTGAATGAATAATGTATCATAAATAAATCAATGTTTTTCCTTAAAATACAGGGTGCATAAGTCAGGACACCCCTATGTTAAATTCCCATAGAGTCAGGCAGATTTTTATTTTTAAAAGCCAGTTATTTCATGGATCCAGGATAATATGCATCCTGATAAAGTTCCCTTAAAATATCCCCACATCATCATCACACACCTTCCACCACATCTAGAGATTAGCATGGTTTAACTTCAGTTAGCCTAATAGCTGGTTTGATTTGCATTGAAAGATGATCTTATGGAAAGTACCCCATGAAGTTCAAAACTTCATTTTAAGTATGCTTAAGTCAAGTTGAAAAATACATTTTAAAGTATACTTTATGTAGTGATTATATTGAAGTATACTTGTAACGACTTGTAAGTCTACTGTTTCAATACCACTTTGTATAAAAGTATACTTATAAAAGTGTAACAGTAGTGTACTCAACTAGTTTACAACTATGTTTTTTCATTGTACTGCAACTATACTACAAGAGAACTTACAGGTACTGATAGTTTCCTAGTCAAATAACTTACTTGTTTTAGCGGTGTACTTGGACCGAGTCCATCAACTCTTCACAGATTCCTCTTCTTTGGTTCAATATTTCATTCAGGAAACGTTAGGCAGTTTTAAACTTATGTGCTGTGTAATGTTTGATGAGCGATAGCGTTATTTGACAATACCTTTATCGCTAGTTTCTGCTTCTTCTTCACCCGTGTTGTTTTGATCGGGAGATCCTCTCTCAGGAGGCGAGGCGTGTCACAGCGCCCCCTGCCGGGCAGCAGCGAGAACACGGACAGCCGGAACACTCCCATACTCGACCAGTGGACCATAATTATAACAGCCCACCCTACACACAAATCTAGATGCTCCGAATTAGGAATACATCTGTTTTTTTTTTATATCTATAAATCAGTATTTTCAAACAATATAAGTTATAAGTCAAAATAAGACAGTATGCAAACTAGGCTACTCAAGCAAAAGAGTAAACTACAAGCTTAGAATACTTGATTCTCGATCAAAAGATTGAGTACAAGTATTTCTAAGTATACGTGCAATGTAATTGTATGTTTTTGAGAAGTAGCTATATGAAGTAGCCCATATTTCTGAGAAGTACAGAAAAAGTACTAAGAGTTACGAGTTATTTTTAATTTTAAAGAAGTGTACAAATAGCACACTGGAATAAACTTATTTTTCGTGGACATGAATAAGAACGTACAGAGTCTCTAGTGTATTGATGGCCTATGGTTTATTTTAATCTGAATATTTAAAAAAAAATTAGGTTTAAATGAAGGGAAAAAAATATTACCTTTGATTAGCATCGCAGTGTGTGTTGACTCCTGACGAGACTGAGCTCTGTCTCCCCCTGTCGGTCATTTGGGGGAATCATCCAAGAGTGGGTTTATCAACACAATCTTATTATTTTAAATCTAATAAACGGAAGGATTTGGCTTATATGCTCCTGAGACATAAATATGAATGTGATAATAACACACAATAACCTCAGAAACCTAAAAAAACAAAACAAAAAAAAAAACATTGCAAACACAACTACTAAAATAATGCTATCAAAATAATTATTGAATTTGTTTCATGTTTTTTTTTTTTTTTGAACATGAGAATTACATTTGGGAACACTAACTCAAACCCCAGAATATGTATTTTTTGTATGATATAGTAAACAGTGTAGCTAATAAGCCATCTACTACAAACAAAATGGAAAATGCTACTTTAGTGTTTGTAGTTTTCTGCCTCCAGTGGCGTTCACACGGCCAAACACACGCGTGTATCGACTTAGTAGCAAACAGTTTCAAGATCCTGCTTTACAAAGCACTGAACAAACATGACAGCAACACTTTATCAATTAATCTTTATTTTCACATTTAAAAATAATTCATCTTATAACCTTTAAGTTTTCAAGAAACAAAAACGCAACATTAACCGTACCAAGGCATCTTAAAATCAAATCATATAAACACTGGCTGAAGGCAAAACTATCGACACAGAAAGTGTGTTTCCTCACCATAAAAAAAAACACACAAACGAACATTAAAATGTGACTCAACATGACTGTCAGATTATAGCGACACACATGAATCTCCAGGGAAAGAGCTCAGATCTTCTGAAGCCGACTGAAACGTATCAAATACGACAGTAGTGCATTATATTCTGAATGGGAAGGTGAAGCCACTGAGAAATGGGTTCTGTTGAGCTGAATATCCCAAAGGTTTAGGCTCAGTTGACTATTATTTACTGTATAATACAACACAAAAATCAAAAAAAGTCCTTTAAAATCTCAGTTTGAGACATTGAGAGTCCAGTGCTAACTCGCATCTTGTGTTGTGTCATCTTGTACACTTACAACCAATCACCTTATAGCATTAGCACACCTCTAGTGATGTCACAATGAAAGGGCAAAAGGTGTGGAGCAATAAAAAAGAGGCCACACCCACAGCCTGAAGTTACAGAACCAATGAATGAGACGTCACCTGAACCTTCATGACGCCTTTTAAAATAAACAACACTTAAAGATATATTCTCCCCAAGCTCCTTTCTCATCGCAGTTATGCAAGAACGTGTCCAACTTTCCAGCAGCAAGACAGCGTAGAAATGGAGGAATAAAACAGCTAGCTCACACATATTGCTAAAATTGGTGTAACAAAAACGATAACGGGTCAGCAAACTTTTAGAAATATTCTGGCGAGTTTATGAACGCTTTCAGCTACTAATAATGGTGTAGTACTCTATCACCAGATTTACTCTCTTAAAGGGCCAGAAAGCAGCTTTTAACCCTAACTTCAGCAGTGTTTACAAACTGTCCTGACTTCTTATGAGGAACTGAGATTTGAAACAAATTAAACTTCTAACAAACAACAAAAAGTTGTTTTATGAACCTTCCTATTCAAAATGTATTATCCTGACCCATGAGTTCGGGCCATTGTATCCAAGACGTCCCGTCAGTACAAAAAAATAATAATCATGCATATGAATGTACATCATGATTCAAGTGATCTTTGTATGATTTAAACACAGAAACAAAAATAATCCTTCACAGATATTACACATTCAAAGGGGAGTTTTCCATGATATGGTCAACCTATAAAAAATAAATAAAATATTTACAAATAAAACTCAAAATCCGAGCAACCCTGACGCGCTTGTGTTTGCAGTGTCCGTCTGTCCTTCGCTCGCAGGAACATGATGGCGATGAAGACGCTACATTCAGAAATGCATCCTGTGCAAAAATAATAATAATAGAAACAATTCCCGGCACCTTCCTATGATCTACACATACCACTGAGAATCTCCTCATAAAATAAACGTGACAACCCAAATAAATAAAAGAAAGACAAAAGCAGTAGGATTGGAGAAAACATTCGTCCTCCAGTCGTTTGGACAGTCCCTGTGCGAGTCCTACACCACGTACTGGCCGGCGCTGTGTCCGCTCGTGTAGGCCTGCCGGCTGTACTGGAAGTGGTCGGTGAGAACGGTGCTCCGGCCGTGCTGGAAGTCTGAGCTGTGCGTGAAGGGCCCGGACCCGTTGGACAGCGGCTTGTCGAACGACACCAGGTCCTGTGTGGACACCGGCAGCGGCGTCTTTTTGGCCCGGGTGGAGTCGTACTTCGCCTGGTGAGGAAAACGATATTATACATCATTTGTATATAATTACACATCATCATCCGTGTAGAGGACATTACCTTATTATACAGGAAGACACCGAGTATCGCCGTCATCATGCCGATGATGTTGGTGGTGCTGACGGGGTTCCTGAGCATCAGCAGGGATATACTGATGACCATGATCCTCTTGGTTGCGTTGGCTACGGCGTAACTGAGCGGGCTGACCAGGTTCAGAACGCTGAAAGCGATCATGTTCTGTGCAAAGTTGCAGATCCCACTGATGAGGAGCAGCACGACGGTTCCGGTCCCGTTGGAAATCTCCGACTGTAGAGGAGAACAGAGAATCACATGACCCGACGCTACAGGGTTTTGATGGTCGAGTGCATTGAAAATAAGGGAGATTTCCCGGAATCCATCCCCAAAATAAGTTTTTTTTTTTTACATTATTAAGAGAAACAAATGAAAAACTAAAACGATACAGGGGTTGGACAATGAAACTGAAACACTGGCCAATGTTGGAGGTTTCACATCTATATGCCTGGCGGCCAATCTTCAGAGTGAAGCACGGGTGGATCAGTGATGCTTTGAGCTCCAATATCATGACAATCCTGATTGGGTTTGATGGACACGACACTGCCGAGGACTACCAAACCCTTCTGGAGGATCATGAGCACCTGATGCTCAAACCGTGTATCAGCATGATCATGCACAGCAAGACTTGTGACAGAAGGGTTTGATGAAGATGAAAGTGACGTTGAACTTCTATCTGTCAATTGGTGCTGTATTTGGATGCAAAATGAGGCCCTCACCATTCTAACAAATTATTGTTTCAGTTTCATTGTCCAACCCCTGTATTTTATTCCTATGTTATGCTATGACCTCTGTAGTGGACACCAGGACTCGATTGTTTAAAAAAAATTACATGAAAATATACAGGCAAAAAAAAAAAAAAAATGGAAATTTAACATATAAACATTGTGTGGAAGTCAACGGCGGGACAGAAATCTCTCAGATTTGATTAAACAGATCTTCATTCGTGTTCTGGGACGAGTTGCAGAAACTGCTAAGACTAGTCTAATTATTTTCTTCAAGACTGTTTATAACTTTTTAAAGTTAGTTACATAAAAATGTCTAATTCGATCTTCGAAATGTCTAGGTCTAATTTCATACCAAACAGTAAGACTGATCACCCCTAACTAACTGCTAGTTGATCAGACTAGTTCTTAAGACACCGTCTGAACATAATGGCTGTTTATGCAGCTGGCCTAATCAAAGTCAAAAGTAGAATGACATCAGAATGACATCAAGGCGAGTAATCGACGACAAAATGTTTGGGCGAACTAACGCTTTAACCGTGGATTTTGAATGTAGATGCTTTAATAAATCATTTATCGGGAGCGTTTATGCTAGCATGTGAAGGTTGTAGCATGGCGACATGCCTCCAATCCAGAGTCAAATCTAATTAAAGTGGCTTAAAACATTCCAAAGGCAATTTTATTAACCTCTGCAGTAATTCTTTTTAAAGTACACATCTGGCTGAAAGTTTGGGGCCAGAAAGATTTAAAAAATGTTTTTGAAAATAAAGTATCTTACGATCTCCAAGAATGCATTTATTTGATCACAGTAATACTGTGAAATATTATTAAGATAAAAAAACAACAGTAGTTGTCTATTCATTTAATTTTAACACAATAATGTTAAATTCATTTTAAATTCAATAAAACAAATGGTACTTTACACGTTTTTAATGAAATATGGAAATATTTTATTATGACATTAAACAGTTAGGGAAGGTGGTGGTGCGTTTAATTGTGATGACATTTTTTTGATCAACAAAAATATTCCCTAAATTAAAGTACAATGAACTTGGATGTTTAAGTAATTTCAACTTAAATTACATTAAACTGTCTTTTAAAAATGAGTTCCCAAAAACAGTTTAACGTGCATGCAAGGATAAAAAAACACTTTATTTGTCTTATAATAGGCATTTATTTATTTCTACCCGATTTGCTCAACGACTCCCAAATGATTCGTTCGATGATTCATTTTCCCAAACAGCTCCTTTGAGTGACGCGAATCTGCGGTGATTGGTCACATGACCCAGTCAGTTGTTATTGGTAAACCGTAGGCAGAGACTGTCAACAACGGGACGCCCATAACCAGGATTATAGCTCGTCAAGTGTTAAAAATTGTATGTAGAGTTTGAACAAACGTTTCAGAAAAAGTGCACTTTCCACACGGCCCCTTACTCGCGTCTCCGTCAAGAGCGAGCTTTCCCGGCGACACTCACATTGCGGCGGCGCTTATTATATAGAGCCAAGTCAGATTTGGCCAAGTCGTTTAGGAGGTAATTGCCATTTTTCAATGAATGTCTGGGGAATATCAAAACCAAATATTTTTATATATTTAAATTAATATGGATTTTTACTCATTTCGCCGGTTTAGCCTTGCACGAAAGGCAATTTTATTAACCTCTAAAGTAATTCTTTTTAAAGTACACATCTGGCTGAAAGTTTGGTGCCAGTAAGATTTAAAAAATGTTTCTGAAAAAAAGTATCTTACGATCTCCACGAATGCATTTATTTGATCACAGTAATAATGTGAAATATTATTAAGATAAAAACAACAACAGTTGTCTAGTATTCATTTAATTTTAGCTGCAGTTCCTGTGATGGCAAGGCTGGCCATTTCCAGGATCATTACTCCAGTCTTCTGTTTTTACTCCCTTCAAAATAAGCCAGGACATTTTAAACTTTTAATAAAATAATAAGTTTTAAAAGATTCAACTCAGTTTATTGTAATTTAAGTTAAAGTTACTTAAAGATCCAAGTTCATTGTACTTTAATTTAGAGAATATCTTTGTTGATCAAAAAATGTCATCACAATTAAACACACCACCACCTTCCCTAACTGTTTAATGTAATGATCAAATATTTGCATATTTCATTAAAAACATGTAAAGAACCATTTGTTTTATTGAATTTAACATTATTGCGTTAAAATCATGATGTTCGAACAGAACCCATTGTAAAATGTGTTAGAAGGACAATGACAAAAACAGTGTGTAAAATGTTATTTTCTTTTGATTTTGGGACGGATATGAACTGGACAGGTTTCCTCATGAACACTATTATTTCCTATTGATAAACATATTTACCAGGTCTCCTTCCATCAGGAAAGAGGAGAGGTCCACCAGGATCCATGTGGGCAGCATGTACAACAGCGCATTGAATCCCAGGATGTTCAGTAAATGAAGGTGGTGAATCCTTGTGTCACGCAAGACCTAAAACAACCACAGACATCATTCATACAGGAGCTGATCCCAGACCTGCTCGAACTTTAATACGTCACCCAATAGAAATAGGAACCTTCTTGGAGAATATGTTCTGTAGCGAGAAGCAGAGCGTGGCGGCCAGAGCGCTGACCAACCCCGAGACGTCGAAGGACAGCTCAGTGGCCGTGGCCAACAGGACGCCTCCGATGATGGGTATCAGAGACACGTACACCTGCAAATAATAATACAAACTTCAGTGTCAGTGACTGCTAAAACCATTAGAAATCATGACTGTGTTTAGAGGAAGACGGACCTTTGTGGTTTGCTTCTCTTTCATGATGATCCGTGACAGCAGAACCACCCAGATGGGCATGGTGGCCTTCACTGCAAGTGGAGAACGGAAAGAAGATCATCACACACACACACACACATATATTTCACACACACAGCTGTTTAGAGCTGCATACGCCCGGGCAAACTCAAATCCATCAGTTGTCTCTGCAGACGGAATTAACTAGTTGCGTATTAGCATGCATATTACCAGGATATTGGCTGTTTATTAGAAATTATAAAGCACATATTAATGCCGTATTCTACATCACTTAAACCTACAATACTTAAACTTAAAGAGCCCCTTATCATAGCATTTAAAATGATCCTATTTTTGTTTTAGGAGTTCCCAAAAACACTTTATTTGTCTTATAATATGCATTTATTTTTACCCGATTTGCTCAACGACTCCCAAATGATTCGTTCGACAATTCATTTTCCCAAACACCTCCTTTGAGTGATAACATGCTTGTCTTAAAGTGATATTGTACACAATATAGGCCCACATTATTAATAAAGCATACTTTGTGGAGGCAAACAGATTATAAACAACACATATAGAACCACTCCCATAGAAAACCATTATAAAACAGTTAACGTGCAATAATGCGATGCATGATGTTCATTAAGGTGAGGTTAAATAACACAGTCTTGCTGCATTAACGTTAAGCCTTTTCTTTATAATAGGCTCTATGGGAGGAAAACTGTACACACTTGTAAAAGTTTCACGTTTAGGGCATTTTCCTTAGAGCCTGTTAAAAAGACGATGTTTAATTTCACAAAAATGTCTCTTATTTGTACTCATTTTTGAATTTTGCGCATGCAGGTTGAACAGCGTTTGGTTGTGTATAGTAAAAGAAAGCTGCAACATTTGCCGAGTTCATGGATAATTGTGCTTGCGCGTGTGGGTTAGGGTTACCTTCATCCCATAACCCACCTCTATAGCTCCGCCCCCAAACTCCAAAACTCAAACTCCTCCCCCTAATTAGTACACCTCACTGCTGATTGGCTTGCTGTGGTGCTCTGCTCGTCCAATCCACTTTCAACAGCGTTTCTCAGGAATCTCTTTAAGGCACAGTAATTGAGAGTTTAAGGACGCTGTAATTAATAGTTAGTTAACAGGAGCCTAAACTAAAGTGAGAACTAATGATTTCCCAACAGAAAAGCTGACTAGACTAAACAATCTGCAGATTACATCAGCAAAGAGTTATTAATAACCTAGAAGCAATATGACGAGCCTAATGCCTGCTTCCTGATTTAAAACAAGTTGCAGCCTTGTGAATTTTCTTTTTAAACATTTAAGCATATCAGTAGACAAACTAGATTTTTGATGGCTTGGCAAATGTACTCTCTCTATATCAATTTGACTAAGTCTATTTTTTTCTTGTTATGCTTTTAAAATGCTTTAGAGAAACAGGGACACGTATGCAAAAGCCTCTAAGTGCCATTTGACATTTTCTTTTAAAATGATCATTTTTATCAAGCTTGTATATTTAAGTTCAATAATTTCACTTAAATGGCAATGAAGATTACCTATTAATTGTCATTTAAGTGAAATTACTGAACTTAAATATACAAGCTTGATAAAAATGGTCATTTTGGAAGAAAATTTCAAATGGCATTTAGAGGCTTTTGCATCTGAACTCTTCATATATTTACAAGTTTCTGCACTAAAATTCAATATCACTTGATTCCTACAGCAGGTTTGATGAGAACGTTACTTGTGTCGTACATAAACACAAGGAGCTGAGGCTTCCCTCACTAGTGTGCACACTAACAGCCACGCAGGTGGGTGATGTGGCAGTGTGTATTCAGCGTGCGGAAGTGACGTAGTCTAACAATACTTTAGTAAAGTGTAGTGTAATGTTATCAAAGCTCGATTGTAAAGCAATTACCGACGAGTCATTAAATCACTATACCAATTTGTTTATGTTTGGATGAAAGTGGGCGTTTAAATGTCGGGGGGACGCAGACTGTTATATTCCCAGCTGTGGTTAAGGGTTAAACAGGAATAACGCACGTTGATTTAAACGAACCGATCAAAATCGACACATTCGATCATGTTGGCTAGTTATGTTCACTTTGATTGACTTTAATATAATAAGGCCTGTTAGTTACACAAAGCCGATATGAATAACCGAAAGCCCCCCGTTAAGTTACTCACCAGTGTGCGCATACGACACCGGAACCTTCCATATGCTGAAATGGGCCGAGACGGAGGCGAAGTATTTCCCGAAGGCGAGCGGCAGGATGTACCAGCGGTAGTAGAGGGCCGGCACCTCCGCTCGCGGGACGCTCCAGGCTCGCAACAGCGGCGGGAGAAACACGATGATGGAGAGGATGTGGAAAAGAGAGACCGTGACCGGATAAGGGAAGCCGTTGAGGATGATTTTATTGATCACGTTGCCGCCCGAGCTGACGGTGTACCAGCACAGACACAGCACCGCGATCCGCATTCCCTCCCGCACGGGCGGGCGCTGCTCCACCGCGGCCATCTTTCAGCGAAGCCACGACGCGACGTCGTCTACTCTGGAGGAATCGCCGGCGGAGGAGTCACGTGAGCGCGCTAAAGGCACGCCCCCACGAAAATTCACCATGGTAACCTGGAGTTGTTCTAGAGGTGTGCACTGATGACCACAGGGAAGACATTCCGCAAATCAACTATTCACACAATGTGCTGCTCAATAAAGTGCAAACAAGTGTAAACGGCATGCCACGGCATCAAGCTTGGATCGCGGATTTTATTAAACCAGTCTGCGTATTACCAACTTTTACTTCTGCTCGGAGGCTTTCGCAAATATACTATTATTTAAACGAAGAGTTACCGTTCATTTGAATATTGTAACGCAACAGTAAAACTAGTAGCTAGTTGCCTTGTATTTCACTACACAAAAAATCACTGTCTGAAGGTGTGCCAGAGTTATATTTTTCCCATCACCACCACTGGTCCTTAAGGGCTAACGTTCGCATACTATTTATTTATTTATTGAATACAAAAAAATGCATACAACCAAGGCAAACGCGTTGTAAATAATTATTTAAGACGTCATAGAAAGATTTAGGTCTGTGCAAGTCATCAGTTGCAGAGAAGCGCAGTACAAAAAGTCGTATAAAACGTACTACGGGTTGTTATGATATTTAAAAAAGTTATTATAAGAGGAAACCACTGTACAAAATAGTTTTCCTTGGATACGGTTGAAAACTGTAGGTAAACTCTTCCCTCTACAGGAGAAACTGAGGAACTGCAGTGTCATTCTGTCCGCCTCCAACACTGAAAACAATACTCTATCGTTTCGGACGAAGCAAATAATATTTTACCTCAGAAATACAAAATGCATACATTTGTTAAAAGCCAGGACAGAGGTTTCACAGTATCAGTATATAGGTCATTAAATATATATATATTTTTTTATCTTTTCAAACTTTTTATCTCACAACTTTGACTTTTTTCTCACAATTGCGAGTTTATAATGTCGAAGTTCTGACTTCATAACACATAATTGCGAGTTTATATCTCGAAATTCTGACATCTTTTCTCAGAATAGTGAGATATAAAGTCGCAATTGCGAGTTATCAGGCCAATTCTATAAGGGGAAAAAAAGACGTCAGTTTTTCCCCCTCAGAATAGTTTATATCTCACAATTCTGACTTTACAACACGCAATTTTGAGAAATAAAGTCAGAATTGTGAGATAAAAAGTAGAAATTACCTTTTTTATTTTTCATTAAGTGGCGGAAACAAGCTTCCAATAATTTTTGACTCATAGACAATTATGTTTTAACAAGTTTCAGTTGTTAAATAGAGTGTTCATTTTTTTTTTTTTTTTAAATAGAGTGTTTCTAAATTATTTTTTTGGCTGTTTTTATGTCAGACTGCACACCTGAATAAACTGCAGTTGGACACCTGACATGATGAAACACCACCACCATACCGGAAATGAGCAGTTTTACAGGAAATGAGCAGTTTTAGGGAGATCTACAAACCTTCAAACTCCCAGGATCAGTCGGGCTCCTCTGGATGATGCATTATCATGTTTACTGTAATTACCGTAACAAATTCATAATAAAAGAGCCATGTTTGCACTTGTGCCCGGACACTCAAACAAAGCTTTTCAGTTATCTCAACAGCTTTAAAATATTTATTACATTTGTTCATTTGAAAGGTTTCAAACCTAAAAGGATGCTGTAGTCTTTATCTTTTTATTATTAAGACACTATTTTATATATTGTTCTAAGTCTGTTCATTTGTTCGGACATTGGGCCACCTGACAATTTGGTCGGCAAAGCATAAAATAATGTGTATTATTTAAATGTACTAAAAATGAATTCAAACTAAATAGGATTTATAGAATACAATTATGTCTTGAATTTATCAAATTATTTTAAAAGGAAATAAATAATGCACTAGAAAAAGTGCATTTTTTTGCACACCAATGGATCATAAAGGCTAGAGAAAACACAGATCTAAAATATTGAGATTTAAGAAACGTCCTTTAAAGACTCAGCGCCTGTAATCGATGACAACGTAAGGCATGATCTGAAGTTTCCTCCCATTCCCGTACGGGTCCAGGGTTATGGACTGAGTCCAGTCGTACCAGTTATTTCTATTATCATAACAGCCGTTCACACCGTGCCATCGCAGCCGGCGTATCCTGAGCAGGTCTCGGCCGCTGACCTCTCGGCTGACCCCGGGCAGCTCTGTGACCGGCACGTCTGGGATGAACGCCTGTCTTTTGGTCAGCTTGAGTTTCTCTCTCCGGTGTGTGTGTTGGAGCAAACAGAGGCTCTGCTTCAGATGTGCACTGCTGTGGATTTCACTCACTCTCAGAGTTGACCTCTGACCTTCAGATGGTTTGCTCGATACGGGTGTGATTGGTGGAGGGTCATACGTTGGGTGTGTATGATTCTGTGTGTCTGTCACCGTCAGCGCCGCGGGCCTCAGGGTGAGTGGGTCGTGGATGGAGGCATTTAAAGGTACAGTATCAGTAAAGCGGCTGGGCTGAGCCGGCTCTGTCAGACGCCCTGCGTCACGGTGACGGGCCGAGGGGGCGTGGCTTCGGGGCATGTGCTGGTCCTGGGAATGCTGATTGGACAGCGACGGCCTCAAGCTCGTGAATTGCTGTAAACGCTTGATGGACGAGGAATGCGGTTTGATGGCACGGACGGGTATTTTACTCTTCCTAAAGTTGTTTGGATATTTGATGGTGTCTCCTGGTCCTGAACCCCGAGACGCCTCATCCCTCTGGCTCGGGTGATTGCTGTGAGTTCCCGAGAGCGTCTGAGCTGATCCAGGAACACGTTCACCCACGAGGCCTGAGAGCCCTTTCTCCGGGACTTCATCCACTCCAACCAACTTCTGCCAACTTCGTACAAGATGTTTTAAACGTTTAACAAGATCTTCGTCTGTGCTTCTCTTTCTCACATCGTTGATCAACTTTCCAAGCCGGGTTTCCTGGAATAAAACAATTTCACACACATCATCTTCATCATCATCATCATATAGTCTCTCTTACACTTTCATTTTGAAGTGTCCTTGTTCCCTTATTCCAGGTGAATTCAGGGTGATTTGGACACTTTTTCCAAGTCATCTCGATGTGTAAAGTGTCCCAATCGCCCTAAATTCACCCTATGGAGAAACATATGGAAGTCAATGGTTGCCCGGCAACAAACATCTTTTGTTTGGTGAGAGTCAATGTGAGTTTTGTGATGTGTAGCACCTGTGCAAAACTCATTTCCTAAGGGATAAATAAACTAAACTGAACATTCTTCAAAATATCTTCCTTTGTGTTGAGAAGAACAATCCTTTTTACAGCTTTAGAACAACTTGAGTAAATGATGTCAAATTTTTAATTAGATGAACTATCCCTATATATACTGATTAATTAAAAACATGCATCGAGATAGAGTTCGAGTTTGGTTGAGGGTTAGTTGCTTGTAATTATGAATAATTTACTCTTTATACTGTACATTTAATATGTGTAACAAAGACACTGAAAAAATAACCAATTACTTTTACATCGTTACATTTAAAAAAAATAAATAAATGCTGTTCTTTTAAAGTTTCTAGGAAATTCATCAAAGATGAATAAAAAAAATGATCATGGTTTCCACAAAAATATTACTGTTTTCAACACTGATAATCATAAATGTGTGTTGATCATCAGATCCTCATATTAGAGTGATTTCTGTAGGATCATGTGACACTGAAGACTGGAGTAATGATGAGCTTTGATTACAGGAATAAATTACATTTTAAAATATATTTCATGCATATTTTAATAATATTTCACAATATTACAGTTTTGCTGTATTTTGAATCCAAATAAATGCAGCTTTGGTGAGCGTAAGAGACTTTCAAAAACCAAACCTTTGAGCAATAGTCTATGTATATTAAAAAAATTAATACAATAAAATGTAATAAAATGCGTTATTGTTTAAATTCCAAAAGATATGACCACGGGTGAAGTTCATCACATTAACTGAACATGAAGAGTTCAGATGCTAAAGCCTCTAAGTGCCATTTGAAATTTTCTTCTAGGATGACCATTTTTATCAAGCTTGTATATTTAAGTTCAGTAATTTCACTTAAATGACAATTAATAGGTAATCTTCATTGCCATTTAAGCGAAATTACTGAACTTAAATATACAAGCATGATGAAAATTATAATTTTAGAAGAAAATTTCAAATGGCACTTAGAGGCTTTTGCATCTGAACTCTTCACATGTTCCTCTGTCTGACAACCACAAATTGTCACAATATATTTGGTATTAATTTGTACTCCATATAGATTTAAAAAAAAAAAAAAAGTTTCATTGAAAAGTGAGCTTGTGCTATTTTTCTTTGAAATATAAAATGATATTTTTTATATGCATTTCTGAAGGCCCAGTATCTGCTTATAGAGTTATTTCAGTCTTTAACTCTTATTTTCAGTGTGACACACCATACACACACCTGTTGTGCAGATGAACTCAGTGTAAGTCGGTCTCTTACCAGCAGAGCCTCTTTAGTCATGGGGTAACTCTCCAGACCGCATATCACCTCCAATAAAGCCTTCATGTTCACAATCTGCTGACAGAAGGATTGATAATGTCATAATATTCTTTATTCATTAAAAAAGCCTTGCATTGATTAATGATTAGTCATTTTTTTCCTTTGTCTTGTTGAGCCTCGTGTGTTTGACTCTGGCATGTGCACCTGCAGAAGTGAAACTTTCAGATCTCAGTTAGGGTTCAAAATGCAAATGTGACATTCTTGCATTCTCATAGCTGTACAAATCTGCGATATAAGGCCCCAGGGAGCCTGTAAAACAACAACACTTCACTTCAAATTAAAACAAGACCAACCTTTAATGGCACACATGTGAAGTGTCAGTCTTATAATTGAGGCTGTCAAATCGCAAATTTCACATCTAAAATAAAAGTTTGTGTTTGCATAATATATGTGGGTGCACTGTGTATAATTATTTTATATATATATAAATACACACACATGCTTGAATATATTTAAGAAATGTTTTCCTGTATATACAGATTTATATATAATTTATATATTTGATATATAAATAATATTTTTTTTCTTAAATATACATGCATGTGTGTGTATTATATATATAGCCTACAAAATAATTATACACAGTGCACCCACATATGTTATGTAAACACAAACTTTTATTTTAGATGCGATTAATGTGATTAATCGTTTGACAGCCCTTATAATATTTATTCAGGTAAAAGGCAACACTGTCATTCGTCTCAATGACAAAAAACCCAATAATGAATTAAAGAAATAAAAAAAGTCTTGATTATGAGATAAACATACAAATACAGCTCATTAGGGATGAATGACGCATGTCCGACTCACGTTGTGTTGCGCGTCGAGGGCCTGCAGGAGCTGCTCCTTCAGTTGGTGAGGTCTCCATGAAGCTCTGTCCATCGCCAGACGGTGGAAAACACGGATAGATCTGCAGCAATGAGAACACACACACACACACACACACAGGGTGCACATAGGAAAGCACTTCCAGCCGACCCCGTTTGAGCTCCACAGGCAAATAACCCGACCGGCCCGACACAGTCCAGCAGCTGCAAGAGTGCTTTCACATAGTGTGTGTGTGTGTGTTTCACAACCACATCCAAGAAACTGATTCATTCAACAGTTATGAGCCCATATTCACCGAGAGACAATACACCTTTCAATTTTTTAAAAATACTTTTAATTTGTCACATGGCTATTAGTGAAAGAAAGAGAAAAAGTGATATTTACATAAATCTGCAAAGCTTTACAATTTTAAGTCTTAACAACAAATTCAGAATTTTCTGAGTGGTGAGGTTGAGTAAATGATGGGGTAATTTAATTAACCCTTGTGCATCCTTATGGACATTTTTGTCCTCCTCAGTTTTTTTTTTTTTTATCACTTTGCCTGTGTTAAAGCTAACTGCAAAAAACTTGGCACAGGTGTGTATTTTTATTGGAATTTTACTATTTCACCGTCATTTTCAAAAAAATAATAATAATTTTTTGCATTCGGTACAAACAAATACTCCCTCTCAGCACCTTTTGGACAAAAATGTCCCCATTGAAACCCATTAAAACTGCCATTTTTAATCCCCGGTTCAGTTAACTATAAAATTATCCAATCTTTGTTAAGAGGCTTTCATTCTGATGGCAAGGCTTCAACGTTTTATTTTTTACTATTTTTTATCAGATGGTGTCATTTTTTTAAGTTTGGACTATAAAACAAACAAGCTTTATTCCTGTTTTCTGCTTTGGCATATTATAGAGCCAACTGGATAAATTATGCAACAATATTTGTGTGGGTGTGTTGGTATGGATGTCAGAGTGTGGTTAGTATGTGTGTGTGTGTGTGTGTGTGTGTGTTTGTAATACTGAGAGAGAAAAACTGCATATTCAATCACTGTGAGCTCCAGTGGGGTTTTGCTGCCACCCAATGGGGGAAATATGTTACTACGCCCAAACAAACTGTTACCGAAAGCTCATTTTTTGAGATATCATCCTCACAATTGGAACACAACCTATTTAGATTTATGGCTTTGATTTTTTTGCAGTTTTGAGTTCAACCTGATTTAAAAAATATATATATTTTATATAAAATATTTTTTATAAATAATTTTCATAAACTTATACCTATATAACTTTTTTTGGATTCACTTATTACTATTTTTTCGCTTCAGCAATAATCTGCAAAGGGTCTTCTTTAAAATGATACCAAACTTAAGTCTGTGCTCCAAAGCGTCACATTTTTATGACAGTTTTTTGACACGGACATTTTTGTCCTCTTTTTACCTATGTGTAACTTTTTTTAATTGATGCACAAGGGTTAATTAAACAAACAAGCAATGTGTGTGTTATATGAAGAGAGAGCAGAGCAGGATCTGAGTTGGTGGTGCTCTTAATCCAGCAGAGATTATATAAACCACAGCATAAGTCACTCGGATCAGCTCAACAGGACCAGGAGCTGCTGGGAGAGGTTGTGTCCATCTGAATGTCATTGTTTGATAAAAGGAACCATGATAGTGATCATAGATCTAGTGTTGATGCTCTTGAACCTGACCTACAGCATCCTCCACGCGGTGGTCCGCTGTGCAGTCGGGCCGCGTCTGAAGTCCGTGTCCGGGGAGGTGTGTCTGATCACGGGCGCGGGCGGAGGCCTCGGGCGGCTCTTCGCGCTGGAGTTCGCCAGAGAAGAGGCCGAGCTGGTGCTGTGGGACTGCAACACTGAAGCCAACGAGCACACGGCCAGGCTAGTGAGGGCACTTGGCCGCAAAGCGCACGCGTACACAGTGGACCTGTCCCAGCGCGAGAGCATCTATCAGACCGCGGGGCGCGTGCGGGAGGAGGTGGGCGACGTCACCATCCTGGTCAACAACGCGGGGGTCGTCGCGGGCCGCCGGCTGCTGGAGTGCCCGGATGAACTGCTGGAGAGGACCCTTCTGGTCAACTGCCACGCGCTCTTCTGGGTGAGACCTTCTTCTAACACCACCACTATCATGTTCATTAAGAGCCTAAGTGAACTAATATGTTCATGAAGTCCTATTTGATAGGACTTAAAAAAAAAAAAAAAAATTTATATATATATATATATATATATATATATATTATATAATATAAGGTTGTCTGTACGTCCACACGCTAACAGTGCGTCGCCGTTTACATCGGGATTTTGAACGGGGTATTCCGAATATTTCAGAAACCGGAATAGCGACTCTAACCCGACCATAACCCGAATATTGACTGCTTGTAAATGTAGTCATTAGTTCTTGCGCGTCAAACGAACATGCTTGAGCTTCCATTTACCACAACTGATTTTTATACGTGAATAAAAGCCTATTAAATATGTTTATCAAAATTTGGATTATTAAACCGCTCAATTCAAATAGATTAGTTGTACTTTTTAAAACTTTTAAAAACTTTTTGAAGCTTCAAACAAAGTAAATAAAGGCTTTTTTTCAACACTAATGGGACTACATCTGATGTACGTATTTCAGTTGAAACTGCCAGTTGGCACACTGTAAATGTTTCTCGTATACAGGGGCGTTTAATGAACAAGTCGTATTGTATGACATTAGCACAATAATTTCTCATTTGATCAATGCAATGTTTATGAAGCCGCCTAGAACCTCTCCAGCACAACAATGGTAACCACAGAAATGTCAACAGAAGCTCTTTAAATGTCAAGCACTGTTCCTAACACATAAAATAACACTTCATTTCAACACTTATTCAGTTTAGCAGAGCATGCCGGACACTAAAATCCACTGCCAGATTTTCAGTAATTAAGACAATTTCAGTAACTACTACATTACTTGTTTTTTTCTCTCTCTCAATTAACATAAACAGTTTAAAATAAAATATAAAGTTGGCCAACATTACTATGTCAACATCAAAATAATATTTGGAACTTAAATCAATATATTTGAATTTTAACTTTCTAGAATTGATTGAGTCTTTCTAATGGAAGTTCTGGTTTGTAAGGGCTGTCCGTCATCTTCAAGTGAGCTGGTACAGCGGAGTCGGGTCCAGGAGCACGAGCGAGGGCATCATGATCCGATGTTTCCACGCTGGTGAACGTTAAGGAGATATTGAATTGCAGTCGAAAGCTGGAGTGACTGTAATCTGCTTGATTTAAAAGGTTTAAAAAAATGGCTCATTGTGCATATGACCATAAATCACATGTACAATGAGGAACGGGACATTATGCACCAGATTATAGAGTCACCAATCATGACAGCCGCTTTAAGTGTTATTATATAAACGCTCAATAATACCAAACAATGCTTCCCGAGGCATTCGAACACACCTATGACCCTATGAATGAAAAAGTTTTTTTTGAATGAATGAAAAGTTTTTATTTCGAACATGTAGAAAAAAAAAACAAACAATCTAAAAACAAAAAAAAACCAAACACATTTTTAACTTATAAATGTCCGAAAAGGAGTAGGAAGAAGCATAAGCTTATTCAATCCTACCCCATCTTCAACGCCCATCTAAAAACCCTATTTTTAGTTGCATAGAGAAGTTTGTTATTATTAGGTTTTGAAGAAATGTGACTCAATGTAAGTATGTTCTTCCACTGAAGGAGGGACCCAAGTCATATCTAAAGAGCAGAATATCATAAAGACTTGGTAAATAAAGACACATCTTTGGGATGTGGTGGAACGGGAGCTTCATCCCACAAATCTCCATCAACTGCAAGATGCTATCCTATCAATATGGGCCAACATTTCTGAAGAATGCTTGTTGAATCAACGCCACGTAGAGTTAAGTGATCAATGTGTATCAACGTGTTTTGCTGCTTTGACAGATGACGAAAGCCTTTCTGCCATCGATGAAAGCCAAGAACCACGGACACATCGTCACTGTCGCGAGCACTCTCGGCCTGTTCAGCACTGCTGGTGTAGAGGTCAGTCACACAAACATACAGGTCGTAAAACCGTTGTGTCCGCAACCCTTCAATGACGAACTCTCCTGTTTTAGGACTATTGTGCAAGTAAATTTGGAGCTGTAGGTTTCCACGAATCTCTGACTCACAGTTTGTTATCAGAGGACGGGCTGGACGGGGTGAAGACCTCGCTGATCTGCCCGTACATCGTCAACACTGGCATGTTTGCTGGATGCCAAATCAGGTGAGAAATCAATCACTAAAACTCAAAGAAAAAGAATGTAGCCCTCAAACCGTATTCACTTCGTAGCCCTTAATCCTGTAATTGTGGACAAATGTGGGCACAGAGGACTTTTTATTTATTATAAATGTTATATCACTGTCTTCGATAAAGTTTTGTCTATCCATTTATGGTGTTTTTTTTATTTTGGGGGTATTTTTGAATTTATTTACTTCAAAAAGTACCATATTTTTCTATGTTTTATTTTTTTGAACTACATTAAAATATCATTCCAATAAGTTCTTAGAGCTAAAACCTAAAGATGAAGTGACTTTGCCGTCACCTGGTGTCTTATTTTAGAACGCTATAAATTACAGTTTTTCCCATTCAATTTCTATGGGTGCCCATTTTTGACCCAAATACAAGATTAAGAAGTTTTTTTTCACCCGCTTAACGTTGTAGAATTGAGTCAAAAAAATGGTGTGTGTTCAGGAGGCAAACTTAGAAAAAGTAGCCAAGTCTTGTACCGCTCAGATCAAGAGAAGCATTTTTAAAAATAAATCAAAACTATTTTGCCCACATTTGTCCAGAATACGGTTTTAGGGTTAATAATGCCACAACCAAAACAATGTTCTTCAAGTTCTAAAATAGTAATATTTAAAAAGGCAAAAATGAAGACAAAAACAGCACAATTATAAAATATTTAACTGAAACGAAAAAGAAAGCTGACGATATAAAAATAAAAGCTAATTCAAAATATTAGTTAACTTAAAACTAAGCACAACACCAAACCTTCACGTCTGAATATGGTGCATTAATGTGGCCAGAGATCACCACCATACGCTCGCTCTGGAGATGAGCCGTACGAACACGCCTCAAAACATTAAAAACGGCTTGGGAAGTGAAACAGCATGAGGATGAGTTCACAATCAACACAAGCGATCTCGGACTGTTCACGCTAGTGTGTCCTCATTCACAGGAAGGAACTTCAAGGCCTGATTCCAGCCCTGGATCCTCTACACTGTGTTCAGGAGTCGATGAAGGCCATTCTGGCGGACCAGAAGATGATCTGCATCCCCCGCGTGATGTACCTCGCATCCATCTCACGCGCGTAAGCGTCTCCCTGTCCCAAACACAGCCTGGAGAAGTCCAGTTTGCTTAGGCTTGGATTAAGAGAGAGAGAGAGAGAGAGCGTACCCAAAGCTCAAGCACGTGCACTAATCCTTCTGTGTGTGTGTTTTCTGTAGGTTGCTCCCCTGGGACGCCAATGTTGCAACATATCGATTTATGGGAGGCGACAAGTGCATGTATTCCTTCATCAAGACCAAACAACACCAACAGGCTGTTAACGGTCACACACACTCCTCTTAGCGGGCCTGTAATGCTTCAGTCACACACATCGGAGAGAAACCTACCAGAAGAAAATATTGTGCCTGCTATATTTAATAAAACCAAAAAACATTTCTAATGTACTTTATTAGGACTGACAGAAATATATTTTATTTTTCTGTACAAAAAAAACCCCAGTAACACTTTAGTTTAGGGTCCAATTCTCACTATTAACTAGTTGCTTAATAGTATGCATATTACAAGGATAATTGCCATTTATTAAAAATAAATTATAAAGCACATATTAACCCTCAGGTGCTCTTCGTTTCGGAGTCACACTTGTTATCCTCCTGGTCTAAAGTGACCGGACACCCTCCATCCCAGTAAAACCAATGCAATTTATTTTTGTTCTATAATATTTATTCTTTGTCATTTAGTATTTTGGTCTATATATTTATGGTCTATTTTTGCCATGGAAAAATATGTATATATTTCTATATATATATATTATTATTTTTTTAAAAATATTAATGCAGTATTTTAGTTTAGTATAGAGTCTAGGCCTTCAGAAAAAAAAAATATGTTTGAAGAAAATTAGCACCATCTGGTTACAGTATAGAGAAAAAGCGTAGAATCATGGTGTAACCACTAGATGGCATGTGCAGCTCTCTATGGAGAGGCATGTGAATTCCCCAGCTGTTTATGAACACATTTTTTTTGTGGATTTGAATATATAGTTGAAACAATCTCAAAAACTATTTTTTATGTAAAAAATGTAAAAAAAAAAAAAAAAAAAAAAATTTGTGAATTTTTGGGTTTGTCAATTTCCCATTCATTTCCTATGGGGGTCATTTCTGACTGAAGACCACAAGTGTGACTATTTTTTTAAGACCACTTAGCATGCTCAGATCATGACCTTATTTTTTTTGTGTGTTCACATACATAATGCCATAAAAGTCACCAAGTTTTGTAACATTGCGATGAAGCTGTGATTTTTAAAAATTCAAAACATACTTTTTGTAATCAAAATTTATTGGTGTGCATGTGTATAAAAGTGTGTTTGTATGTGTGTGTGTGTGTCTGTTTTGCACTCTAAATGTTGTAGAGTGTCTCCCCTTTCCTGCGGTGTACTTTTTTTTTTAGAATTGTGGCCAATTTCTAGATTGCACATACAAAAATTCAGAGAACTTTGTGTTTTTGTCAATTTCCCATTCATTTCCTATGGGTCATCATTTTCGACCGAAGACCACAAGTGTGACTATTGTTTTTTAAGACCACTTAGCATGCCCTCATTTTTTTTTTTTTTTTTCACATACATAATGCCATAAAAGTCACGAAGTTTGATAACATTGCGATGCAGCTGTGATTTTTTTTTTTTCGGTCAGAAATGAGCGAAGAGCACCTGAGGGTTAATGCCGTATTCTGCATGACCAGATTCTACATCACTTACACACAGTACCTAACCTTTATCTTACTATTAATAAGCAGTAGTGAGATTTGGACCCCAAAAAACACATCATTGTTTTGTAACATTATAATGAATGTGTTCATGCAACAAAATAATCAATAGACCACTTTCAAAACAGATGCATCTCAGCTTTTTATGACATCATTTTCAAAGTTATAAATAATTGGAATTTACTTAAACGGCTTAAAATAGGCACTCACATTGAAGGATGATTAACGGGTGTTATGGTGTAAAGTTAACTAAGTACATGTATTTACTATAGGGTTAAAGGTAGAGCTTGGTTTAGGCTTATAAATATGCATAATCTCCCGTTATTGTTATGATCTGCTGTGAACGGGCTGCATGTGATGTGGCGTGAGTTAGAAAGCATGTAATCCACGCCTTAAATCATCAATGGGCTGAAGCAAATCTGGTCAGATTGTTTTATGAAGCATAAGCCAGTGATGGAGTGCTAAAATATTACACAACTCATTTTATGAACTGAAATCTTGACTATGCATTATGGAAAATGAACGCACGTCTCTCCCGGAATGAAGTGCGGTAAAGCCGCTTTAGCGTGTGATGCCGTGAACAGCTGAGCACAATACAGGGATTGTGGTCTTCAGATCCTGAATCAAACACACCACCAACATGTTACACAAGTGCTTCACTTTATTTATTAACTAGAGCAGCAAAACTAAGACATGAAGACAAAACACGGTCAATTACATGCAACGAGAGACACTTATAGATGCGCTGAAAAACTCGTTTATACAGTAAAAACATCTCCAAAACTACAGGAAAAGGAACAACCGGAAACAACTTTCCCAAATATCTGCCGACTCCCAAGAGAGGTTTCATATTTGTAAAAGGTGACGTTTCAAAATACTGACGAACCAATAGTTGTGCGAGACGGCAAACTAAACAAGAGCAAATGTTGAACACATGAGGGGAAGCGCCGACATGAGCAGAGGTGATCGCCCTCCACACCAGTATACCCAGCATCCCTTGCTCAGTCAAATTCATTAAAACAAGCCCTTAAAACCCTTCATCATCACTGGGCGGTGCGTCTCCGCTCATGTGGAGTCCATTGGTCGTCTCGGTGTGTGTGTGTGTGTGTGTGTCTACACCAGCTGTACAGAGGCAGCCTGAAGGTAACCCTGCAGGTACTGAAGAGCTTCTGCCGGCAGACTGGTGCTCAGCATGGAGGACACCTGTCACAAACAGCACTCAGTTAGCAGGCATTCTGGGTAGGGGAGATGTTCATGATTACATCAGCATCCCTGAAGCCATCCTATGAGTGATACTCACCCGTCCAGGACATGCGGTGGAGAGTTTGTGTAACGACTGAGCCAGGAGGATTTTGGGATTGTTGACAGCGTCTCCGATGGGGTCATGTTCTTTCTTGCCTGCAAAAGCCAGCTGGGAGAAAGCGGTCTGGTACCCTGGAGTGTCCTCTATGTCTATGAAATGCTCATCGTCGGGATGCTGTCATCTTCCGGTAACTCGAACAGCCCAATCAGAGCCTGCAGCAGAGGAGCCCTAAACGACATAACCCAGGTTTGGGTCAACGGAAAAGGAGTTCTCGCAAACGTCCTCGACACCGCGTGTACACACTGGACGTGACGAAGCAACCGTCGCTAATCTATTGAGCACATCAGAAATAGTCTGGATTTCAGCAGATGATCTGAATAATAAAAAGGTCACGAGGGTCTGCACGGGTCCTTTTTATAATAGCGTGTTTCCTTCTGTTTGAAGGGGCCATGGGCAGAATTCAGAAAGCTTGTTATTATCGACAGTAGTGGCCGTTAAGTGAACTGCAGCCAGCAACATTGCTCACACTCATGCACACTGTTTTTACATTTGGGCTTATATATGTAATGGGCTAACTATATGTAATGTAATATCTAACTTTGGGCTTATAAACTATATGTAATGGTGATGGAACACTATGTGTTTGGTATCTATGGATTCAGAAGACCCTAAGCTAACATAAGCATGCATGTAATGTGTTTTTAAAGGAAGTATGAGTGAAAAATTTACAATATACTAGAGAATTTCAAAAACAGAAATTCGATTTTTGTCATTTATTTCAGAAAAATCACACGTCACACAACAGTGAACGGTTTTTGAACATAAAATATATTTGTCAAAGCCTTTGCATGACAGACGTGTAATGCAAAGGCTTTTTAATTAATCGTTTTTAATTGTTAAATAAAATGTGTAAAGAACAATGAGAAATCTAGATAGGCGTTTTTCTTAGGAATGCTTAGAATATTCTATGCAATGCTTTCTCCTCATCACTCTCCAGTAATTGTTTCAGAGCCTGTTCACCATAAATTGTTTACTGCTAGCCATCATAAAAATAATAAATAATGATTTAATTGTATGTATATATATATATATATATATATGCACACATTTATTTTTATATATAATAATTCTTCTGTCTCTCTCTCTCATATAAATCTCAGCACGTTTATACTCGACATGTCCGTTCGCTTTCTGTCGTCTCTTCCTCTACTCGACGCTGTTGTCATATCCCTTACTATATAGTACCACCCCTTGCAGGCTAAAGAGTCCTCTGATTTGCTAGAATACGTCAAGGTAACCTTGCCCTGATTGGGTAAGAAAAACATTTCTCCATCGGCAATTTTTCCATTGGTGGTTGTTCGTGAATCTGCCAAACAACATCGATTTCATTGGCGGTGTGTATACAAGCCGGGTAAGTTATCACTGTTTTCAGCGGAATCTGAGGAAGATGTCAAAAAAAGCTGCACCTCTCTACCATGAATAGTTTTAAGATAAGTACACATTTGTAAAAGTATGTCATTTTGGGCGGTACCACCCAATCTGTCCTCAGAGGGTTAAAGGGATACTCCACTTTTGGAAATAGACTAATTTTACAGCTCCTCCAGAGTTAAACTGTTGAGTTTTACCGTTTCTGAATTTAAAATATTTCCTGTATAGTGAATAACTGACTGGGGTTTGAGACTTCTTCACCGACATAACTCTCTTATGAATAAATAAACGTTAGTGCTACCAAGTAAAAGAGTTGATTTTGAGCCCTGACATTATATATTCATCATTTGACATATGCTGGGTTGGTCTTACCAGAGTTTGGTGTACTCCGTGTCCATCATCGCAGGACACTCCGTGAGGATCTTGGTGATGCCCACCGCACAGATCTTCTTCTCCACCGGCCCCGAGACCTTCTGCACCTCAGGAATCACAATCTTCTCCACAACCATGCCAAACATCCTGAGGAGACGAGGAAACGGAAAGGTTCAGCAAAAAAATTTAAGATAAACAAACATAGGCCCTTTTTACAAAGGTACTAAGATGGGAAAATATCAGTAATAAACAAAAAGCACACAACTCAATACTTCCAAAATATATGCACTGCACATTAAGCAACTTACTTTGGCTGGATGCTATCAAAGATCTCCTGCAGCGCAATGGCACCGTATTTGACAGAATACAGGTTGATAAAGACGAGGAAACCTGTGAAGAGGAAGAGTAATGGTTCAGTATAGTGATTTGTAGTGTTAAATATGCAGTGGATATTATCGGCCGATATTAGGCATTTTCCAAA